ATTAAAATGGTGTGCTTTCAGGGATAGCGAAAGTATGTCTCGAGGAAGGTAACAAAGAATACAGACAAGGAGAATCTAATAACGCGATAAACTCCTACACGGAAGGACTTCAAGTGAACTGCAAAGATGAACGGCTTAACGCCAAGCTTTATAGCAACAGGGCAACAGCTCATTTCCGTTTGGGTAAGGATTCCTTTTTCAAGCCTCTAGGCTTTTTCATGCGCTAATAGAGTTCTCTAGCTGTATATTATAACCGAGGGTCGTAGTCAACAGCCGGGGTGCGGTCCTTGTGTGCTTGTAAACGCCCGTCATGGTCGTGAGAGACTTATAATTTTTGATACCACAGAATAACTAACCAACGACACACGCTTCCTTCCCTCCTAAAAAATCCTGCGTTTGCCCTTTTTAGAGAGTGGGGGGGGGGGAAGAAAGATTAGTTAATTCGAGGTTGTTTCACGATCTTTGGGGTTGGAATCTTTGGATCTAGATCCCATCGATTCAGCTTCTGAATCGAACTTAGAAAGGGCGTACGGGTTGATTTGGTCATCTCAAATGAGTGGGTAATTTGATTTGGCCACCGTAAAGAGATTACACAGCTAACGTTTCGAGCGTTAGCCCTCAGTCATATGGTGTCCGGATTTGCGGCATCACAGTTTTTTCGGAAATTTATCCCCTCTAAAAAAGGAATACACAAACTGCTCCAAGCAAAGAAACAATTCTCACAAATAGACTCCAATTTAAGCAATTACGGAAGACTAAGCATAAAAAAAAGTCCCCGACGGGATTGGAAACTGTGCATCCTAAATACAAGCTGGGCGCTACTACCAGAATAGACACGAGACCACACGCTGGGGGCGAGGCAAACTTTAAATTTTAAATTTTTTTTTAGGAAATCTGATCACAATCTTAATGAAGTAAAATTCTATTTGACCTGTGGTTGAAAATCTTAGAAGGTAATGATCCTCAGAGAAGGCCTGTAGTTTGAGCAATTGCAAATTTTTGTCGCCTAGTTTCAAGGACAAACATATAAACGGATGTTCTACACAAATTACATGCATTCTATGACTTCATTGATGACTACTTAAAATTAATTCCTGAATTCCATAGGAAACTACTCGCAGTGTCTCGATGACGCAACGGTTGCTGTTCAATTGGAACCCACTTTAATCAAGCCATTAAGAAAGGTGGGTTTTTCAGCCATAGTCATCAAAACTCGTAAAAGTGATTTCGTCAAAAGGAAACTGTATGAATTATGGTAGCTGACTGCATCCCAAGTGTCAATTGTATGTGGTGTGTCAATGCCTACTTTGTGGGTAAAACGCACCAAAAGGTCCAAAAGCCTTCAATTATTTAAACTAATATTGTTAGCCGCTTTGCACTAACTCTTATTGTCCTCTTTCAATTCTTCTACAAGTTCTAATTTCCTTCATTTTTTCAGTGGTCTAAGACGAACTAAATGCAAAACTAATTCCACATTCTGCACACTTTTATACCTTAACAGCCATCAATTATTTCGCTCCACCAATCATTGCATTCTTTTCAGGAGCCAGAGCTTGTGTCGAACTTCGCTTGTATGAAGAAGCAAGGAGCTGGTTGCATATGGGATTGGCCGTATCCTTTGACGAGAATTTCAAGCGAGATAAGAGATGCAATGCGAGAAATATTTCAAAGAAAATCAATACCTTCCGATCAGATTCATCTAGACATAAAGCAAGCAGTGTTTCTTTTTTTATATATAAACTGCGGGGGTGCTATGCAAGAATTTTCAGCTCCGAGAAAAGCCATAACAACACATGTTAAAGCATACAACAATGTTATCATGTGTGTTTGATATTGCGAATCAGCTGCTGACTCGTCACTTGTCTTTCCCCTTTCGCCTTTTAGTCATACTGATGAATGAATTGCCAAGGCTTCACCATTCTCAATCCATGGTCATTTGTTGATGCTACCATTGAATTACGACTGCAAAAACATTGAAAAAAACGGAAGTTCTCGCGGTTGAGAGCGATTTGTATCGCGTACAGACAATGACGTTCATAATTTCGCTATTGTTTGTTTTGCACCCAACCCATTTTTCACCCTGAGCCTTGTCGTCAAAAGCACGCAATGACTTTTCTTCAGAAACTAGATGCTGTTTCTTTTTTTTTAGTTATTAATTAAGTCGACTTTTCCCTCAGTAAAGGGCTGTTGCACTCATGTAATAGAAAATAATACATAGTTACTTGAAGATATGGAATTTCTCTTCTCGTGGTTAACTCGATACCTCACTCGTGTCTATGTAGTTGAACACTCGAAAAAAATTCCACATTTGCGCGCCCATGTATAATTATTAAGTGACGCCTTTAGCAGTTATAACAAGCGAAAATCATTTTATTCTCAGGAGCTCTTTTTATTATTTCATGAAATCTGAATTAAAAGAAGGAAAAAAAGGTAGAATCTAAACAAATAATTACCTTTGAAAGCTCGTTAAGGTTTATATTAATATTCACTTTATGAATAAGCGTATAATTTGAGAAGCAAAACTTTATAAGACAGCCACGTCCAATGTTTAAGGTCCTACCTAATATCCTAATTATTGTTAAAATCATGACATCTGTATCCTTGACAAATTTTAAGATTGACAAGAATGGTAAAGGTCTGCTTCATCTACTGAACAGATCTAATGATGGACTAAACGTGATGATGATCAAATATTGCAATCTCGGCACAATTTATCATGGTCTAGTAGAGTTCAAAAGGGCAATCAAATACCATCAACGTCATCTAGAAATTGCTAAAGAAGTGGGAGACAAAGCGGGAGAGGGACGAAGTTATGGCAGTCTCGGCAACGCTTATGATGGTCTAGGACAGTTCCAAACAGCAATAGAGTACCATCAACGTCATCTAGAAATTGCTAAAGAAGTGGGAGACAAAGCGGGAGAGGGACGACGTTATGGCAATCTCGGCAACGCTTATCATGGTCTAGGACAGTTCCAAACAGCAATCGAGTACCATCAACGTCATCTAGAAATTGCTAAAGAAGAGGGAGACAAAGCGGGAGAGGGACGAAGTTATGGCAATCTCGGCAACGCTTATCATGGTCTAGGACAGTTCCAAACAGCAATCGAGTACCATCAACGTCATCTAGAAATTGCTAGAGAAGTGGGAGACAAAGCGGGAGAGGGACAAAGTTATGGCAGTCTCGGCAACGCTTATCGTGGTCTAGGACAGTTCCAAACAGCAATCGAGTACCATCAACGTCATCTAGAAATTGCTAAAGAAGTGGGAGACAAAGCGGGAGAGGGACGAGGTTATGGCAATCTCGGCAACGCTTATCATGGTCTAGGATAGTTCCAAACAGCAATCGAGTACCATCAACGTTATTTAGAAATTGCTAAAGAAGTGGGAGACAAAGCAGGAGAGGGACGAGGTTATGGCAGTCTCGGTAACGCTTATCATGGTCTAGGACAGTTCCAAACAGCGATCGAGTACCATCAACGTCATCTAGAAATTGCTAAAGCAGTGGGAGACAAAGCGGGAGAGGGCCGAAGTTATGGCAATCTCGGCAACGCTTATCATGGTTTAGGACAGTTCAAAACAGCAATCGAGTACCATCAACGTCATCTAGAAATTGCTAAAGAAGTGGGAGACAATGCGGGAGAGGGACAAAGTTATGGCAATCTCGGCAACGCTTAGATGGTCTAGGACAGCTCCAAACAGCAATCGAGTACCATCAACGTCATTTAGAAATTGCTAAAGAAGTGGGAGAAAAAGTGGGAGAGGGAGGAAGTTATGGCAATCTCGGCAATGCTTATCATGGTCTAGGACAGTTCCAAACAGCAATCGAGTACCATCAACGTCATCTAGAAATTGCTAAAGAAGTGGGAGACAAAGCGGGAGAGGGACGAGGTTATGGCAATCTCGGCAACGCTTATCTTAGTCTAGGACAGTTACAAACAGCAATCGAGTACCATCAACGTCATCTAGAAATTGCTAAAGAAGTGGGAGACAAGGCAGGAGAGGGACGGAGTTATGGCAATCTCGGCAATTCTTATGATGGTCTAGGACAGTTACAAACAGCAATTGAGTACCATCAACGTTGTCTACAAATTGCTAAAGAAGTGGGAGACAAAGCGGGAGAGGGACGAAGTTATGGGAGTCTCGGCAGTGCTTATAATGGTCTAGGACAGTTCAAAACAGCAATCGAGTACAATCAACGTCGTCTAGAAATTGCTAAAGAAGTGGGAGACAAAGCGGGAGAGGGACGAAGTTATGGCAATCTCGGCAACGCTCATTATGGTCTAGGAAAGTTCAAAACAGCAATCAAGTACCATCAACGTCATCTAGGACTTGCTAAAGAAGTGGGAGACAAAGCGGGAGAGGGACGAAGTTATGGCAATCTCGGCAACGCTTATCATGGTCTAGGACAGTTCCAAACAGCAATCGAGTACCATCAACGTCATCTAGAAATTGCTAAAGAAGTGGGAGACAAAGCGGGAGAGGGACGAAGTTATGGCAGTCTCGGCAACGCTTATGATGGTCTAGGACAGTTCCAAACAGCAATCGAGTACCATCAACGTCATCTAGAAATTGCTAAAGAAGTGGGAGACAAAGCAGGAGAGGGACAAAGTTATGGCAATCTCGGCAACGCTTATGATGGTCTAGGACAGTTCCAAACAGCAATCGAGTACCATCAACGTCATCTAGAAATTGCTAAAGAAGTGGGAGACAAAGCGGGAGAGGGACGAAGTTATGGCAATCTCGGCAACGGTTATGATGGTCTAGGACAGTTCCAAACAACAATCGAGTACCATCAACGTCATCTAGAAATTGCTAAAGAAGTGGGAGACAAAGCAGGAGAGGGACGAGGTTATGGCAATCTCGGCAACGCTTATGATGGTCTAGGACAGTTCCAAACAGCAATCGAGAACCATAAACGTCATCTAGAAATTGCTAAAGAAGTGGGAGACAAAGTGGGAGAGGGACGAAGTTATGGCAGTCTCGGCAACGCTTATGATGGGCTAGGACAGTTCCAAACAGCAATCGAGTACCATCAACGTCATCTAGAAATTGCTAAAGAAGAGGGAGACAAAGCGGGAGAGGCACGAAGTTATGGAAATCTCGGCAACGCTTATCATGGTCTAGGACAGTTCCAAACAGCAATCGAGTACCATCAACGTCATCTAGAAATTGCTAAAGAAGTGGGAGACAAAGCGGGAGAGGGACGAAGTTATGGCAATCTCGGCAACGGTTATGATGGTCTAGGACAGTTCCAAACAGCAATCGAGTACCATCAACGTCATCTAGAAATTGCTAAAGAAGAGGGAGACAAAGCGGGAGAGGGACGAAGTTATGGCAATCTCGGCAACGCTTATCATGGTCTAGGACAGTTCCAAACAGCCGTCGAGTACCATCAACGTCATCTAGAAATTGCTAAAGAAGAGGGAGACAAAGCGGGAGAGGGACGAAGTTATGGCAATCTCGGCAACGCTTATCATGGTCTAGGACAGTTCCAAACAGCAATCGAGTACCATCAACGTTATTTAGAAATTGCTAAAGAAGTGGGAGACAAAGCGGGAGAGGGACGAAGTTATGGCAATCTCGGTAACGCTTATGTTGGTCTAGGACAGTTCCAAACAGCAATAGAGTACCATCAACGTCATCTAGACTTGCTAAAGAAGTGGGAGACATAGCGGGAGAGGGCCGAAGTTATGGCAATCTCGGCAACGCTTATCATGGTCTAGGACAGTTCCGAACAGCAATCGAGTATCATCAACGTCATCTAGAAATTGCTAAAGAAGTGGGAGACAAAGCGGGAGAGGGAGGAAGTTATGGCAATCTCGGCAACGCTTATCATGGTCTAGGACAGTTCCAAACAGCAATCGAGTACCATCAACGTCATCTAGAATTTGCTAAAGAAGTGGGAGACAAAGCGGGAGAGGGACGAAGTTATGGCAATCTCGGCAATGCTTATGTTGGTCTAGGACAGTTCCAAACAGCAATCGAGTACCATCAACGTCATCTAGAAATTGCTAAAGAAGTGGGAGACAAAGCGGGAGAGGGACGAAGTTATGGCAATCTCGGCAACGCTTATCATGGTCTAGGACAGTTCCGAACAGTAATCGAGTACCAGAACCGTTCTCTAGAAATTTCTAAAGAGGTGGGAGACAAGACTGGAGAGGGAATAAGTTATCACCATCTTGGCACCATTGTTCTCGGTCAAAAAAAGTTTAAAAGGGCAATCGAGTTGTATCAACGTAACCTAGAAATATCCAAAGAAGTAGGGGACATGACTGGAGAAGCGTGCTCACTCGGTTCTCTCGGAATAAGTTTCGAGTGCCAAGGAGATCTCATGAGGGCCTTCATATACTTTAACTCGAGTGTAGAGGTGTATGATGCCATCACGGCCAGTCTTCAACTCAACGATCAGTGGAAGATTTCTTATCGTAATCAGCACCAAAGTGCATACAAAGGTTTGTGGCGTACAAGTCTCATTCAAGATAGAGTTGTGAACGCTCTTCTTGCCGCAGAAAAAGGACGTGCTCAAGCTCTAAGAGATCTTATGGACACAAGATATCGGCCTGATCATATTTTAAGGAACAGTGGTTCGTGCCTTTCCCTGAGTTCTGTTCCATCAAATACAGTTTTCATGGCTCTCAATGGACCGTGCGTTCACTTCTGGGTTTTTCTCTCGGAAGATAATATTCAGATGAGAAAATTACATGTGAACAATTATAAATATGAGGATGAATTGGAATTTTTCATCCAGTTACAGAACAAAACTGCCCTTAAGGAGATTGGCAGAAGAGATGCTGTTTCATGCGAAAATCCTTCACCTGGCTCGCCAAAAGAGGAGGAAGTTGCCAACGATGTGATCCGAGTTGATGTGAGGTGCTCACAATCAAGGGCTCTACAGAAGCTTCATGACATCATCGTTACCCCTATTGCTGATCTGATCAAAGGCAACGAGATAACTTTTGTTCCCGAGGGGCCACTTTGCCTTGTATCTTATGCAGCATTGGAGGACTCAGAAGTCATCATATCTTAGTGATTCTTTCAGTATTCGTGTGCTTCCGTCTCTGACGACGTTGCAACTAATTCATGATTGCCCAGCTGAATTCCACATGAAAAGTGGTGCATTACTTGTTGGCGACCCATGTTTCAAACATATTATCTATCAGGGAGGACTTTTGGTGCAACTCCCGGGAGCAAGGAAAGAAGTGGAGATGATCGGACGCATCCTCAAACATTCCCCTCTCATTGGAGAAATGGCAACAAAAGAAAAGGTGTTAAAACGAATGTCATCAGTAGCGTTAGTTCACATTGCAGCGCACAGTAAAATGGAAACTGGAGAAGTCGTCTTGGCACCAAACACTACCAGGAAAAACTCTCAGCCAGAAGAGGAAGACTATCTAATGACTATGAAAGATGTCCTAGAAGCTGGGCTGCGGGCTCGACTGGTTGTACTAAGTTGCTGTTACACCGCTCGTGGGGAGGTTATGGCCGAGGGTGTGGTCGGCATCGCGCGAGCATTTTTGGGTGCCGGTGCTAGATCTGTTGTGGTAACCTTATGGGCGATTGATGACGAGGGAACCCTGGAGTTCATGAGTTTCTTCTACGATGCACTTTCTAAAGGCAAGAAGGCAAGTGAAGCTCTCCAGCACGCCATGAAGTGTATGAAAGAAAGTGAAATGTTCAAGGAGGTGCAGTACTGGGCACCATTTGTACTCATTGGTGATGACGTCAGCCTGGATTTCAAGGAAATTCAGACTTCGAACAATGTAATTACTCTGTTTATTACATTTATTGAATACCAAGTGACTTAAATCAAAATTATAGCTGTTTTATGTTATTTTGCTTTAGCAATTAGGAATTTTTCGTTGCTCGAGCAAATTGAGGTGCAATGCAATCGCTGCAACACATTTACGATGAGAACCTTGATATGAACGAAAAAAAGTAAATTTTATTTTGCATAGCCAAGGGAAACATCCTATGACAACTCAACGATCCTTCTTGAATTTTAACTCCTATTTTTCAGCTGAGGCAGTGAGCATTGGAACTGTATCAGGTCAAGGATCAAGCCCGCGGAAGTCAACGGTGATATTTGGACCAGAAACCAATAAGCTACCGATGAAATCTTTGTCAAGAGTCTTCTCCTTAAAGCAGGGAGAATCAACAGATGGCCAAAGACAAAATCAACGAGAGTCCTTAACGATATCTATTGTTTCAAAACTTGACTTGTCACCCGTCTGAACTGTTCTTACGAGCTTGAAGGATTTTGGATACTCTAAAGGAAAAGGACTTTCAAGTGTTTTGATCCTTGATATCTTACTTAAACTGATTTTCATGAAATTTATATTTCAAGTAAGTTATATTTTTTTAGTCTAACATGGATGAAACTGTTAACTATAGACAAGATTTGGGCGTCACATTAACGTCAAAGTGGAGGCGTCTTTAAGACGATTTCCAAAGATTTTTTGTACAGATTTTTCTCTCGATCGGCTTTTGGCTGATGAAGGATATAAAGCTATTAGAAACATATCCATAGATCTTTGAGAATAATCCGTAGTCTGATTGCTCGAATATCTTAGTTTATGTCAAATGGAGAATGTGATAAACATTTTGAGCATTTTTACTTAGTCATTGCTTATCAAAGTTTTTCCTCTGTATCAGAAACATTGTTTTCCGGGACTTAAAATGACAGATTTTTACCTTTATGGCCGGGATATAATTTTGCGCTTAACAATATTTCATCAGATTTTTCTTTTACGTTTGAATGCTATAAATTGTGCTTATTGTTAAAGCATCACGATGCATTTTAGATAGGCTGATAAAACTATTCGCACAATGGTATAACGAGAGGTTAAAAAGAGTTTTTTTTCAATGTTTTGTTGTTACTGCCACTACTGATACTTGTGTATCATACAAAGCATCAATAGAAGCTCAGAATGTGCGAGAAAGCTGAAACCTAGTGATATATTTAGTCACTCCTATTTAGTTGTTTACCTATTTCGTAAGTTCAATAAAGAAGCATTTGAATGTCAAAAATGAGGCAAGTCATTTGAAATTTCTTTGGAAGGGAGGGGTAAGTCAATAACAAAATGAAGAAAATTTCTGGCAACCTTTATTGGTCATATCCCATCACTTTCAATAGCGCGCGCTTCCGTCTTATTCGTTAACCCTTCCACTCCCAAGATCTCATAGGTAATTCTCCTTTCTGTCTCCCATACAATTTTTATGATATTAGTGAGGAGAATTTAGGTTTGGATCAACCAATGATCCCCTGATTGATAGTTTGCTTTATTCTCCTTACTTATCTTCTTGATATTGTCTTGATATTGTAAGGAGAAATTCTCTCTTGGTCACTCATAGGAGTTAGAGGGTTAATGCCTGAACTATAAGCTGTCTGTGACAGAAGACTGAACTTTTCGTCAAACTCGTGGGCCGGCCTATAACAAGGTGACATGCAAGATTTGGAATTTAAGTAGTTTTTAGAAAGTGGCACTTCCAATTCGAACTTTGGCTTTGGTGTTGGCTTTTGAGGATGGAAAAAAAAACCTGAGAAAAAAAATACGTAGTAAAATAATTGAAGTAAGGAGAAACTTGGAACAGACCGGGTAAGGGGAACGCTGTCTCGGCGCAATCCAGCTACGTTGAAGCAGAGAAGCGAATAAAAATTAGATTTAAGGCGCTTTTAAATCTAGCCCGCAGAAGAGGTGTATCTTTTAGCGTTTTGCAGTCGACCGGAGGCAAGCGCGCAAGGCGACGCGAAGTGTGAGCCCTTTGCTTTTAAAAGACCGTTAACCAGACTCGAAAAGTTAGGAAGCTAAGAGGATGACCAGTATGACCAAACCCTGCTAGTTAAAAAAGCGACAGCGTAAATCATTTCCGTAGGAATAGGGGTCCGAGGGAGTTTGTGCCCCATCCCCCAATGCACTTTTTTGGCTAAAAGGATGGTCAAAAATGCCTGACCTGAAGCTGTAACAATAGAAATAACCACAGAAAAAACAAAAAAAAGGAAAAAAAAAAAAAAAAAAAAAAAGCAAGCCTCAAGGTTGCTTAGAAGTGACAATTTTTTTTTCTCAATCAGTGCTCCAAAATGCGCCAAATTGATTTGAAACGCGTTCCTGACCCACCATGCTACCAGTGTACCCCTCTTCATTTCTAAATTGGTTCCTTCGGTCCTGGTTGATTATTTAGCAGTATGTCTCTAAAAACCATTTCAACATGACCTAAGGGAGGGAGTATGAAGTTTCAGTTACCCTTACCCTTCCTAATTCTGTCACGATTGTGGGCAACTTTGTCGTCCCGCGTGTAATCTCAATGGTTTACATCACAAGACGAATTCTAACGATCTAGGAGCAGAAAGTAATGATTTCCCTCGGTTATGGTTAGACTAAGTTGTTTTCCTCGTTTTCCCAGACATCGTCGGCGTGTTGAAAAATTCGACACGCTCTACCCTCTTTAGGACAGTTTACATCGATTTGTCATGTGATCACTTACATTTTTTAAAAGAGAAATTGAGTGCGAAGAGGTTATAAATAAAAGGTTGTTTTTGTTACTTGTCGATGAAATATGTTTAGTTATTTTTGACGTTTCCTTTGTTCTTAAAGTCCACTTGGGTGTCGTATGATTTTACTATCAACTATCGCATACAACCTCAAATGTTCGCATGCAGCGTGAGCCTTGCAAATTTGCGGAAAAAATTAAAAAGTGACTGTGACCACGACATTTCACCTCGAAATTTCGACGATACGATTTGACATGTATTCGAGGTGAACGCTTATTGCGTGCGATGGCTGTGGATACATCGGAAAGCACTGCAGCATGTGTATTTAGCCCATAGGCTGTGTTTTCCGGAGATCGAGTCTTAAACAGGGTGTGAGATGTCACTCAATGTCTGTTAAACAATGAATCTCTCCGAGCTGGGGAAGAAGCGAATTCTCAACGCACGGGAAATTGGCGCACGGTCGACAAGAACTGGTCCTCTCGTGCATGCCCGTCGACACTCGTGTTGATTCGAATACGTAGTCTAACACCGCTGACCAACTTAATCTCTTTAACTAACTCTCCCATCCTTCACGCTCCCTGCAGTGAAACAAACGAACTCCCATGAGTGACCAAGAGAGAATTTCTCCTTACAATATCAATACAATATCATGCATAGAAGTGACGAGAATACAGTAAAATGTCGATTAGGGGATTATTAGTTGATCCAATACCAAATTCTCCAAATTGATATCATACCTTGGGAGTTAAAGGGTTAAGATCCTTTAAAAAAAACAGGGCATCAACAACATAATTTTTACCACTAAATCCAGTGGAGAGAGAAAAAAAAAGGGACAAAGAAATAAAACAAAAACAAAACAAAAAAACGTGAGCAGCGCCAAAAGATTTGTTTCATTCCCTTCGTTCGACTGCTTTTAAGCAAGTTCGTGGAAAGAGAAACAACAGAAGTAGAAGACTAGGAACTTTATTTTCCTCATCAAATGCAACAAACACCACTCACAAAACACAGCTCTCAAAAGCTTCTTCGCTTTAGGATCAGTATTAATTTGCCACTTTTTTCCTTATTCATAAATTAATTTTGCGTTATTACAATAGGTTTAAAATATAACATAAAAAGACAAAATATCATGTGCAATGACAATTTCTATCAAACAGTCCAAGGTCACTGGATTCCACTGCGATCGGAGTGGAGCAATGGTCTCCTTTCATCATCCGTTGTGCCCTCTAAGAAATGAGGCCTTAACGATGACTCGCATTCCAGCACCGTCACTGCCTTTAAAGTCATCGGACCCACGTAACTCAGAAGTACAGGAAGAAACACGAGACCATGCAGCGCGCCGATCAAAACAACGCCGAGATACATGCGAAAGTAGAATACCTAGGCGGAAAAAGGTTAAAGTTAAGGTTAGAATTTATTTTACATTGACGCTTAGTTACGCCTTGATTAGGGGCGTGCGCTCGGAAACGGCCGAAGTGTGATCGGACGAAGTCGTTGTGGGAGGAACTTTTCGGGGAGCTGGGCCAACGTAACTTAACAAAACAGGAAGGAGTAACAGCCCGTGAAGAGCACCCAGTATTACAATGCCAACATACATACGGAAGTAGAAAACCTGAAAAAATAAGTAAATAAAAAGGAGAACTGATTTAATTCAATTCAACATTAAAATGCACCATTCACGACTGAGACATCTCGCAGTAACATCGAGGCTATGCACTGATCAATATTGAGAATTACACGTCAAATAGTGTCACGAAGATGAACGCAAGGGAACGTATGGATATTGGCAATGTATACGTATGGACACCAACAAAAAAAAAATCTAAAGTAGCTTTTTTAAAAAAGGCAGAGAGAAGAAATACAGATGTTGCAAACATGTTAGGTCAACACAACTCATACACACTTTTACCTAGCTAATCGAGGAAAATCCTCTACAAAATTAAAACGTGGCAGTGAAACGCTGTAAGATTATCGATTCTAGAGAATACACGTAAAAAATCTTATTGGGACCTGGGGAATACGAGTTTCAATCTTGTTCAACACAATCTTGTTCCTTTAATTTTTAGAGCTTTGATCACAAATCTTTTATTCCTAATTAACACATCTGTGGAGTAATCTTTCTTTAAATAACAAACACTCTTGTACTTTGAGTAATAATGGTAAGAAGTCATGTTCATTAACCCTTTTCTAGTTAAAAAACCAGCTGTAAATTAAATAATTGACTCTCGTGGGGATTTCAGTGTCATATTATCGGTCGATTTAGAATGTTCAAAATTCACCAATACTTACTTGGGATGGTAAATGTTCTAAGTATTACAAACTGCTTGCGTGAGTGGAAAAACATTAAAAGTTGTTATAAACTTAGCATTTGAGGTAGAGAAGGAGTGCGAGGTCGATTAGTGAGAAAATCGAGATCGCGTCATGAAGTCCTAGTTTCGAATATGCTTTGAGCACCCACTGGATTTGTTTTTCAGTAGTCACGTGTTTTACTTCTCAACTACGCTTATAAAAACCCAACTGCTTTACCTCCATGCCAGTGGAGGTTATAAAAAACGGTGATACGCTTGATAAATAATATTTTTTTTCACACTATTTAATAAGGGGCTCTTTAATGATGGGTTAATCTGTGTTTCTACTTCTGTTAGTAAGAGAAAGCTTTAAAAAAAATATCAAGACTTTCAAAATTCTAAATGTATCTCTAATCTCGTTGTTACAAGTTCAGTCAGTTCACATGATGTTTCGTTTGAACTTTTTGCTGTATTTTTTGGTTTTGTTTTGTTTTTATTTTTTCGCTTTTAAGTTCGTTTTAATTGGCTGATCTATTGAAATTTATTGTCAAGCATTTTCTTCACCAGCCCCTTGCTCGGATACAACAGGTATCCCCATCCTAATCCTTAGTAGTTTTACTTTTAGCCGCCATTTACTGCAGGAGGATGTTTTATCGTTACATTCCTCAGTAGCGTCAGGGCATCCTCACTTTCATATCGAGGCCACACGCAAAAACTTAACAATGAAGATGTTTTAGTTGTGCTTTACGCTTACCTTCGTTGAAGTTGAGGGATTGAGCATGTAGGGAAGAGCTTATTATGTCATTCACGCGATAGACATTGCAAGAGTTTTATTCGCGAGATACAAGAAATGCTCACCTGAAATATTTGAGACTTGGAAAAGTAAAGCACTAAGATCCCAGAAAACTTTGTTAATGTAATTCCACTCAAAACCTGTACAAAAAAAAAAAAAGCCAAGGCAAAGTAAGGTTGGTGCTGGTTATTTTAAAATTACATTTCAATATACGATAATATATACAATTCACGTGCAAGCTGCCAAATCTCCAAGGCCTGGTCACTAAGGCTGGCTGCCACAAAACCGAAGATGACTGTCGAGGAATCCAGATTAAATAACCCTCTTCTATAGAAAGCCTGAGGCGCACTGATTGCGTAAAAACCATGATTTGGGATAGACCTCTTGTATTCAACCGGCTCTGTATTTAGGTTGGCTTAAATGAAGATGTTACAAAGTTATGCAAACCATAGCTGACTTACTGAGCTGCCCATTTTTGCTAGAGCTTCTTTGGCTCTTTCTACTCTTGATGGTTGTGCATTGACGGTAAAAGCCCGCGCAATGTGGGAGCAGAACTCTACTGAAATACCAACAGCCTGCGAGGAAAACATAATTGTCTGGGTTATCATATAAGCTGTGAGAGACTATGGTTTGTCATCCAGTATATGGTAAAACAAAACACACTTCGTCCAAACAAAACTAACTATCACCGAGATGGTCTGATATCAAGAATTTTTATTTTGGGGTTTTATCACTGCTTCACTACTTCACTTTTGAGCAAAGTACAAGTATCACATCAACTAACAATAGGACCTTGCATATTCGTAATAATGCCTCCTAATATCACAGATACCGTATTTTTTGCCCAAACCGTCAAGTCACAGTGAGATAGAATGCGTATACCTTTTGAAATTAATGTAATGCTTCTGTAGATTTGTACCAACGTTGCAATTTATCTTCGTAAATTTTGCGTGAAAACCTTTCTTTCGATAATTTTCGTTTTAAGTTTTGCGCGGGTATTGGCATGCGTCTGGCTGACATTGGCCCATTTGCGCACGTCTTACGTTTAACCGCTGTATTTAAACATTAATCCCCAGGTCATCATACATACCATTACAAGATTGACAAGCGAGACGGCATTTAGAGAAATGTTCCATATGTACATCAGACCCATCAAATTGACAATGATGATAGCCACTGTAAAGGTTACTATCAACGCTATGCTCAGATTGAATCCCAAGAGAAGGAAGGTCACCACAAAGATGGCAGCTAAAAAAAAACAATGACAAATGTAATATTCTAGTGGTGTTGGTATCTGGCTAAGCACAGGTTCTTTTTGTAAAACCCCTAGTTTCAGGGTGCACATGTAAAGATTATGTCAGAATGCGTTTACTAGTAGACTGACTGACTCATCCTAAATAACCTTTTCCATTGAATGTCTCGTTTGACTGTAGTCAGAATCAACACTTTATTGGTCCAAAAAACTCGCACCACTCTCTGAACTATCAGATACAAAACTTCAACCAATCACGACTTGGTTACCCGCGTTTTCCCACGCTTTAGGCAGTTTGCTTTGCAGTTTTGCGTTATTATAATATCAATATTTGACGGCATCAAGTGGCGTGTAGAATTAACATGATCACTTAACGTTATCTGCAGTTAAGAACCTCCTGGAATAACAATCATATTGCTCGAGGTTTTCGTGGAAAATCAATTCAAATTTACTTTAAAATGGCGACTTAGGATTTGCCCAAATCTTACTCTTTAAATAAACTGACCTGCACAACATAAAAGATTTTCCCAGGTGTCATTCGCAACCGTAAGGTATTGTTCGTAGAAAACGTAGAATACACTGAAATAAAGGTAAATAAATAAACAGCTTATAAATTCATTTGCGTGTTAAGACAGGCTGGCCCAGTTCAGCTTTAAGACTGGTTTAAATGTGGGCCTGTATAACTAACAAGTACACACTACAACACCGGGAGATATATTCCCTACTCTTTGCGATAAGCGCGTGGGTTCTTTAGCGTCCCATGCTAAGCAGTACAAAGAAGATACAAGCGACAATATCCTATGGAATAGGGGCAATTTCCTAGGAAGGTGTTGTTTGGTCTCGTCAAGCCGCGGAAATTATTGATTAACAACGTCTCAGATGCAGCATTTATACAAGGGACGGCATTCATGCTCGGCTATGTTTAGCCCGTAAAAAGTGGGATAAGTATTGGTGAACCATTCCTCTATACTTAACTTCCTTAAACCCTCCCAATAAACGCCACAAGCTTCTGTTTAAGAGCAGCTTTCATTCTTTCTGAAATTTTGCTCCCATTCGCAGCGATTAATCTGGGGCGGTGTTTCATCAAATTTATGATATTTAAACTGGGCCCTTTCTACTTGGTGTTTTTCTCACCTGTATGGGAACACTTCCACGCCAAGTGTCTTCGAGATGTTTTTCGCAATTTCACGAGCGCTCTTCAAAGCTGCTGTGTACTCTGGTGAAGTTTTAAGGATTTTGTGGTAGGACATAAAGTAAGAGGCTGGAAAAAAAACAAGGAAAGAACATATCGATAATTGATCCGTAATTCACTTTTGGTTTTTTTTAATTTTTATTCTATTATATTAATTTTTTTTTCATTTTGGAAGCTTATGGTTTCCGCGGGCTCGAGCCTCCGAACATAAAATTTTTTTTCCATGTGCTTCTGGATGATGAAGAAGTTCGAGTGTCTAATGTAAAATTGTGGTTACTCTTTAAATGGAGTACATCGTTAAATTTCATTCGCAAAGCACTTCCATTCAGACGATTCTTTCAAGATTTCGAAAACTTCACTGTGGCAGTAGTTAACAACGTCTTGTCACAGCTACATCGAATTACCAAATATCGAAATTGCCCAGATCATCTGAATTTACGTGAATTCCTTTTCCCTAATACCATGAAAAGAAATTCTGTCCTTATATCATTTTTTTAAGACAAAAGTCGATCGTCATTGTCATAGTGTGATCATTTATTTACCACTGATCAATCTTTCGATTCTTACCAGCTTAAAATGGCCAAGCAAATAACGCTCACTGTATGAATAATTCACTATCAGAAGCAACATCAGTTCATTTTCACCCAAAAAGGCTAGGAGAAGGAACAGCAATATCAACGAGGGGATTATGTGTTATTAAACCCCAAATTCTCAGAAGTAAAATTGTAAGAATTAAACAGCAAACCGCGAGGAGAATTGATCTTTAGATCTAACGAACCTTTGCCTCTCTTTTTGTTGTCATGTGGGTATATTCTTTTTATTTCAGTGTTTTGGTTCAACTTTCCTCTTTCCTCTTAAAAATTCACCAATCTGCCAGCAAGGCTTGGGAGTGAAATAGTGTATTCTGACGCAAGAATTACCACAAAACATACAGATATACAATGCATACTCACCTTGAATAGGGTACTTATCACTTTTGTCACCAAACAGGAGAGCGTCGCCATATGCTGCATGACCACTGGAGAGGAAAATACAACAGTACATATCAGGTAAAAGTTTACCGCATAGTTATTTATGCTTTGTTTTATGGCAAAATATTTTTTTCTGAGGGGGGGAGGGGAGTCTTACTGGTGAGAATAGATCTCTCTAAATATGATCAAGGGATAATTTTTTTTCAAAATTCGAGGGGCTACAGAACCAGACGTAATTCGTACAATTTTCTTTTCAACCAACAGATAAATAACATAATAGGAAACGCCAGTAACTTTTCCTAATGTGGTGCCTTAGTTTACAGCCCAAGAAGACTAACATAACTAGAATTTTAAACACAAAGGCACCTCTTCCCTTTTTTCTACCCCACCCCCCTGGAGTTTCTTCAATTCTTCGACCAACTGAGACACATCGCGCAATTGGTGAAGTTTAACTGTTTTAGTTAGTTTGACTATTTAACCAGTTGAAACCAACTGGATGCTCAAATGTCAGCTTTGAAGCTTTTTACGATGGCCAATTTACATTATCAACTCAGTTGACAATACTAAATTACAGTACAGGTACAGTAGATTTCTTCTTCAATGGCTGCCAGCAACCTTGGTGCCATTTACATCATTTTAAGGTGAGCTTGAATTCCTTACCCTTTGGTGCATTTTGTCTCTGGGTTGTCCTTGAGATAAAATGGCAGGAACTTATCAAACTGCTTTGGGGTTGGTCTCTGACCCTTTTGGCTTAAATTCAGGCATGGTTTGCACAGGTCATCATCAACTAAAGAAAAAAAAAGAACAGGAACAGAAAGACAGTAAGAAACCTAAAATATCAGCCCTGAGTCACACATTAAGGTCATGAGAATAAAGGAAATGATCACCAACTAAAGAAGCTCTTGATTGTTAAACAAATTCTCCTTGTCATCAAGTTAAGAAATGTGTAAAGAACAGTATGGAGAATATACACACTGATGTTAGGGTGCAAAGGGTTAAGAAAGACTGGTGCTGAGTGTTTATGTTCACCCTTTACACCCTAACACCAGTATGCATATTCTCCGTACTGTTTTTGATACATTTACTCTAATGATGACCAGGAGAATTTGTTAATCAATCAAGAGAATATTTAGTCGGTAATCATTTCCTTTCCACTTTCATGAGTAAATGGCTCAGAAGAAAAGGTTTACAACATCTGGGTTTTTAAAGCTTGCTGAATATGCAAGAAGTCATGGTTACTGATTTTGCCTCTAACAAAACACGGACCATTCAATCTGGCACTTGGTTGGGCATTTTAGAACACAAACTTGGCTCAGCAGGGCAGGAATTTGAACAGACCAACCTTTAAAAGCTCAAATGGCAGAGGGGGAGGGGGTAGGGGGAAGGGGTTGTTAAGGGGGGGAGGGGGAAGGGGTTGTTGGCATTCCTGAAAAACTTGTGGGTGGAGAGAGGGGCATTGTCAGAGGTAAAAGCGTTTTTCCTGAGAACTGGAGAGTGGAATAAATTTACTTCAGCCTTACAGGCCACATCACTTACATGTAAACCAACCTAACCTTTGATGTCTGCAGGAAAGCAAGCACTCACCTGTTGCATTACAGAAGACGTAAGGCACTACAGGTGTTGTTTCATTATAGCAGATGACAGCAGGTGCTGGAGTTGTTGTGTTAGTTGAGTTAGGTGGCATTACTGTTGTACGGAAACATGTCTCGTTCCTTTTGTACTTAATACGACAACACGAGTTCTCCCTGTTAGGTTCAATCCAGCTGAAATAGTCATCTAACCAAGAAGATGCTGACATAGCTATCTTGGATCTGGTTAAAGAATAATGATGATGATAATAATGATAATAATGATAATAATAATAATAATAATAATAATAACAATAATAATAATGAGAAAACGGATTCCAACTGATTCCTTTATGAACATACTGTGGAACTCAGAAAATGCCAGAAAAAAAAAAAAAAAGCTGAAGACTGATTGTGTCCTGGAAAACAACAATAATCTCAACTGCATGCAGTAACAATAATTTGTCTGTAACTTTCAGTATATGGTTGAACATGTACATCTACACATGTGTATACACTACACATGGTTGCAAAAGAACTAACCCCACAGTTCCCCATATCAACTGCACTCTGATCATAATCAGTACTATGGACTGTGAGAAATCTTAAAGAACTTACTCTTGAGGGATCAGTGAAGCACTGTAGATTTGTTGTACTAAAGAAGAGGAATCACAGCCTGCCGAGCCACAAATCTTGTTTTGTCCTGAGGGATGTTCATAATCATAGCCTCCATTAACCACAAAATATACAGGTGGACCAACATGTAGATATTCTTTCATGTCACCGAACCAGTTCAAGAGGTAAGAATCCTATGAGGGAAAAGAAACATACACTGTACCTTTTTAACCATTTAACTCTTAAGTTCTGATTGTTAGAGTTCTTACTTTGAGCTGCTCTAAATTTCCTTTTAAACTAGTTACAAGAATTTGGTGTGAGATCAAAATTAAAACTTCTACCTGATAAGTTTGAGTTTTCTCATTACCTGTTTGCTGGAGAATTTATGGATATTATAGGGAGAAGTTACCTGTTAATCACTTCAAAATTATCCACAAAAAGTGGACACCGGAAACGTTTGCTATTTCATAGTGGAAATGCCATTTTGATTAAAGTCAGACACTAAATTTTCTCCTCAGGTCAAGATCTGCTCCTTGTCAAAAGCAAAAAAAAAAAAAAAAAAAAAAAAAAAAGAAAAATCATTTTTGTCCATTACCTTGGGCAGTGCAAGTTCTTGATCAAGGCCAATGTCTAAGTGAGGGATAGCTGCAATGCTTGCAAACAGAAGACCAGTGAAGAGGGCAATCTTTACAAGCATATAATGAAAAAAAAAAGTCTGAGTTTGACATACATGGTATAAGTCACATTGACAATAGTGCACAAGCATCAGTATACAATTAATGTCGCAGTAACAGAAGAAAAGAAACTACAATACTACTTGTGGATACTGCAGCACCCTCACACACACATCAAGCATGTGTAATAACTTCCATAACATGAAGTTATACACACGCATGTAATCAAATGAATGTATTTCAATTTGGTCTTAGTCATTTGCTACAGTTACAGATGTGTGCGTACTCTTACACATGAATGCCATCACAATGAAAATTGGTCTTTTACTAAAAAAAAAAACAACAAAAACAACAACAAAAAAATGGAAATTGTACACATGACAAGACACCAAAACAGTTTTACAGAACTACAGAGCATAGTTCATGAAAAAATGGACACATAATAAGTTAGTTGTACACTGAAGTTCAAAATGGGTTTTAAGTTAAACTGGCTTCAGACTCCATGCAGATTTTTGAGTGATCTTCCTCTTTGTTTTAAGTACACTTCTACATGTATGATCCTCAAACAAGCTTCATTTGCATCATAACAAACTGAAAAAGAGCCCCCTAAAATTGAAGAACAGGTTCTGCTGGACTTGCTAAAATAAACCCTGCAATTAGAACTGGAAGACTTCAGAACCTCACCACTGTAGGTCTACTGTAGTCTGAAAGTAAAACTTCTGCAAAGTAGTTCTTCATGAAAGTATAAACGCAAATCATATGGTCTTGGCTGTCATCTTTTGGCTGCTTTACACAACACAAAACATCCAAGCGGTTGTTCTCTTGGCGTTTAGCATCTAAAGACATCAGGGCCACAAATGCTGTAACTTGGAGCAAGAAGTCAAAGAAAACAGCTGCTGCTGCATAAAGTGAGAATATTCTTACTGCTGGCATAGTTGACATTGCACCTGGAGAAAAATCATAACAAAATTAAAACTGGACAGTACAAGCAGAAGTTAATGCCAGTACTACTACATGTATTTCAAACTTCACTTGCTTGCTTTAACTTTGTACAGCCTCTTTAACGACCACAGCCATCAGTGCTGTAATCAGTAGCCATTTGGACCTCTGAATTATTGCTTTGGAATTATTTTAAACATAAAGTACACTGCAACACAAGTAATCTTCAAAATTCATTGTAAATTCTGAGAATATGGACATGTTTGATCTCAAAGTCATTGACAATCAAAGTTAAATAATACTCACCTATTGCGAATGCAACAGACTCCGATAAAGAGGTTAAGAGCATACTTGGTGCTACTTCACCCAAAACACGCCCAATTTTATGAGGTACATCCCCTTCTGCATGTTGATCCTGGCGCTGATATGCCTGCACAAGAATGAAGATGTTGTCCACACCCACTGCTAACACAAGGAATGGCACCACTTCAATGATAATGAGAGTTGCTGGCTCACGAACAAAACTCCAAAAGCCAACTGAAGAAAGAACCGAGAATAACACTACCAAGATGCCACTGAATCCAAGGGTAAATTTGGAGTCAATCTGGGGAGAAAACATCATGAAATTTAAGACCCACAAAATTGAATCCACTATAGAATATTCAAACCACAGGCAAAAAAATTAATATGTAATGACAACATATACAGGATACATGTATGAATCAAAAAATACACAAAATTAATTATTGAGTGATCTTACTGGTAAGTTCTATTTTGTATTTTCAATCATTCAACAAAATTAGTTTCAGACCCTTGAAAATATTAGCTTACCAAAATTCTGTCACAACTCTTGAACTGTCCCAGAGCTATAGTGATATATATAAACATGATCATATAGCTGGCCAGTATGGTAAAAATATCAGTGTTGCTCTCACGGTCCAGCTCATCTTGAATGCTACGCTCAGCAGAGTAACTTATAGTAAGATTGTTATTGGACTTGTTATGCGTGTATCTGTGCATGAAATCTAAGAAATGTTTTTCCCATGCCATTGCTTTGGATAGCTTGCTCTTCTCTTTGAAGTTATTCACAACGAAGGTTATGATCAAGGCTGTGGCATTTTCATAGGCACCATTATGGAAGCCTCCTAACGCAATGTTGGGGTTCACAGGTCCACCATAAGCACCCAAGCATGGTTCTTTCAACTTAGGTTCATTCTCAGATGTGGGCGAACTAAAAAAGGGAAATGTTAGCAGTGTAAGAAAAAGTTTACAGTTATTCAATTTGGTCAGTACACAAGTAAAGAAGAACATTTATTTAAGGAGGTTATGAAGTCACATGTTCAACAACTATGCACCCAAGTAGAGGTCAATAGTGATGGATATTTACCGAGCAGCAAAACAGCTGGGTAAATATCCACCACTTTTGCTAACATGTAGGTGAATAATTTTCTTAGTATATCTCACACAGAAACCAAAATAATTTAGTTTGATCTGTAAATAAACTTAAAAAGTGTTCTGAAATTTAAGTTGATGCAAGATTTTGTCTCTTCAGCTGCTTTGAGTTGAACAGTACTTGCTAATCACTTCTGAACTAGCCAATCAGCAAGCAAGAAAAGGACTATTCACCCGTGTCTATATTATACTAATAAGATAGAGACCACATCTGGAGTGAGTGCTATGTGAGACAAATAACCAGACATGTACTTAAACCCTTTAACTCCCAGATCAAATTTGTATTTCTCCTTACTGCCAACCATACAATTCTTATGATGTTAGTTCAGAGAATTTTGTATTGGATCAACTACTTATCCCCAAATTGATATTTTTCTTTATTCTCATCACTTATCTGCTTGATATTGTATTGATATTGTAAGGAGAAATTCTGTTATGGTCACTCATGGGAGTTGAAGGGTTAAGTAGCGAAAGGAAGGCAGCAATCCCTTCAGCTGTAAGGAGGTCACTGCGGCATAGGCACCACCTACTGACACCTTTGACTGGTGTGCGGGATGAAAAACTGAATGACAAAAAGTGTGGAGAGGGAGGGGAGGGTGAGAAAAAAGCCAGCAGATTGTACATAAACACATTCCATTTTCCTAGAAACATCCCTACATGTAGGGATGACAACATAGCGAGTTGTCATTAGAAAGCAGTAGACAACAGAGCTATTAGACCAATTTATGCTGGCTTATTTGGAGAATTTTGATCAAACACTGAAAATAAGAATCTAATACCAACATCTTGAACTGCCTTGAAGAGAGCAAACACATATGTTACAAAGGAAAAATTTGTTCTCACTGTGCAAGCAAAATTACATTCAGCCACCAGCACAGTTTAGATCATAGACCTATTGCACCTTTGTACGACTACCCTGCAACATACTAATAGTGGTGCAGCTGTGCTGACTTCAGGTTTTAGCCTTGTTCAAATTGACACAACAATTTACTCTTCAAGAATAGTTACAACTTACTTTGTGCAAGCTAGTATATGATCATGAAAGTCACCTTCCCTGAAGTCGTGTGGATCATCTTTACAGTTATGACCCAAGCTGGTTAAGCACTTGTTCAGCCTTGTTTTGTTGTTTTGAAAATATTGAAAGACACTTTGTATGGTACAAGCTTGAATCTGAGGGGCCAAAGGCTGGAAGCAGATATCTTGCAATGTGATGTTTGCGTCTTCATAGTGAACTCTCATGTTGGTAATTTCGTTTTGAAGATCTAAAGCCTAAAAATAGACATAAAAATGTTACAATGACTGTTGAATCCCTTTCTTTTTTTTTATCAGTTTCTGATTGTTGAGTATAGCAGTAAAATATGTTGTTATTACAAATGATGGCTTTATGTGGTTAAGAGAATCTGCTACCTTTGCTATGCTATAGCAAAGAAATTCTAGTATTCTTGGATAAGGACCATACACCATAGGCCCAGTCTGCTGCATGTACTTCTCACAAAGAGTAGGGAATGTACATGTAGCTCCCAGTGTTATGGTCTGACCATGTCATTATAGGCTCCCACTTAAACCAGCTTTAAAGTTGAACTATGTCAGCCTGTCTAAATATTGCAAATACTAATACAAACAGAAAACTGAGTTAAGTATACACCATTTAACTCCAATGGTAACCAGACATTATTTCTCTTTATGATATCAATACAGTGTGATGTTAAGCCCTGTTCAAACAGTCATGATAGCTGATGATAGTTTTAACTTTGGTTCACTATCACTTCTTATCATGTTCACATTTAAACAGTTCATAATAATTGATGATAGTTGACAAAATTATGCAAAGAGATCGCGTAATTGTAAACAAAACGCACCGAGGTCAGCAATATTGATGGCATTAGTAATTTTAGCAAAGAAGTTGTGAATCAAAGATACTGAAGCCTATCACAAGATAACGAGAATGAACTATAAGACACTCTGAGAAATTTTAGTGGCGATTTGTCATTTACCATTTGCTATTTAGGTTTCAGCCCATTTTTAGCATAATTGCTGAACACAAATCTATCATTTGCTAACATCCACTCATTCAAATGGCAAAAACTATCATCAACTATCATGTTGAATTTCAACATGTCCAAACAACATGATACTTTATGATTTTTGATAATAGTTTGTGTTCAAATGCATGTGATAATTGAAACCATCATCTCCGTTTGAGCAATGCTTTAGTCTGGATAATTTTGTACTGGATCTACCAACAATTGCCTAATTGATACTGTATCTCTCTTTTCCCTTGTCACTTGTTTGCTTGATATTGTATGTACTTATCTTGTAAGGAGAAAATCTGTTTAAGCCACTGGTGGGAGTTAAAGGATTAAGTCATTACAGGATACCAATGCCCCTTTTTTCCTTTTCAAATCACCCATGTAAATTCTTCTTTTGATATTGTATTAGAGTACAATAAACTACATTATTGATATACACCACAAGTTATACTGTTACCTGGTTTAGCAAATCTAGATGAAAGATTGGTCCAAAGGGAACCCACTTTCCATCTCCATAGCGATGATAGCCTGTGGGGACAGGCTTTCTTGAGCTTATTATAAGCTGCTCAGTGCGATAGAAAGGCTTAAACTTTTTATCAAAAAGCTCTTTCTGTTTGCGTGCTGTACTGTCTGGAGCAGACCACAGTTCCACAGGGTCAGTAGTGACAGAGAAATAGAACAATCCACTAGCAAGAATTCCAACAACAAGAATACATCCAACAATGACATAGAACGGGTGAGAGCTGCACCATACACCCCATCTTGTGAACCATCGGGTCACAAACGACTCTAGTTTGCTGCCCAACTGCTCACAACAACCAGGTCGAGAATCCACCATTAGCGGCAAGGATCCTGATATTGGAGGGTAGGTGCTGTTGTATCGCTGTGATTGATCAGGCACTGTGGGGTAGCTTTTTCTCAAAACCAACTTGTATAAAAAGCTGATTACAAGGCAAATTAGCAAGAAACAATAAACTACAAGCAGGCTGAAGGAGAGAAGGTCCATTCCAAGAATCTTAGTAGGGTTTACTTTAGGTGGTACAGTAGGACGTACAGGGCAGGAGGACTGACAGTCTTGGCAACTACAAACACTTGCTGTCCTGTTTGTTTGTGGGTTCACAAATGGCTGGTTACACTTAAAAACAGTTTGGTTCATCCATGAGAGATTTGAAGTTAGATTGTCAGGAAAATCGAGAGTGAATGGAGCAAATCCATTGTTTGGGTTTCCCATGTGTCCAAGGAGTTTATCTGGAGTGCACAGCTCGTCGGTAGTACCACAAAGGAGGCTCAAAACCTTCTCATTGTTTCCAGGAAAAGTGACGTCTTTGCAGGAGTCGAACAGACCCTGTTTAAATTGAGGTGAAACAAAATATTGAACTTCCAAGATATATTGTTTAATAGAAGGCGATGGTATAAATGGGTACACCACAGTTGGATCCATGAAAAGCGACTGATCCTGACTGCAGGTAAGCTGACAATACAGCCTTCTCATGTTGTTCCAACAGGCGGGACAACGACTGGTTAGTTGTAACAACGTTTGCAAATTCTTATCCAACGTTTGCAGTTGTTTGGTTGAACAACAAGTTGGTTGATCCCTCAATTCTGGGCATAAACTGTTCAATATCTGCAAACCCTTTGGATTGGTTAAATTCTTGGCCGGTCCATTGTAAAGGCAATTCTTCGGCTTGTCCCCAGTTGTACATTGATCGTACCACACACAATAACCCTTGGTGTGATTCTTAACCTTGTCACCATTTACCTGAAATAAAATCAAACTAGCTAAAACAAACTGCCAAATACATCTAAGATCCCACTCAGATAGCTTACCGAGGTTAGTTTGTAGTTCAGAAAAGCGCTGATAAATTTCTAGTACACAAATGATTTTGCAAGCATACGCCTCCAACATGTTCATGATTACGAAAGACCTTCACCTTCAACCTTTAATCGCGGTTCCAGAACTCAACAACTTGACGTTCCAACAGTAATATTAACAATACCAGCCGATAGAAATGAAACCGACATTTCTTTAAGTAAAATCTAGCTTGGTTTAATAAAGGTTGTGTAATGCAACAAGAATCGAGGCCTACCGGAGATGTGTACATCATGAAGACTACAATTAGCGTGATCGAACCAACATATGTCACGGCTCTTGCCATTTTAAAGCACTTTTTCTCAAGCTTCGACGAGTCCAGTTACTACAGATATATTTCTACGTTGTGTTCTCCTTTTTTCGGCGACAAATCCCTAACAACTATAACAGTTTTCATACAGTCAAATCCGGTTGCGAAAGGTCTAACATGGGTGAACACCAGTATAGTTACATAAACTGATCAATCATGTGGCTTGATTCTCTTCGCTGATTGGTCAACGGTTCCTCAGGCCATTCGAGCCTATTCATCGCATGACGACACACAAGTCACGAGACTTTTCGTGTTTCAGGCTACGTCTCCCACGAAATCGTTCGCTCAAAGGTCATCACAGTATCCTGAATTCAAAAATAAAACGTAATCCGATAGTTCTGAACGGTATCTTCGCGCCTCGATTTAGAAAAGCCTCTACATAACCTTGATGATGAATTATATTCTCATCGATGGCGTTGTTTACGTCGCTTTCGCATGTGACCCATGCAGGGGTAGGCCCGCCTCTTGGCCGCCTGTGGATTAGCCTTGTTCTGAATTGTTCATTGTAATCGGTTTGTGCCCAGTCGTGATGGTATGAAATCGAAATATGAGGCTGGATGTTCTGAAGAAGAAACATGACAATATTTTCGAAAATAATTTATTACGCATGGCATCGTGGCTCAACATCTGGGAGGCACTGGTTCGAATCTCGTCGAAGCCTTTTTTTTTTTTTTTTTTTTTTTTTTTTGTATATTACTGTAATTGCTTGAATTGCTGATCAGCGGCGAGGATCATTGCTTTGCTCAAGAGAATCTCAAAAAATGAATGGCTGTAAACGCTCTGTGTCCTGACGACCTGACTTGAACGCTCTGTGTCCTGACGACCTAACTTGAGTCCTTTTTTTCTCTTTTTTTTTTTCTTTTCCCTTTTGCTCTTGCCAGCTCTGTACGAGATCAGTCAGGTGTCTCGGATTGGGCCAAAGGTCAATGAGTAGAAGTTGCTGGATATTTAAGCGCGTCGGGCGCTAAATCGAATCATTACGCGGTATATGTAAATAAAGAAACTACTAGAACGTTCGACTCGAGTTTCTACGTTCTGTACGTGACGCGTGTTTACAGTAAACGTAAAATGACTCCATCACGCGTGAATTTTCTAGGAAAACAAGACAAGGTGAACACTGAAATTTTATCTTTTGAATCCGAGACGTGTGAAATTCTCTTGAAGAACACGTGACGCGTGTTTGTTTGTTTTTTTTTTAATTCGTGGGTGAAACGGGTACAGGACTCTTCGTTAATTGTTCTCATTGGGGCCAGCTCATTCTTTTTTTCGTTTTTCATAAAGTTTCAAATATAAAGTTAGTTTCGCGAACAAAATAAATTCATGTAACCCGCTGTACCTCTTCCTTACAGGGATGTTTTCTCAGATTTCCCTGAGGTCTCGAGGCCGAGGAACCTGAAAACTACCCACAATGCCTTTCGGAGTTGTCGTATGCACTTTTGTGCACATGCAAACCAAAACGAAACAATATTCGATCTCCGTAGACGGATATTTTCGAAAACACTCGCTCTGCCCTCCCCTGAAGGATAGGGGTTTGTATGCAGTATATAATTGATAAAATTAAACTTTTTATTTTTGTCTAGAGGGGAATGACGTCAGCCTCTCCAGTTTTCGATGAATAAATTTCTTCCTTAAACCCCAAAAGAATCTGACTAAAATTTTCTCGTGTAGGAGAAAATATGAAGGGGTAATACGTACAACGCCGACTGACTATACTACTTTCCATATGATGGAATCATTTTTTATATTTTTCTATATTGTAGGAGACTAGTGCTATGACCTCACGTCATTTTTCCATTGAGTGACAGAAAAACATGGCAGGCAATGATACATGTGATACCACAAGGCTTTCCCAAGGAAATTGGTCATCATTTTGCTATTGTTCTTAGGTCATATGAGAGTCTCATGAGATCATGTGATCTTTACAAATATATATTCAAAGCTGATTATAAAAGAATGATTACCAATAAAGTCTGTCGGTAAAGTTCGTCAGTGAAACTCTTATTCATTTGTGAAGATTGTGGGTATATTGGATTTAAAAAAAAATCTCGTAATATTATTGAATATAAACTGCAATCATTAAATAAAATCGAAAATCGCTTTAGCTCCTTTCATATAAAATTGAGTTGAAAAATTTTTCAGTTTCCAACTTTTGTAATGAAAAATTATTCAGTTGAAATTCATTCCATCCAATGATCCATCAGTTATTTCAATAGTTATTAAAACGTCAACCAGTGTCTATCGAATGAAAAAAAAATTTGATTTGACCCCATTTCTACTGACTTGTATTTTCAAAAGTCGTGATTTTCTTTCGGTATTCTTATACGATTGAGGCTCTTCGAGATTTTTGATACTCCTTGTATTCGTGTTCAAATCACCAGTCATTGCTCTCGAGCCATCAATTCTCAAAACATTTCCAAAATAGATTTAGTTTTCCGAACAAAATAAATTCCTGAAACTCGCTTTGCCTCTTCCTTGCAGGAATGTTTTCTCAGATTTTCCTGAATCCGGAGGACAAGGGACCGCGACCTGAAAACTACCCACAATGCTTTTCCGAGTTGTCGTGTGCACTTTTGTGTATATCCCGACAACCTTTTTGCAAACAGCTGTAGACCTTCAGTGCAAACCTAAACCTACACGAAATGATATTCGGATGTTTTCGAAAATGCTCCCCCTCCTCCCCTCAGAGTGGTGAGGTAAGGATAGGGGTTTTTGGCAAATGCATATAAATATATGCAGCATATAATTTGAAAAATCAAACTTTTTATTGGAAAACATGTTTTTCGTCTTGTCACGAGCGAGGGAAGAAGAAAAACTTCTGATTATTCACGAGGAATCGAACCTCAGACCTTCGGATTACGCGCTCCGATTCTCTACCAGTGAGCCAAAGAGACTCTATGGTGAGCGAGATCTATTACGAAATTCATATGACACGCGTCCTGCATACTGCAAGGATCAGCAATGTTTGTAAATAGAATAAGAGAGATGGCTTCTATTTACAAACATGACGCTATCGACATTGCTGACCCTAGTGGTATCAGGACGAGTGTCATATGAACTTCGTAAATAGAACACCATCTCTCTTAATCTGTTTACAAACATGACCCTATCGACATTGCTGATCCTAATGGTATGCAGGACGAGTGTCATATGAACTTCGTAAATAGAACACCATCTCTCTTAATCTGTTTACAAACATGACGCTATCGACATTGCTGATCCTAATGGTATACAGGACGAGTGTCATATGAACTTCGTAAATAGAACACCATCTCTCTTAATCTGTTTACAAACATGACGCTATCGACATTGCTGATCCTAGTGGTATACAGGACGAGTGTCATATGAACTTCGTAAATAGAACACCGTCTCTCTTAATCTGTTTACAAACATGACGCTATCGACATTGCTGATCCTAATGGTATACAGGACGAGTGTCATATGAACTTCGTAAATAGAACACCATCTCTCTTAATCTGTTTACAAACATGACGCTATCGACATTGCTGATCCTAGTGGTATACAGGACGAGTGTCATATGAACTTCGTAAATAGAACACCGTCTCTCTAAATCTGTTTACACACATTACACTATCGACATTGCTGATCCTGACGGTATGCAGGACGAGTGTCATATGAACTTCGTAACTGAGAACACCATTTTTCTTAATCTGTTTACAAACATGACGCTATCGACATGACTGACCCTAGCAGTATGCGGGACGCGTAACATATGAACTTCGTAATAGATCTCGCACGCCGATAAGTCTCTGTGGCTCAGTGGTAGAGCATCGGAGCGCGGGATCCGACGGTCTGAGGTTCGATTCCTCATGAGGAATCAGATTTTTTTTCTTCGTCCGTCGCTCGTGACAAAACGAAAAACATCTTCCTCTATATCTTTCCCGAGCTCACAACTTACCATCTCTTTTATTATATTTAAACTTCTTTTTTTTGTCCAGGGAGAATGAAGTCAGCCTCTCCAGTTTTGGATGATTTCATTTCTTCTTCAAGTCCCAAAAGGTTCCGACTAAAATTTTCCAGCGTAAATGAATGTACGAAGGGGTAATGTGCAACACCAATCAACAAGATGGATTATTACAGCTTTAATTGTATTAATTTGCATGGGCTTAGGAGTTAATTATAGTAAAGGAAGGTTACACAGTCTTACTGTTTTAAGATATGGTAAACCTGAATAAGATTCAGCTCTCACTCGCCTCGTCTTTTGCGCTCGAATTCAACCTGAAGTTCTCCTCTATTCAGATGTCCCTTGTTAGCCTGAGCCGGGCTGCCGCTCAGCGAACACCAGCGAAAAACCGAGTGAGCGAAAATCAGCGGAAGTCTGGCGCGATGAAGACTGGCTTTTTCGCTTATTCCCACAAAATAGCTGTCTTGGACAGACTAGCACATTTTCGAGAGATCCTACGTTTAATGTTATGGTTAAAAGATCCAAAAAATTTGAAAAATTAATATGTTTTCAAATCATGAGCATGTAGTTAGTGATATAGAACAAATTAAACCTTTTTCAGTTGGAAATTTGTCTTGCACATGTCATACGTATAAAAAGTCCTTAGACATTTCTGGTGTGGAGTAAGTAATGGTGAGATTGGCATGCAAAGGATTTTTCACATAATCCTCCATGAACAGCTGGAAAGATTTTTCCCAGGCTATCACTTTTGCCATTTTGCTGTCTTTGAGGAAATTCTTCACCAAAAATGTAATCTCCAAAGATGTTGCGTTGTGATACACCGGGCTTGGAAAGCCAGCTAACACATCTCCCGGAAGAACAGCACCTCCAAAGGCTGCGATACACGGTTCTTGAAGCATTTCTTCGAATGGCGAGGCGGGATACCTAAAAAGAGAGCCCATTTCCACTGAATATCGCAAACCAGAATCAAGAAGGAATATAGTATATTCCATCTGATATTTTCGCTTGTGTGACTTGGGTAAACGTGTCCCGTAACCAAATATGCGCCACTCCAATCCCCCCTCCCTTCGAAAACTCGAGAATATCTAGGTAATATTCCCCTAGCTCCCGATGCAAGCGTGATATTTTTGTGCATTTTCAGGCGAACGGAGGGTCACGTGCAAGAGGAGGAGTTATTTAGTTCCTTATTTCAATTATTTGCTTATTTATTTATTTTTTACGCGCGCTCCTCCACAGACTCGCGTTAGCCTCCAATCGCCCAAAAAGTGCAAAAAGTTTACGACTGTCCTGTGGGTTGAATTCTACTTGTGATAATCAGCATTTTTCCCACAATCCCTCTAGTGTGAGAAAAATCTTCTTTTAAATTTGATTCACACTTAAAGAGGGTTCAGCGATTGTTACAGAAGAAGGAAAGGGCCTACAAACAGTTTCTCGCCAGTATTTTAATTCAAAGATTCTTGGCAATTAGAAATTTCTTCTACAGCTTTTTCGGATCAATATCAGTACTGGGCAACTGCCCACCTACCCCTCCCCTAACCCAAAAACAGCCAAGTTAGGGTTAATGCTGGATTAGGGGAGGGGTAGGTGGGAAGTTGCCCATCCTCGTTGTTTCTTTCCTATTTTCTTTTTGTTTGTTTGTTTTTTGTCTGTTTGGGTTTTGGTATATTTTCTTTTCGCTTTACCTGTTTCTTTGTTTTTCTCCTTTATCTATTTTTTCATATTTTTTTTCTTTTAACGAAACACTAGCGTACCACTGGGAACCTAAATTCGAAGACTGTGCTACTTTTCTTTTGTTTTCATTTTCCGTTTGTCTTTTGTTTGTTTGTTTGTCAAGCGTTTGTTGAAAAATTGACCGCGGTCAACAGCAGGATCATAATGTCTTCCTTACCTCATGCAAAATAACAGGTGATCATGGAAGTCAGCGAATTTGAAATCGAATTTGTGTCCATAGCTGCAATTCAAACCCAAGCTGGTGAGGCATTTATTTAACCTCGTCTTGTTGTTCTGGAAATACTGGAAAACACTTTGGATTTCACATCGCTCGGTCACTGGTGGAGCAAATGGCAGGTGATCTGTCGAATTTTGACAAATGTCCTCTAAGGTAATGGTTGAGTTCTCAAATAGTACCTTCATAGTGGAGATCGCAGTTTGAAGCTCCAAGGCCTAAGTGAAGAGCACAGTGCAAGATTTGAGTCTTTCATGAGCACAAACTAATTTAATTGTTTACTCTTACCACGACACGGTAAGGGACTCTTTCCATGATTGTTGTCAGTGTCACGGTCACAGTTTCCTTAACTGTCACTTTCATTCTAAAGTCACTGTCATTGTCACCCTCAAAGTCAGACAATGCAACCCTTGCTATCAGTCAAACTGTCGCCCACAATGTCACTGTCACTCTCGAAGTCACTGTCATTGTCACCCCCACTGCCACTTATTTTCAACGAAGTTAATGTTATTTCACCCATTGTCACTGTCGCCGCCAAATTCACCCTAATCTGTCTTTGTCATTATCACTTTCACCGTCACCCTCAAAGTCACCGTCACTGTCAGTGTCACGCTAAAGGCAGTCATTTTCACTGTCACGGTCACAAGCTGTCATTGTCACTGTCACGGGTTAAGGATAATGGCACAGTCATTGATAATGTAACAGTCAATGACTACGCCACTATCCCCGTCCCTGTGTTATGGATAATACCTGCAAGATAAATATCTAGAAATTTCAAGAGTGCCTAGTCATGCTGACATGTATAACATGGAACTTTCCAGAACGTTGTAATAGGTCACGTATTTAAGATGTTACGCTACCAAAATAGTTGTTCTATAAGCTTCCGGAATATTCTCGAAATAGTCGCAAATGTATATAAGAAGTCAGTGCTGTGGTAGTTGGTTAGTTGTTGTTGTTGTCGAGAGCGACCGACGGTCTGAAAAGCTATACCGGGAGAAAACTACTGCGGAAATTTTTCATCTAGGGAACTTTGGAGGAAACCGTGAATTTTTGTCAGCGGAGAGCTAAGTCTTTGTGCACAGTGGGCTTAAGTAAGTTTATTAAGGATAATTGCTTTATTTTCTGCTGGAGGCGCTCCTAAGTATGATTATTACACGTCGTTAAATAATGTAGTTGAGTTAAAAGGAATATAGTGTACTTTGTGTCGGTTATATTATACCGTAACAACTGTCACTTGCAATTGTCTATGGTTGTAACTGTTACTGTCATTGTCAGGTGAGTTCCCTGATAACTTTGCTGGTGATTCCCAAGTGGGAATCCTTACCTGATTTAACAGCTCCAAGTGAAAGATTGGACCAAATGGAATCCACTTTTCATCTGCGTATCGATGGTATCCTGCAGGTGAAGGGTGAGTGGACTTGATGGTCAGTCGTTCTTTTCGCACTGGACAACTTGCAGCACAGTCCTGGCAGCTGCAAACGCTTGCTGTCCTGTTGGTTTGGGGATCTATAAATGGCTTGTTACACTTAAAAACAGTTTGGTTCATCCATGAAAGATTCGGAATCAGGTGGTCTGGATATTGGATGGTGCAAGAAGTGAATATATTATCTGTGTTTCCCATGAACCTGAGAAGTTTATCAGGAGTACACCGGTCGGCGGAAGTACCACAAAGGACACTCAAAACCTTCTCGCTGCTTCCAGGAAAAGTAACATCTTTGCAGGAGTCGAACAGACCCTGTTTGAATTGAGGTGAAACAAAATATTGAACTTCCAAGATATATTGTTTAATAGAAGGCGATGGTGTAAATGGGTACACCACAGTTGGATCCAGGAAAAGCGACTGATCCTGACTGCAGGTAAGCTGACAATACAGCCTTCTCATGTTGTTCCAACAGGCGGGACAACGACCGGTTAGTTGAATTAACGTTTGCAAATTGTTATCCAACGATTGCAGTTGTTTGGTTGAACAACAAGTTGGTTGATCCCTCAATTCTGGGCATAAATTGTTCAATATCTGCACACCCTTTGGATTGGTTAAATTCTTGGCCGGTCCATTGTAAAGGCAATTCTTCGGCTTGTACCCAGTTGTACATTGATCGTACCACACACAATAACCCTTGGTGTGATTCTTTATGATGTCACCATATGAATTAACCTGAAATAAAACCGAAAAATTATAAGCTTTGTCGTTGACGATACAAATCGCGTAATAAATAATCATCCTGAAGGACCTCTAAAGCATGACTTAGAGTAAATGCAATGAAAGAAAAGAAGAATTTTCCCGGTAAGAACATGGAGGAATTTGAATTTCATATAACACGTCTGAATACTCTACGCAAAATTTTTCACGACAGAAAAATCGTGAGGTAGTCCTTGAATTGGCAGGGATTTAATTGAAGAAGAAAGCGAAGCTTCTGGATTGGAAAATCTTTATCATTCACCGCCATTCACAGTTTTGATGGGCGAGATTCTTAACAAGTGTGTTACAGACCGTGACACATTCGAAATAGCGGTTATTTCCGGGCTATAGTGATCATCTTATTCCCAATACCGTGACTCTGCGATTTTTTTTTTACCACAGAAAAGGGAAAAAAATAGGCAATGACGGGAAAGACACTCTTTTTGACACTTGTCCCCTAAATATTAAATATGCTCTATTTTTTTCGCTGATAAGATTACTTTAGCATATCTGTTGATCTCATGCAACAGAATGTCCACTTCCGGTCACATGTGGACTTTGCATTCGGTTTCACTTCTCCCAAATCGATCAGTGGCCGAGCTTCCGACTTGGAAACAAAGGGTCATTAATTTAACTGATTTAAGTCAAGATTGAGTACTTTACAAAAGTCTCACACGACAGACTTACTCAACGTTAGCTCCGGATGACTGAAAAGCAGAGAAGAGGAAATGACGAAGGTAAAATAAAACGGACTGTAAATGATTAGGCAAATTTGAACACGCGCAAACCGAATTTATTTTGCTCTTAAGAGAGGATGTCAGCATCCATCGAACAAATTTGAAATATTGTGGCAAGTGGCTCAAAATTCGTTTTCTTTCCTACTTTCATATTTTGTAGCCCAATATGTTCTAATAATTGTGGTGTAGTTTTTTTGTGCGAAAATTTATTTCAGTTTTCGAGAAATTACTTTTTTCGTTAGACCGCTCAAATATGCAAATTTTCACCATGAATATTACCCGAGTTGTGTGACCTCATGTAACGAATGTACTAGACCTACGGTATTTCTGTGAACATAATCCTTTGTTTTATCAACTAAACTTAATTCCCTGTCGTTATTGAAGCTGGCCAAGAAATATATATTTTTTGGTGAATATTTTTGTCCGACATACTTTTCCTATGTCGAAAAGTAGCATCAAAACAAAGACAGTTTTAACAATGACCGATATGACAGAATCTACTGAGCTTCAAGCTTTTAAAAGACCAAAGGATGGTTATAAAGTTACTGTGAAATTTCCTTGTGTAATTGTGCTGTTCTATCTTGAGACGAACTCAAAGTCCGGCAAAATTTACTCGATAATGACTATGGAATATACATGGTGCGCCTACTTGTCGCCACCGTTAATTGGCATAAATCACTACAATTTGTACAAAAGTCTAAAATAACACTCTTACCTTGTTTATTTATGATTTTAGTAGCCGTTTCGATTATAATATTACGCCTGGGTGTTACTTTTTGACAGGAACCCAGGTTTGAATTGTGTTTTCCCCTCCCTCGTTTATATCATAAGCTGGTCACGCAATAGTTGATACCGACACAAATGAATATTTACCACGTATAAAGATTTTTGTTTACGTTGAATTGAAAATATTAAAATATGTGCTTTCTTCAATAGTAATTGTTTCCGCGGCAGCGAAGCAGTTAAAAGTGGGTTGTTGCTTCAACGCTGCTGAAATTTTTAGTATTCAGACAGGCGAGCAAAGCGTGATGCTCTGGGAATAAAAACTTTTAGGGGCCTTTTACATGATATCCGAATGAGTTTTGTACGAGTACGAGTTCATACCGGTTGCCACATAATAACCAGCGTAGAATTTATTCGAAACGAGTCGTTTCTGAGTGAGTTTATTGGGGTTTTCATTACAGAACGAAACACTCATTCTGGACGACCTTTTCTGCCTGTACAATGTAAACGCGGCACGGCCCTCATATTTGTATGAATCCTCTGTAGGAGCGAGGGAAGCATTAAAAAAGACAGAAAAGGACATAAACACTTGTTTTTACAAGCTAATTGTTGCCACTCCCACACGGATAAAACTTAAGTACCTTTTATAATTTTATAGCGGTCGTTTTCGAAATACTAGGCGCGCATCCCCGCCCTCCTATGTAAAGGGGTCCCTCGGGGATGCTGATACGTTTAGCACACTTGACATTTAGCAAGGACAAATTCTGATGTGATTTTTGGCGAAGAGAAACAAGTTTTGTAAAATCATCGATATCTTTTAGCGTCTCGAGGATGCCAGCACGTGACAAAACAAGATCAACTTCATTTTCTGGATCTGAAAACTTGCAACTCCGCAAGTGACTTGTAACAAGTGACAAGTAATTAATAATCACGCAAGGGAACGACTTGGTCTTCTCGATAACTAAACCCACAAGTTCCACCAGCGAACGATTTAACTTAACAGAAAACCTCCATGTTAGCATGTAAGATGAGACGCTTATAAAACAGATCAGTTAGCAAAGTCAGTATGTAACTTGTCAAACAAATCGACTATTGTAACCATACTTTGACTTCAGCTGACAAAGGAATCATTGATGGATCTAGACATTTTAGTTTTCTGAACGCAGCAATTCCTGAAAGGTTTTTCTAGATGTCATGCAAAGAGGAAAAAAAACACATCTCTTGTTATTTCAGAGGTTGATTCATCTTCGAATTTCTGTGTCACGCTTGTCACGCAACTGATATAATAAGTTAGAGAAGATATATAGACTGGAACTCAAATCTGGCTAGAATGTGGTAGAGAATAATTAACGTGATCATCGAAACAGCTAAAAAAATCATAAATAAACAAGGTAAGATTGTTATCTTTGAGTTTTTGCAAATTGTAGTGATTTATGCCAGTTAACGGTGGCGACAAGAAAGCGCACCATGTATATTTCATAGTCGCTATCAAGTAAATTTTGCCGGACTTTGAGTTTGTCTCAAGATAGAACAACACAATTACACATGGAAATTTTTACAGTAACTTTATAACCATCCTTTGGTCTTTTAAAAGCTAGAAGCTCAGTAGATTCTGTCATATCGGTCATTGTTAAAACTGTCTTTGTTTTGATGCTACTTGTCGACATAGGAAAAGTATGTCGGAAAAAATATTCACCAAAAATAAATATTTCTTTGCCAGCTTCAATAACGACAGGGAATTAAGTTTAGATGATAAAACAAAGGATTATGTTCACAGACATACCGTAGGTCTAGTACATTCGTTACATGAGGTCACACAACTCAGGTAATATTCATGGTGAAAATTTGCATATTTGAGCGGTCGAACGAAAAAAATTATTTCTCGAAAACTAAAATAATTAAAAAAAAAAAAAATACACCAAAATTATTAGAACATATCGGGCTACAAAATATGAAAGTAGGAGTGAAAACAAATTTGGGTGCCTCGCCGCTGTTTGTCTGATGCATGCTGACATTAGATCTTAAAGCATTGGTGGACGCTTTCAAAATCGATATCGCGCGAGGATTTTAGACAGAGAGCATGTTATACACAAACTTTAATGCATAGCCGTAATTGAAATGTTTCCTTACCACGCTACGTTTGTACCTTTTTTTTTTGCAAATAATTTTGAAGACCAACTAAAAAAATCTAACACTTAAATTCATGACAGGAACTCGAGTTAAGTTACTCGATCTGATCCGCTGTGTTTAGACAGCTTAAGCAAGCCATGGAAATTCAGTCCATTTTGAGTTGCAGACATGGGCTCCTGATTGCAGACAATAGTGAGAGATGTCGATTTAGGTTAAAGAACGAGAAGAGTGCATACTCTACTCATACCAAGTATGCAAGATAAACAAGGCTCAGCGCCAAGTCGGTCTTTGCACCCTGACTACGACCGACTGCTACGAAATACTTTGATGTATATTTTAAGTCTAACCTGTAAGAACAGAGACATCAATACAGGAACTATTGTGGGGAAGCCAACATCACCATTTTAGCCATTTTGGCAGCACTAAATGACGAAGATCAGAGCAGATATCAGCTTGTCAGGTAGTGAGCGATTTTTCCTCTTTCAATTCTCATCTGCGCATGCTTCACGACGAATGACGAAATCCTACGAAGGAGAAGGATCTTGTTACTACGGCGACAGTAGAGGTGAGGCTGACGTGTTTTGAGCCAGCAAGCAAGCAAGTGTGCGAGAAGTTCTACGACCTGATCCCTCACAGACTTCTCGCACGCTCGTCTCGCTCGCCGGCTGGAATTTCGCGGTCCTCACCTCTCGTGCCTCAGCGCGAGAGCCTGCTCACAAATCACGAAAGCGGAAATAAGATATCGTGACACTGGTGCACTTTATGAGGAATGCGAGATGGAGCTTCTTACAGCCGTTCTTAGGTCACGTCAGAAGAAACTTTCTACTATAGCTAGTCATTCTTTAAAGGGTTTAAGTGTTTCGCATAGGCTTCAGTGCAGGCGTCATTTTTAGCCTTTTTGAGGCGAGTAGAGGCAAGAGCGCGGGGAATGCGAGGAGCGAGGTATGCTTGAAAGGGAGACGCCTGAATTAATGAAAAAGGAACACACGAACATATTGTTCCTCTCGCGTGTATTTAGCATAAGTTCTCGCCTTTCAGTTCGCCTCAAAAACGCACAAGGAAGCGGCGCGAGGGGGAGGCGCGCAACTAAACGAAAAAAAGAAAAAAGACATGAAAATAATGTTCCTCTCGCTTGTTTCTCACTTCGTGTGTTTCGCTCTTCAGTTCAAAAAATGGCAGTGGCTCTTCCGCATGCTATTAAGACTTTTAAGTTCCTCGCATGATCCAACATCGCGTCATCGCCGAAGTCACGTTCAGACTTGTACAACACGTGACGCTCTTACTAATGACTAATTCAGTTTTCGCTCTTCTTGAGAATTGAGAGTGGGAAGTCATTGCTTTGCTCGATAGTGAAAAAAAATATGAAAACAAACTTAGAAGCTAAATGCAAATGCTGACCGAGTTATTCCAACTATCGAGCGTAAAGAAATGACATAGTAAATATCTTGAGTGAGGCCCGTAAAGATTTTATTTCAGATCGATATCGCAGGGTCACCATTGCATTTCAGTGGAAAAAAACCGTAACTTTGCGTAGTTTAAGGAAGACATCATGAGAGTAAAGATTCGGACCAATCTCATGATATACCTTTAGTTCGCAGGAACTAATTGGTAACTTTTTATCGTTATGTCGTTGCCGGTCTGCCCCAATGTTGCGTTCTTCCGCTGGCGTAACCAAAGCAGTCCTTTTCCGATATCGAGCCCAGGATCATTTTGGCTCCTTGTCTGCGGTACGGTCGTAAATTTGGTGACCATACTGCCAATAAGGAGTCAAAATATCCTTGGCTCGCGATTGGTCCTTTTCCGGACTTTTCCTAATGGATCGCAATGACGCCGTTCTCGTTTCAGGCTTTTGCTCGGTCACAACGTTGTGTTACTTTCTCTACTCACAGCTTCCAAATTACCATCACCGGCCTGATTACTGACGACAGTTTTTCTGCCAATAGGAACATAGACTTAACGATGTACCGTTTTTCTCGGATTCAAACCAGTTGGTTTCTTACCCTCTCGACCAGACAGGGGTGCTCATTCGAAAAGATAAAACAGAAATTTTCAAAAAACTCGTGGATCTTTTCGAAAATGTTTAATAAGGCGAGAGCGAGAGGAGATAAAGAGGAGAAACCACAAGAAACCAAGCATGAGTAACAACATTAATTTTTATTCTAAAATTACATATCTTTTTCACTTTATCCTCTCTTTTAATAAATTAACATCTCGTCTTAAATCTAACGAAAAGGCTATCGATGAACACCATCCAATTTTTTCTTGTATATTTACAAGTCTTTAAACAGAATCAAAACCCTAAATGAATATATCAAACCACAACTAAGGCTGATGACAGAATAAAAGCATGTGATCAAGACATGCCCGGTAAGGCTAACAGCCTGGTTAACACTAGTCCCAAGCTCTCGCAAGTTAACTTGTCTGCCACTCATTAGGTAGACTGTGGACAGTTCCTTACCTTTTCTCTTTACCAAGTCTAACACTACCTCAATTTGAAGGAAAATGGAAAATGTTGTATCGTCACGATAAAGAAACGCGAAAGATGCAATAATAATCCAAGAAAAAATCAGGTTGACCAAATATGAAGAAGATTACGACGGATTAGTATAAATGTGTTTTAATGATGCTACAACCGTAACGTAGCTGGATTGATGCGTGATCGTTGAGCAAGGAGTAGCGGCTCACCGATCAAACACAAATCCCCAACGATTTCGGAACAAATGAAAAAGCACATAAATATCTTATGTTTGTTTCAATGTGGTTCTTCAAAGAAGAATTCACCTGCGAGCTCGAACTAGGAAGCAACAACAACCTAAAGTGTGAAAAAAGTTGCTTAGTACATAAGCTTCCCTCTTACTGTCGCAGCTCTGTCCACAACAATGCAGCGGTCAACCGTTGGGCATGCGCAAGTGGATCAATTTTTGGCCGGCCCCGCGCCAATTTCCCGCGCAAAATCTAAGAAAGAAAACATAACTGACGTGAATTTGCGAAAAAAACAAAAAAACAAAACAAAAATGAAACTTTCACTGAAAGATTTGTAAAAGTTATAAAAATTAGGTAAGGAAAAATTTCGACTTCTCTAACACAATGCTTGTTCAATCATGGGTTTCCTATCGATTAAACAATGATCTAGCTTGTGAGTTTTTTGTTTTTTAAGTCTAGTGAGGCTACAAGAGAGCACGCCACCGCACCATTACAGCAATTGCACACACGCAGACGTTTGAACGCCGTATTGTTCGCAACGAGCCTGCCCCCAGCAAGTTGGTGTTTTGCGCATGAATAGCATTCAGTGCATTAATCATGTTTCGCATTCACATCTGCAGATCTTAAATCTACGTTAACCCTTTCACTCCCACGCTCTCATTAGAAAATCTCCTGACTGTCTACTATACAATCTCTATGATGGTGGTTTGGAGAATGTGGTATTTAATCAACTTGTTCGTGTAATCCTCTAATTGATATTTTTCTGTATTCTCATCACCTGTCTGCTTGATATTATTTTGATATTGTGATGAGAAATTATGTTTTGGTCACTCATGGGAGTTAAAGGGTTAATAAAGGTTGCAATGAGGGTTTGATAAGCCACATCACTGATTCCCACAATTCCATAAAGGCCCTGGAAGACAAGAGTGGGTTGGTGCTGCATGAAGGAGAACGGGTGGGAAATCACACGAACGTCCAGGCCTCCAGTCCACTACAGAGGAAGTCTTCTTTCCAGGAAAGCTGCGCGTTGTTGAATGTCGTGCAGGGATGACTGCGACCGTGATAGAGGTCTCCGTCTAACCACAGACCAAAGTTTCCACTGCAGAAAGCAGATAACATATCAGAACAACGCAATTGGCCTAATTAGAGCACCTCTCAAGAGATCCCAAGGCTCCCACAAAAATTGTTTTTCGAAGACTCCACCACGAAAGCTATTGTGATAATGAAAAGAACCAAATTTATGTGCCTTTGCACCCTAACATCAGTATGCATATTCTCCATACTGTTCTCTATACATTTCCTAAGGTGCTGACATGGAGAATTTGATTAACAATCCTAACCCTCTTCAGTGGGTGATCATTTCCTTAATTCTCATGACCTTAATGTGTAATTTTGGGCTGGTAATGTAAGGAGAATTTAGATGCTAGTCACTCCTAGGGGACAAAGGCTCAATAAGCAACACGACGCTTGTTCACGGGCGGTGCTCTTTGATCCAAGATTCTAATTTGCGTCGTTTATGGTCTTACCCTCCACTGCCGATGGCCAAACTATCCTTTGACCCTTTGATGAAAAAGTTGTTTTCCCCAGTCCAGGCAAATATCTGCAACAAAGAGGGAGTGGCGCGCGAATGTCAAGAAGGCAAATGAAATGGTGTAGAGCGCGATTAGCGCGCTTGCTCAATACATCGCCACTAGACTGTAAATGACGATTGACTAACGAACAGAAGCAAAAAAAGGGCTACCAAGAGGGCCACCAGGAAGCTAAAAACAACTCACTGCCTCAGACTACGCCGTCAACGATTAATAACTTTTGAATCAATATCAATATCTGGGCAACTGCCCACCTACCCCTCCCCTAACCCAACAACAGTCTATTAATAACAAGTTAGGGTTAATGTTGGGTTAGGGGAGGGGTAGGTAGGCAGTTGCCCAGATACTAATATTGATCCATTGTTTTTTGACCTTACGTAGTTTTTAGTATTTGATCATAATTCTGTACGATCTATTGTCGGGAATGCAATTTGATCATTAATTCGGGATCCACTCGAGATTTCCTTAAAGTCAACAAAGCCAAGAGAGTCGCTTGAGGAGTAGCCTGTTCCAGGCTTTAAGTTATTAACCCTTTACATAACATCAGCATGCATATTCTCCATACTTTCTATGTACATTTGTTAAGGTTCTGAAAGGAGAATTTGTTCAGAGATCAAGAGCTTCCTTAGTTGATGATCGTTTTCCTTTATTCTCATGACCTTAATGTTCTATTCAGGGGGGGATCTTGTAGGGAGAAATTAGTTACCAGTCATTCTTAAGGGTTAAAGGGTTAAAACGGAGAGAAGAACGAGGGAAGCTTGGGCCGGGTCGCGCCCGGACCCAAGCCTCTCTCGTTTTCCACTCCTCCCCTACTATAACACCATTCCCTACCACGCTTCGTTTTACTAACTAAACGCCTGGAACAGGCCACTTTAGAAAGACCTCGAGGTCATACGAAAGGAGTACTTCAGATCGCTGTAGTAATTCGAGAAAGAGCTCGTTTAGTTTCAGTACAAATATTCACCGGCTGAACAGTTGACAAGAGTAATGAACTAACCTTCAGAGAATTATTTTCAAACTTATACAAGAAAGACTCCCCTGTGCCATAAAATCCTTCACTAACTTTGAATGGACAAGAGCATAGCGAACCGAAAATCTAAAAGAAATAAAAATAGTGTTAATAAAACGAAAAAGAACGTTTGCATACATGTATTTTTCGCACGCCCCGTAGCGGAACAAAGGAAGCTGAAGTTAGTCTTGTTGCGATTTAAGAACAAACCGAAAAAATATAAGAGCAAACTTGAATTCTAAACATCTTGACATCAATGTGCATATTCTCCATACTGTTCTTCATACATTTCCTAAGGTGTTGACTGGGAGAATTTATTTAACAATCAAGAACTTCTGCAGCTGGTCATCACTTCCTTCACTCTCGTGACCTTAATGTGATTCAGGGATGATATGATAAGGAGAAATTAGATGCTAGTCACTCTTACGGGTCAACGGGTTAGTGTTTTTGGCATAAAGTTAAAAAAACATAACCTCAAAACACGTTGTAATGCTACACAAAATCTCTATTCGAGACTTTGCCTAGCGACTGAATTTCATTTCTAACGACCCTACATGATTTTACGTCGCCAAATAGCCATGTTGAAAGAAATTTAACGTGGAGCTAACTCGATAAGCATGGAACCTTTGTCCCTCTTACTCAAGTGGAAGGTTCTACTGGCCCCATAGCTATCAGGAAGCGAGGAGCCACTTACATGCTGCGCATCGTCCATAACCACAAGTAGCACTGGTGTGTCGTAACACTCCATCTTACGGTACAGCGTCTTGAGGGAGAAGCCATGTTGAAACGTACTGTACACTAACGCCCAGCAATGCCCAATGGTCCTCGAGGGAAGTGTGCTGTTCAACTAGGCAATTTAAAAGAGCAATGTCAAAATACACTGAGTTTTTTCAATAGAACGCGGTATCTTCTACATGTTTGAATTTGGAAACTATCACACCACCAAATATCTTCGCACGGGTGCGATTGGTTTGAAACTGCAATTGGCCAAAGAAGATCGCAGTTTTTTTTAAGGAAACTTTGTGGAACGGTGAGCAGCGTTGGCTCAAGAGAGTATAGTACACATAACACAAAGACAGAAAACAAACACAAGTGTAACGAACTAACGAAGGCAAACAATCAGACAAAGAATCTTACTTTTCTCAAATGCTCCTCGTTAAGCATTTCTGATTTGCAGTCCATATCCGGTAACACGTCCTCAATGAGGAAGGAAGCAGGTGATTTGGGACTAGGGAAAAATGAGACCACTATCAATGAAACTGAATCTTACGAAGCACAGGTAATCTGCCCACGACCCTACAAGGTAGCAAAATTAGATTGTCTTATGAACAACCACTCAAGCAATTAAGTTACGTTTGAAAACCGTAGAACTCTTTTGGTAAAGCCTAAAACAAAATGGCAAATCAGCAGGAAACCTTTAATTAAATAAGCTTCGTGCACGAAAAATCGAGATTTAGTTGTTGTTAGAAATATTTTCCTTTAAAATTTTGCGCGGGAAATTGGCCCGCGGCTGGCCAGAACTTATCCCCTTGCGCATGCTTTACGTTTTACCGCTGTGTTACTGCTGTAGCTTTAAGCCAGGGACAAGTGAAAGCTATCTTAAGACTATGGCTGAAAGCTAGAATTAAACAGTGAAGACTTAGAGTACATCTCTACCTTGACTTCACTTTTGCAGCTTTTCCAGGTTTGGCTGCAAATCTTCGAAGACCTTTCTTAACTTTGGGAACTTCGCTGTCGCTGAGTGCTCTTGACAACTGTTGACAACAAATAATCCGTTAACAATAGCACTTATTTGGACTACGGCGACTAGAAAGATCCATTGGACGAATGAACGGCTGACCAACCAACTAGGTAAGCAAGCAACGAAACGACGAAAGAAGGAACGAACAAAAACCTTTCTTACATCTGATCACTGTCACCGGTTACTCTTAGAAGTTTTTGATCCCCACAGGAAACAAAGCTCAATATAAATGTACATCTGACATCTACAGTTTTTTGCGCGAACAAAGCAAAAAAGGACGAGCAAAGCAAGGAACGCTCGAAGAAAACGAAACAAAGAAAAGAGAGGGATGGGAGAAATAGAGTGACGATATGAAAAGAACGTGCGAGTAAATGAAATGAAAGAAACAAACACGAAGGGACAAAGGACGCAGGAAAGGAAGAGCGAAAGAACGAAGGAACGAAGGAACGAAGAGAAGAAGAGACGAAGGGACGAAGGGACGAAGGGACGAAGGGAAGAAGGGACGAAAGAACGAACAGCCAAACAAATGAACTGAAAAAATAAGATACGAAAGAGTGAATGGATGAGCACACGAAGGAGAAAAAAATACCACGTCTTACTTACTTTACCATGTGAACGAACAGGCGGACTATTAGAATAAAACGATTCCACTAAATGTAACCCCTGCAAAAAGAGAGTCATTAACAAATTAGCAACCGTCTTCCCCCGTGCTGTGCCAGAAGTCAAGTATAAGCTTAATCTCAATTCCTAGACGGGTAAGGTCGATTAAAACAGACAAATCCATTTGAATGGTACATGGATATAGCACGGGACAAAAATTATATTTCTAGGAGTCAATAACAACTCAAAGATGACACAAAAAAATTGCCCAGAGCGCAATGATAGTGATTAAATCGCAATTGGTTTTAAGTTTTGTAATCTGATTGGTTGAGACGGCGGCCCGAGTTTAAAGACCAATCACACACCACAGTGACTAGCGCGGCGAGAGAATATTCTGGATCAGTGTAATGAAGTCGAACTCATTATTTGCTCTCAGATTACTGTTGGGTGCTCAAGCTACTATTAGGCAGGACAAACTGCTTCAATTATTCCTCTTCAAAGACGGGTTTGCACCTTCGATCGCTGCATAAACTTTGAACTCTTTAGCCACTTAATGACACTGCCATCTCCTACGTACTTTCAGGGCTGTAGTTAACGTACTGAATTGAAACATCGAATGCACCATATTAATCTACCTCTTCCTCCGTTGCCATGCAGTTTGGCGAAGTTGCTTCGTCATCTTCGCTTTCTTCATCTGTTGCATTGTGGATGTTGGGGCACCACTGTTGAAAGAACCTGTACACTTGCTCTGTCCTGTAGTTGAAAAAGGGAAATTAAGTTAAAAAAAAGACACTTTGTAAGGTATTTTGGCGCATCTTTGCGGGCTGAAATGGGGATATTGACAAGCTAAAAACGCTTACGTGATTGTTCAGAATGTTTCCTGGTTTCAGTTTTTATTATCTCAATGCCCTCCAAGGTGATAATAGTGAGATAGTTTACGTTCGCGGGCATAAATATGCACTGGACACAACTCAGAGCTCATTTTAACCTTTGGGCTGAAACGACTATGAGTCGGATCCAAAACACATTTATACCCACGAACAGAAACTCTATGATTTTGATAACCTAAAGAATAAGCCTGAGATTTGATGTTCAATTCTCCTCTCTGACTACATTGCAATTCCTTGTAAATTAGTTACGAGAATTGGTACGTAATCGAGATAAAAACCACACGACTTAACCCTTTAGCTCCCAGAAGTGATCAACATGTAACTTCTCCCTATAATATCCGTACATCACCCAGCGAACAGGTGATGAGAACACTCAAAGTTATCAAATAGTAGTTATTATCATCATCTTACACCAAATTCTTGTCACTAATTTACAAGGAAATGTGTAGCAGCTAGAGGGGAGAATTAACAATCAGATCTTGGGAGTTACAGGGTTAACAACAGCCACAAAACTTCTTGAGGCGATAAGGTCGGCAGGTGAGGCGTGACTGTATGAAGCATAATGAACAAACCAACAAAGCATTTATTTGATTGATGTGTTTGGAAACTCTGTACTAACTGTTATACCTTAAACTCCAAGGCGCGCTGTAAAAAGGAGAGATGCCTTTGGTATCTCTGAGTCATTTGTTGATCAACCTTCGTGACATTCAGACCTCTATATTCAAAGCAGCTTGAGCTGCGGCCACCGATCCAAAGCGAGTAAACAGCCGGCAGATTTCTCAAAAGCTCTGATAAGTTTCTACGTTTTCATCACGATGAAAGAATTTGTTGAGGTTTGCATCTATTTCCTCTAATCCGAACCTTCTTCATTTGTGGCAGTAAATTTGAAATTCGAAATGATTCACTTCGCCACCGTGTGATATTACCACCGCCTAATTTGCATTTAAGCTGGTACCAAGGGGCAGAGCCAGTATATTTATAGCGCACATTCGTGTTTAAACAACTCATGGAAAGAGAACATAAATTGTTGGGATTTTAAGTTAAATACCTTGATGGTGGGATGGCGAACCAGTATTCCCTTCGTTTTTTGTCTCTGTCTTGAAGCTGTTCTCCTTGTTCAGGAAACGATCCGAACATGCCCTGATGCCGACACCAATGCTTCTTACTGATTCTCAAGCACAGATAGAGGGGCTGATTGCTGAAAGAAGTGGCAGGCTTCGGCACTAAAACATCCTCATCGCTCTCATTTCCCTGGCGCTCTGAAAAAGTTAGAAAATTCATTACCAACGCGCCGGCTAAATTTTCTTCAGGTAAAACTACAGTAAAATTAGTGTTAGTATTTATGCGAGACACGCTGGGCCATAACGGTCAGCGCGCTGAACTCTAAGTAAACCGTTCTAGGTTTGATCCCTAGCGGATCACCGTGTTGTCTGATTGGGAAAAACACTGAAATGTCACAGAGGTACCAACAAAACGCCATAAACAATTTTTCAATTCGAGTGTTCTCAAACAGTATCTGTAAAGAGTCAAGGTCTTGATACTGTGCGAACAATGAATGGATCGACCAACAGTGTGTCGATTTCAGTTAAATGGAGTAAAAACGTAAGTATTGCTGCTCCTTCTGGTTGGAACTTTCGTGTTTTGTGCCAATAAACGTTCGTCTCCTCCAAGTTTGCTCACATAAGGAAAATTGCTTCTCATCAAATACAACAAGTTCTCTCACACCTTTACCAGTCTGTTCCTAAATCTCCGACTTGTTGAACATGATTATATTCAAGGGCAGACAATTAAAGGCGGGAAAGAAAAAGTTATATTTGACAAAGCTACCCGATTTGCCGGGAGAGGGACAAATTAGAAGGCGGTGAGGTTGTAAAAAGGCGAAATCTCCAGCTAACTGCACAAAGTATGAACTCACCACTTGTTCCACAATTTTCTTGTCCAAGCCAGTACCTCACATTACTGCTAAAAGCAGCGAACAAAGACGCGGAGGGTGAATGTTCAAGCTCCCTATCGACACTTGCTGGAGAGTTTCTCGAATGTTCTTCATCTGGTCTATTTTCATCAGGTTCAACTACATTGCTGCTCACTGAACTTCGTGCATCGCCAGAATCATTCAGCTGGTTCTCCAGTCCTTGATGAACAGCGTGGTCCGCCAATTCTGGTTCTACTGCTTTGGAGTCATCCGCATGACCCATAGAACACCCTATGCCAGAATCCTCTGATGCCGGCGACACTGAGTGCATATATCCCCTTGCAGGACTTCCTTGAAGAAGCAATGGAGTTCCTACAGATTTTTCTGTCTTTTCTGGCAGATGGTGAATATTCTCCGAATCAGCGACTTGATTAACAATTTTTTCAATAATTTCCCGAACAGCATTTTTCACATCCTCATCAGTTGATACAGGAAGAAAGTTTGAAACACTGCACGCGCAAATGTGTGAGATATCAACTGATGACAACGGGTCCGTGTCCTCATCCAGATTTGTACAAACTTTACTGCCATTTTTACATATTGTAAGAGGTGCAGTTTCTGTGTCGATGCTATTTTGACGACTTAGTGATTCTGCTGTGGCAGCATCTAAGTAAAACCTGACAAATTGAAAAAGAAATACACTTGAGTTCTCAGTAATTTCAACCATTTTCCAACTGCAGTTTATCGAAACACAAGCATTAAAGAGTGCTTTCTGATTAAGCTTCGTAAAATCAAACCAAAAGTCAAAGCAACCACACTGCCTAGAGCGCGGGAAAACGCAGGCGACCAAGTCGTGATTGGGTTTAGTTTTAATTCTGATTGGTCGAGGGAATGTCTTGAATCTTTTGGACCAATCACAGAGTGAAGTAAGGCAAAACCAATGGTTTTGTTTTGACACTGAAGTGAAAATTGCGCTATCAGTTGGGACTTGACTTTTACATTGTAAATCTTAGAAAACCAGTGATTGAGCGTTGAGGTTCAAACAAATACGTTTAAATGATAAAAGAAAATTTTTAAGTCTTTTTCTGCAATCTTAGAGTTCAGAGGTAACACATGAAGCGATGTATACTGTCTTTGACCCTTAAACCCTTAGTGACCAGCAACTGATTTCTCCTCACAGTAACACAGCTGAATCATGGAATAAGACCAAAAGAATAAAGGAAAATCGCCAACCTACGAAACTTTGATCGTTAAACAAATTCTCCTTGTCAGTACCAAAGGAAAGTATGGAGAAGAGTAAGGAGAATATGGATCTTGATGTTAGGGTGCGAGGGGCTGAAGAGCAACACGAACTTAATAAAACCATCACCTCTGAGGCTACATGTAACTTTTTTACGAAGAGAAAGTACATGCACTTACTTTCCAGGTTTAAGGGGGTCATGAATTGCCATGGCAGCAATGTCTGTGTACATGGCAGCACTTGTAACAGATGTCATAAGCGTCCCTACACCATATATGTCCAGTCCTCTGTCCATCACAAGTGGGTCTGACACGTTCGGCTTGAACATGACTGAATGAGGTGTGATGAGAAGAACACCATTTGCGATACCCTACATGGGAAATGTTGAGTAGTAAGTCAGTAAGTCTTTATTCAAGACTGGGTCAACTTTGTTGTATTTTTGGAATGATATTTCTACAGCTCAACTGGCAAATGCCTTCAAGTTCTGGGTATAGCATAGTACATTCTGAACCCTTTAACTCCCAGAAGTGATTAACATTGAACTTCTCCCTATAATATTCATACATTATCCTTCAAACAGGTATTGAGAAAACTCCAACTTATCAGCTGGTAGAGGTTGATATCTTGATCTAACACTAAATTCTCATGACTGATTTACAAGGAAATGTGTAGCAGCTAGAGGAGGAGAGTTAACAATCACATCTTGGCTGTTAAAGGGTTAATTAGCAGGGAATGCAGAAAGTGTTAAGAAAGGGATTCCAGTGAAGTGTTTACACATTTCACATTCATCGCTTGTTCTACTTGTATCTAAAGATTCTGTAATGTTAACCTTTTAACTCCAAATATCTGTATTGTAATTCTACTTCACAGCTAATATATTTACATTAGCTTATTCAACATTTAAGATATTGTGGTGCTAGATGTAGGCAAATTAACCTTTCACACCCAAGATCATATTAGTAATTCTCCTTACTGTCTGCCATACGATTCTTATGATGTTAATTAGATGAATTTGCTATTGGATCAGTTAAAACATCCCTTACGATATATTTCTCATTCCCATCACTTGGATGTTTGATATTTAATTGATATTGTAAGGAGAAATTCTGTCTTGGTCACTCACGAGAGTTGAACGGTTAAGAGCTGAAATGGTTCTTTAATTTTTTTTTAAGATAATAAAAGGATTTTTGTTAGAGGTTAATTGTTAAGCAATCCTGGGTTTAAAATTAACTAAATACTGTAAATCATACCCTAAAATAGAAAACCTGTAGTCAAGAGAACACCCATACCTGGCCATCAGTGATGTATTTTGCATAAATCTTCAAATAATGCTCAGTGACTTCTTCCTCTTCTTCTTCCCAGGACACATCTTTAGTGAGTTTGACTGTCTCTTGCTCTCCTCTGTGAGATGCACCATTCTCCTGACAACAACAAGACAAAGAATTGGCAATTCATTTGTACTTGTACATGTGAGTTAACAGTGTTTGCTCAGCCTCCTTATTTCTCAATGTGCAGCATTCCTTCTAAAATGTTGAGAACACACTTTAATACCCTCTGTGATAGCAAACTGCTCTCCTTTGTCTCACTGAGTTGCATGGATCCATTGGTTTCTCCTCATAGGTGAATAGGGAAACTAAAAAACCCCTCCTCTTCTGTGGAAAATTTTTGCTTCCTTTTGATGGCATTCAGGAACACAACAACTGGTTGGCATAGCAAAATACATGTATGACATAACAGATTGACAACAATGCAAGAGCTGCACTCTCAGAACAAAACCGAGGTCTTATTAGCCTCATGCAACTCAACTCTGACTGGCAGAGTAGTCCACCATACATGTACATGTATTTGCATTCTTCCTATCTCGAGCAACAACAGACATACGTTGTATTCGGGGTTTCCATTCAGAAAGATCAAAGAATAGTGTAAAAGAAACAAGTGAACTTCTTCACATCTGAAAAAAAAAATTACTTGAACCACTGAAATTTAGCCAATTCAATACCTTGATGACAAGTGGCTGTGGGGGTTTGGTGATTGGAGCAGAAGTCAATTCATCTCCATCTGGACCTTTTTCCAGTCTTTTGTCAGGCACAAATAATGTCTAGAAAGGATACAAAATTTCTACAGTCAATTCTTAAGGAATATAGAAGAGGTCTAGACTATTTCACCATTCTTATCATCATTCGGCCAGGGAGTGAACAAAACAAAACTGTTATGAGTCACGTCTGGGAGTCACAGGTTGAACAACCTAAGGCTGAAGACTATCTTTACGATAAGGTAATATATATGTATGCATTAATTTTTCCCTATACCTACATGGAAAGATATATTTCTGTTGCATTAGCTATAAGGTTCATCTGCCAATAAGGCCCTAGCCATCTGCATGTATAACCTTATATCTGCACTGTGCCAGCTAATTTGCTTTCCTCTTGCTCTGATGCAATTATAAAAGAGATTAAAATCGATCAAGGAGTCTGTTCCTTAGAACACCCAGTAACTTAATGGGCCAAAAAGCTGATTTCTATTTGTCTGCTTTCATCTCAGATCAAGGCAGTGACAGCTTTGAACATCAAACAATTATGAAAACCAAACAGAATGCCCTGGTTATTTAGAAAGACCCACACTATTATTCTTCACAATTACATATACAAAAAATTAATTATTTGAGCTCATGATAGAACGAAAACTTTAGTGAAACATGGCCCTGAGCTCTCTAGGCGCCTGCTTCATCCAAATTTTTATACTGCTGGGGGAAGACTAGATGTCTTAGAACAGTAGCAGAATTAACCATAAATCTAGAAAGCTACATTATTTCAATTATAAAATAAGGCAGCTTTTGTTTGTCTGAAATGGTGTAATGTTCATAACAACCTGGTATATTTACCAAAGCTGGCAAATGGCTGTTGATCACTATAATTTTACAACTTTTAAAGAGGAAATTGTCAGATGAGTCCTAACACTAAACTAAACTGTGCATAACTGCATCTTGCAATAGAGAAGATGGATTAGTTTGTTATGTCACCCTTTAAAGGGCTCTGTTCAAACAAGGATTAGTAAAAACCATCCTGCACTTGTAAACCTACATCACATTAATCTAAGCTACCAACCAACACACACACTGAAACAATACAAACAAGTTAAACCAATTCCCTGGCATATCTCATAAGAAACCTTACCCTTAGACAGGCTTTCAGGTAAATCTTTGGCCACATGCATTCTACAATCATATTTTACATCAAGATGTCCACAACACATGTGATCAGATTAATTTGCACATTGTTTTTTCTCAATGACTATCCCATAATTCAACTACATGTACCTACTCTCATTAATTATTAACTTTGCCACCATGCATTACCTGAAAGAAGCTAGCAAATAACTCACAGAGCAGCAAAATACTAGGGAAAAACTAATCTTACCTTAGGACATGTATGTTATTATTATTGCTTGCTTTCAACTTCCCCTTAAACTTTAATTTGGATATGGCACTTCCAAATGAGGACATTTCTACTAGCACAAAGGTGCTAATAATGTGTCTTGGAAACATTATGCTCATACCAAAAACAATATGCACTAAAACTGTTTACCAGATGAGGGTGAAGTAATCAGAAAGATTTGTTTCCTTGGGTTTCCAGTCTGGTAAAGTTCACATGCCTGGATTTAACTATACTGCTGGCAATTTTCCAAAAACAGCACTTATATGGGATTAACATCAGTGCAGAATAATTACGTTCTTTTGAAGGTGCCTTCTTTCAATTGAATTTTAAGACTTAGAGGTGAAACATGACATGAAAGGATGTTTGAAATAAAGTAACTTAATGCAACATCAATGCCTGCCTGTGTTTCATCAGAGAAAGCAGTACAGCATGGAATGAGAATCTTGCAGTCTATAGCAAGGCACCAAGGACCCTTTTTTCAATGCACTACTTAAATTGATGATACCATTGATTTACAGAAGACCCATAAGCCTCCAATTCATTCTTGGAAATTTTGTCTTTCATTTAAAATAATTATTACTAGGAATATTCATAGAACAGTGAAGTCATTAATTTTTTCCTAAGCCTTGGATACAATGCAGGGATTTAAAAAAAAGGCAGATTTCCAGCAGTTCACTGTTGCCAACAAGATGATTCTTATTCCATCTCTTTCTGCCATCTCTTTAGCACATGAAAAAGGCTCTTGTTTGGGTTTTACCCAACAGTCCCTTTACCAAGCACAGCTGCCTACATCATTATTACACTACATGTATCAGCAGCTAACTATGAAACTAAGTTGCTAAAGCCCCTGCTGTGGATAGTTGACAACCTTATAGAGTAGAACTGGAATCGCAAACGTTCAGTACACATGTACTTTTGTTATTGGCTTAAGTTACGCTGCAAATGATTTGACTACATGCCCACATGTCATGGTCAGACTTCATGATCACATGTTAGAGTGTTAGAGCAAGGTACTGTGTACTCTGTGCAGTACAGACTTATATTGTGCCTTACCAGTGTCCTGAGCTCTGTATAGTTAAAGACCCACTCAAAAGCCTTTATAATATTGTACATGTACATGTACATGTATAAGGCCTGGGACTTTGCAGTACATGTATTCAGTTGTCTAGTGTGTACGTGTAGCTTTTAAAAAGACGTTATATACAGTGCACAGCAACATTGCATTCATTTTAAATACTTTTTAGAGTCTATTATATTTATAATTACCATGGGACAAAAGTTTATGAGAACTCCATATAAATTACTATATGTTATTTTTGGACGGGAGTTTTGTATAGGGAAGATATTCCAGTCTATATTGTAAAAAGCTGGTTTAGCTAAAAGTGCACAATTAGCTGATCAAATTTCACAATTTAACCCCTTCACTGCCTGCATGATGCTCCAAGTATGAAGTAATATTTGCTGTTTGCTTGCCTCCAGATTACTTGCTATATCAAAAGTTAAAGAATAACAGTCAAATCCCCAGCACTAGAGATGGAAAAAGAACCTGGCATCTCAAACTCAAAAAAGGTCAGAATTCCAAAAAAAAAGTCAATTTGCAATAGCACAGGGCTTCTCAGTGGGGCTGGCAGTCAGGGGGTAAAGATTTCTGCCTACCAAGACACTGAAGAAAAAAAAATTTACTATTGCACACTTAGATATCAAGTCCCTGTAAATATAAATTGCTTACCTGGCCTGGAAAAAGCATGCGAGATGACAGCTTGTTGATACGAGTCAACTCCGAAGGAGTGGTGTCAAATGTTAGAGCAATCTTTGCCAGTGTGTCATTGGTATCAACCTGAGAACAAAAATGAAAATGCAGTTAATTTGCAGGAAAGAAATCTGAAAGTAAGATTTAGAGAAACTTGCCATACCACCTTGATAGCAAAATTATTTCAAGGTACTAATGACAGGTGCAGATCTAGTATCTATAAAAAATTATATTTAAATTATTCAAAGCAGCAATACAGAGGGGAAAAGAGTGAAGCCTGATGCCTAAGATTCTACTTCCATTGCCATTAATACACAAGGAAGAAAGTTGTTAAAATGCTGCATGGAACTTATACAAATACATCCACTTGTTCATGACTGATCATGGCATGAAATGCCAATTAAATGATAATAATTATTCAAATGTGAGTTTCATTAAAAACAAAATTCAACAGATATAGAGTACTGTACATGGACATGAACATATCCACTGAATTGTTTGTAGAACTGTTGAAGCTTAAGAAAATCAGAGATCTTGACCAAAGAGATGGAGAATGTCGACTGGAGGTACTTATTTGTCCTGAGGGAGTCCAACATTGCCATAACAATTTAAGTTAAGTTATAATATCACGCAGCCATAGCACATTGCTCGAGTAAAATAAATTAATTGTTTCTGTTTACCTCCACGGCGTAATAAAGCTCAAATAATAAATGTTGTTTTTCTAAATTTTAACCATTTTAAGCATATGCTATAGCATATGAATGAAAAATTTAAAACAACTGTAGTCAATTATAACCGTTGTCTACTCACCATATATTCCTTAGTTCCGAGAGGGGCTGGCTTTTTAACTTTAAACGACATTTCGCTATCTATAGGGGCAAGAAATATTTTAAGACAGAGGAAAAAAATCGAAGATTTTCAAATACGTAACTTTAGCTTCAAGAGCGGTACAAATCTGAGTAAAAGTGATCTAGAGCGAAAAAACGCTACAATTAAAGTAATTCCAAAATGGATACGATTTCATCTCGATGGTTAAAATTTAACTGTCACTCGCCATTAAGCAGTAAATCTGACAGATTTCTGCCACAGAATTAAAGATCTACCCCCATATTGCGAGGTTGAAAGTTGTTTCAAATGATTCTGAACAATAGCAGGGTTTTGTTGGCTGAATAATGACAACATCTTATAACAAAAGCGAAGCCATTGAAACCACGAAGCTTGCTGCTCTCACACGAGAGGGAATGAAAACAAATCTCGTCTTTGTGAATTATTAATCCATATCACTTATACCAACAATAATTATAAAAAATATCGAGGCAACGATGTTCACATATTTAACGATGATGTTCCGCGTTGTCACAGAGCATAGTTTACGACGTCGTTTCAATATCCGCATGATTCATTCGCGTCAAACAAAGCTAAGTCACACTCGATTCTCTAAACACGAGAGTTCTCGAACCATGCTAGGAAAAAATAGTATATCTAGATGTTAAATTAGAGAACAAGACTGCAAATGCGAAAAATTTTAGTTGAGAATGCACAGATAAAATCATTCTTTCGCGAACGGTTATCTGAATGAATTTTTGTCTAATCGTAAAAATTGCCTGCTCTCCAAGTGAAGACCTTCGCAACGCAGGTTGCAGCATTGACAATTCAACTACTTCTCATGGTCCTCACCAAGTGAAGGGTATGCCAACCAGTGAAACCCCTTTCTAACCGTTTTCCTCAACTCGTGTCCTAAGAATGACACATTCTCCCACGACAGATATCTAGCGGCTGAATCGCCAGAAACAGCACTGCTCTCGGACTTGCTTCTTGACGAACGAAAAGTAGTTCGTTTTGCTTTGAGCTCGCGGGATCGTACAACTTCCTCAGCAAAAACTGAGTCGTGTTCTTCCTCATCTACGTTCGAACTAGAAAGATAATTGAAATTCAAATTGATGAACAGAGTTACCTGTCTACATACTTAACTACTAAATTTTAGCCACAACATAACCTAGTCAACAGAAGTCGCTCAGGAACGGGATAGTAACTCAAAGAAGGCTACTAAAAATTCCTTACCTCGATAAATAGCCTTTTATAAGGCTGTACATAATATGCTTGCATTAACCTTGGGCAAAATGCAGGCACATGGGCCAGAAAAATATTCAATTCATTCATCCAAATCCTGAATTTTGTGCTCGCACTAAGTGGAATTAGGTTCCGGGCTCCGAAGGCGTGTAAACACGTACGTGACGTCACGCGGTGTTCAATCGATTTTTCTTCGGCAAGACTCGTATCTGGCTATAAACTTCGCTTTCGATGAATACTTACCTACCGGAGGGTATTAAACTTGAAATTATTTTTCTCGCTTTCAACATTTTGACTTTTGGCTTTGGTGAATCGCTGCCTTCGACCCCAAGACTTAAAGAGGATGATGCCTTCATTCCGTCCGTCAATTGATTCATGCCAGACTCGGTGCAAACAATTTTTTTTAGGACTCGAATGAAATCTTACGCTTCGTTCCTTGTGGGTCTGATGTCCTGTGCCAAACGGGCTTGAAAATTAGGCTCTCGAAAGTTATGTTCGATAAAGCACCACTTATCATCAGAATTCCCTTGTGCCAGAGCTGCACAATACAAAAATCGGAATTGTTTCTGCCCAAACAAGAATGATAGACCGCTGCTCTTTTGAGCTCGAAAGTGACAGAAAAGAAGGACAAGCGACCAGGCAACACTTGATCTATTTAAACAGTTGTTCATTGCGATATTGAAAAACAGAGAACGAAAGTAATTACTTATTAAAATTCAAAGTAAACCAAATTGATCGAAAAAGAAAAGATTGGTTTCAGTTAATCATTGCCGCGAAAAAAGGTGAGAGCAAATTTTCGCTCAAAGATCGGTTCCCCGGCAATTAAAATTTTAATCACCAGCTACAATCTCCGGTTGTTCGAACGGCAGATAATGCTATCCACTGAATAAATCCTTATACGGAAGACAGCGTATTAGGTTTTGTTAGCAGTTGTATCCGGTGGATAACAATTCATCCCTTTGATGATTTTAGATATATGAAATTCATACATTTGCACTGCAGTGAAGAAACGAAATTAAGAGATCCTCGCAGCTAAGAACCCTACTGAAACGAGTAGTTGAAAATAGGACCTGAAAAAAAAATTCAAGCCCGTACTTTAGCTCAGTTGGTAGAGCGCTGCACCAGTATCGCAAAGGTCATGGGTTCAAATCCCGTACGGGCCTGAATTTTTTCCAGGTCCTATTTTCAACTACTCATTTCAGTGGTGTTCTTAGCTGCGAGGATCTCTTAATTTTGATTCTTCACCGCAGTGCAAATATATGAATTTCATATATCTAAAATCATTTGGACCGTTGGCTCGTTAGCTCAGTTGGTATAGCGCTGCACCGGTGTCGCAGAGGTCATGGGTTCAAATCCGGTACGGGCCTGAATTTTTAGTTTTTTCAGGTCCTATTTTCAACTACTCGTTTCAGTAGTGTTCTTAGCTGCGAGGATCTCTTAATTTCAATTCATCCCTTTGTCAGCGTTATCCACACTAGCCAATCAGAGAAATTGAAAATATCACATAGAGCCAATGAGTGTTCAGTGTGACAACAAGCTGACTGTCTGAGGTGCGGAAAAACGCGGGTGACCAAGGCGTGATTAATTTTATTATTAAATGACCGTGAATATATGAAAATCGTTTCTTTTTTTTCTTCGAGGGCACGGTAACGAATCCTGCAGTCTGATTGGTGGTTCTTAGCGCGGTCCGTATTTTCCTATCTCTGCCCACGGGCACGATAACGCTTTCGTGAGTCGCCCAGTACATCCCTACCTTCGATGCCATTTTTCATAAAAATATCTCGTTTTTCTGGCTGGGCAGTATTTTTAAGCCGATAAATAACCTTTTAATCCTCTCTTTCCTCTCTCTCAAATCACTTTGGTTGACAGAAAAATACTGGTTTCGATATAAATTTGAATAGGCAGAAGTGTCATCAAATTGGTTGACAAGCGGCCTAAAAACCGTTTGTAATTAATTTTAATCCCTCACTAAAAAAAACCCAGAAAGTTAAAACGTGAGGTATTTGGTTACAAGTGAATTAATCGATGCAACTTTCATTCATTTAATATCTGAATTCTCTCAAATAATTTGTTCGTAGTGAGAGGGCGAGCGAAGTTTTTAATTCTATTACAAATACGCTTTCGGTGAGTCCTTCGAAGTCCGTTCAATTAAGTCATTTGTACTGTTAATTGCACAACAGAAACCGAAGGAACTCAATGAGAAAAAGCCGCATTAAAGCAATTTGTGTGAAAGAATTTAGGTAAGTTTAAGGAAAAAAGTAAAAATGTTGTTCATCAGCCAAGGTCGGTCCGTATTGGGAAAAACTGTGCCCTCTGTCTGGAGTACTGCCCTCGGCCTACGGCCTTAGGCGGTACTCAAGACCCGGTTTTTCTTTTCCTTTTTTTAAATCATCAAGGGAGGTTAGACACTTAGACACCACTTAGTATCTTGCATTGTATATTTGGTTTTTTTTTTTTTTTTTTTTTTTTTTTTTTTTTTTCAAGATTGCCATTTAACCCATGACAATATATCATTTCTACTGTTCGTGGGGGAGGTAACAACAACTGTTTTCTTGACTTTTTAAGACCTATTTTTGCAAAATTTCCAGTCTGATCTTGACCTTGCATCCGATTTCGAGGCTAAGGACCCTTTTTGGACCTTCACTGCGACTTCAATCCCCTCCCCTCCCCTCCCTCTCGCTCCCTTACCCCTCTTGCCCTCTTACCCATAATAGTTTTTTCGGCTTTCGGTACGAGTTTTCGGCTAAAAGTGTGAGCTGCCGAAGTATTAACACTGCCCCAAAAAAAGCACAACGAGAAATCCTCAGGCTAGCAACTGAAAGACGAAACAAATCAAACAAGGAGCTAAACAGTAAAGAAATTGAACCTGAAGTAAAGGTTGACAGCATGTCTGAAAGACACTTTTGTAATGTGTTGCATGATTATAACTTACGGACACCAAGGGAAAAGAATCAATAAATTGGTTAGTAGAACACCTCTGTAGCTTGAACATTGGTGAATTCAAAGTCAGTCATGCGTGGCTTCAGGAAAATATATATGATTGATCATAAGTGACTGGTGTCCGCTATTTTCCCCTATCGCGACATATATATAAGTATGTATATATATATATATATATATATATATATATTATGAGAGGAAAAAAGGACGCAACTACATTTCCCGACAAGCCTGTTTCGTGAATCGCTTCACTCTTCAGGGGTTTAATCCCCTGAAGAGTGAAGCGATTCACGAAACAGGCTTGTCGGGAAATGTAGTTGCGTCCTTTTTTCCTCTCATAATATTTATTCTGCTCTGCTTCAACGTATTGAGCACTGTTCCACGCGAAAATCGACTTGCAGACTTCCTATATATATATATATATATATATATATATATATATATATATATATATATATATATATATATATATGTATGTCCCGATGGGGGAAAAAAACAGAGACTATACTTATAGTCTCTCTATTTTTTCTCCCATCGCAACATACATCGCGCTCAACTTCTACGTATCGAGCACTGCAAAACGGAAAAATTAATACACAGACTTCCTCTATAAATATATATATATATATATATGCATACATACTAGTGCAGATGAAAAAAACAAGGGCAACTGAATCGGAGGAACAAATTTTAAAACACAAAGTTTAAGAGAAATTAATAATTTAAAAATATACCGCAGGGCAGGGAATTCAAGAAAATATTCCTTTTAAAATATTTTCTCCAGTTTAGTAAATATTTTGACTTTGTGATGCGAACTGTGTTAATATTTCAAACTGTGCAGGGAAAAAACTAGTTTGTTTAATTTTAAACCTATATTTTTCAGTCACGGATGGGATATTGGAATCGTAAGACAAATGTAAGGCCTACGTCTTCCGAATCGTGAGGGCTTGCGTCGCGGAATAGCTTGCTTTACATCCTTGTAAAATCATGCTGAAAGTTACTGGATTCGCTTTAATTCATGTGAGTTTTTCTCTTATCTTTCTTGTTCGAGAGCATGATGCCTCATTATTATTTTATACTGAAAATTTTGAAGTCTTGAAATTTTGAAGAAAAATTTGTTAACAAGATTAAGACTACAAGGAAATACTCTTGGAAAAATACAACATTGTTGTCGCAAATTTTATTTGCATTTCAGAAACCCAAAAAAATGCTCGAGATTCATAGAGAGAAAAACGAGTTAACCTCACTTTATTCCTAAATTTTTTGTATTTTCTGTAGCTTTTTCAAAGTCGAATTTAACGATCTAGATGCGATTTTCATTTTGTGATTCGCCTTTTCTTTGGGATATCCTTCATGCATTCTGACGCTCGATATATAAAAAATAAACTACTTTTTTCTTTTCACAACCGAAGAAAAATTGGTATTTGTAAAGAGAAACAGCTGCTGCGAAAGAAAAAAAAACCGTTTCTTCACAGGTTCAGTCGAATAATTGTAATCAATTAAACATCTAAAAATAACCCTTTGCGGAAATATTTTCCATCATCGGATCTCCTCGAAATTTCTTTCAGTCCGTAAGGTCTGGAGCATGTCTCATTATTTTCCTTTGGTAAAGTTCATAACCCATAGGAGAGTTAATTCCTTTTTTATTTCAGACGTCATAGACATTCTTGAGAAAATCAGCATTCTAAGACTGAGCTAAAACTTTACCATTTTTTTCCTCGTATATCCTCTGTTTACACACAAGGTTCTTTTGCTATTGATGATCGTAACAATATACATCGCGCTTGCTTTGCATACACTGGCACACCTGTAATATTTCGTTTCGCAGAAGTAGAACTGAAAGGATTTGCGTATGGAAAATGGCCGCACTTAGAATAGAATCCTAGATATGTCTAATCAGTCGCGCGCTTATATGTCTTGAATGAGCTGATTTGAGCTGCATGGGTACATCGATTTTCATACGATTTTCATTTCCGACTTCTTTTCCTTAATATTTCCTGCATACATCGTTCAGAAAAACCATGAACCTCGTAAATCGCTATGAATCGACCAGATAACCACGCAACCGGAGATAAAGACAACCAATATGCCACAGATCTACTCGTTCATCGATCATGTGCCACTCTGTGGTCACAGATGAACCTATTTCATGGTGTCATTTGCTAACGAGGTCTGTCTAGGGTTCGATCAACTCGAGAAGAACTCAAAGTTTTTTCTTTGTTCAATGCTTGTGTTAATTTTCTTTATGACCGATCGATGGTTTTACAAACTTCCTTTTCGCCATAGAAAATGTTGAATTGTACATGAGTAAATCTCAAACACTGTCAACGTTGCATGACTAGTAGCAAGGAAGGGGCGGAAAACAAAATGTTCAGCACTACAACAAAAAATTTACAAGTTCTAAGGCCTTCGAAGTTTATTACAATACCAAAAATTCAATGGTGTCTTTCAGCTGATGCAGCTGACAATCAGTATGGCGCTCGCATCTGACGACTTGAAGATCAAATTTACAGTACCAACACAACAGCCTCTATTACCAGGGTGAGTATGGTTTACGACTGAAACTTAAAAAGGCTTGGGGAAATGTTTGGAAGGATAACACGGGATCTAGAGCAACATGCAAAACTTTCCTAAGGATCTCTCTCAGGGAGTCGTTGGTAAGGTGGGGAGGGGAGGGGAGAGGGAGATTTCGTTACGCACAGGGCTCAGGCAAGTGGTTCAAAGGGCTGATAACGCAATACAACGGATACAACGCTATCCAGCCCAAGAACAAAGTACAATATGATTCGACTGGAGTTCGAACCCAGACCTGTCGATCTGGAGTACAACCGGCCGCCGTGTTCGTTTACATCCCTCATGACGATGATCAATCTCATGATATCCTCTTGATATCCGCCCATGATCGTGAATTTTACGCCATTCTGTTTATCATTTCTGATAGAGACGAAACTCTTCTTCATGTGGACTGTCATACCGCAACTATTAAGAGAGAAGCCATCCAAGCTTTGACTATGATATTCAGCTTACCGTATTTCCTGCAATTCAAAGGAATCACCAGCTCAGCTGGATATGGTGAACCATCTTCATATCGTAACGAAAGTGGTCGGCTGATTGTAGAGGTGAGCACTCAGTGAATACCTAGGCCTCTCCGTGATGAAAAAACTGTTGCCTTCTCTTTGTATAAAACGTGTATGCCTGGTGTAAACGAGTGCTAGCTAGGAAATTGTTGTTTTGTCCTTTTAAGAGAGTAACCTGGCAGGTTTCAGGGTATTTTTATGGCTCCATATCAAGGGCTACCGAGACCTTAGACGCAGAAACTAATTTCTTGGTATCTGAGAAAGCCTAACTTTTCTTTTGAACGTCAGAAAATCTTTAGAGAGAATCATTTTGCCACATCTCGCGTGGAACTGAAACTGGGAATGCCTATGATCATTTTGTTCAAAGACGTCCCTCTAACATTTGCAAACTTGTTCCATTAACCATATCAATTGAACGGTAACGATTTTATTGTCTGTAGCGTAGACATTGAAAAACTGAGAGTACATTCACTGGACCTGTTAGAAGTTTTTTCAGTTTTGTAAATAAAGTACTTCAGACTTCAATTTTTTCCTCATTTCCCTTAAGGAATGTTTTTGTTTTCAAGCGCAGCGCACGTGAACCTGTTCATTAACCAATCACGTTTAGAGACCATAAACATGGCATTTAGGTTGATGCGGATACACTCGTGGACATTCGTAGACACTCATGGATACTCGTGGACATTCGTAGACACTCGTTTTCTTAGTTGAGTTAAAAATTTTGAACATTTTGTTGTCTCAAACTTTCTCGCTTGGTTTTGTTGGAGAGTTCAACACTCCTTGAAGGCTTTATTTACAGCCAAACGTTGAATTTAAGTTGAAAATCTGGATAAGTATACTTTTCTTTATGGAGAATAGACTTAGCCATCTTTGTCGGAAAAGACGTTCTTACCAAATAATCTAAAATATCCTATTGATCAATATAATGAACTGAGAAAGTTCAGTGACTATAAAATATGGAAGTGTGGGAGACGTAGTGTTAGCAGCTGCTACTATTTTCATTAAAAAAAACCAGTACTTTATTTTATTCTCAGTTCGCTCCTCCAAAAAATTCTGCTAATATCAGCCTCGATGTCACATTTTTTGTGATGAAACAAAGATTAGTGCCCAGTGGAAGTGCGAGTACCTCAGCAATTCACGTAGATGTCAATTACCGAAGAGGACCTCAAGAGTGTTCCCAGACACTCCATAGCTACAGGGATGTTGAAATAGTGGTTTATCACCCAGGTTAGATAGGTCACGTGCAGTTGAGTTTTATTCATTTCTTTTATTTTCTTTATACATTTTCTTTTTACATTTCTTTTAGCGGGGTCGACAAAAAGAATCAAATCCCCTGCATGCATCCACTTATACCGAGCCAGAACCTATTTGTCTCTCCTCTGGCTGATACTAGAATAAGTTTGACGATCATCAGTTTTGGCAAGTCAATAACCATAATGATAAATATTAGAAGGATTATGTGACTCTGACTTATCAAGAACGTGGAACAAGGAAAAAAAGTTCCCAGTCCCCACGAGGAATCGAACCTCAGACCTTCATATTTTACTCCAATATTTTTCCACTGAGACACAGAGACTCAACGGTGAACTGGGACTCTTATGCGACCTCATTACCACTCATCATCAAGCTCAGTCTTTTTTTTTCTTTTCTTCATTTTTCTTACTCGCTTTATTATTGTAATTGGTTCCCGAAAATATTTTTATATGGTAACGGTATTTTTTCAATGTTAGTGTCTGATGAGGGACTCGTCACCCCTCACCCCCCTCCCCCGCAATGAATAACAAATGCTCCCTTATTTCAACTCCTCAGACTGCCAGAATTTCGGTCCACTGGGAATAAGCGATGGAAGTGTGAAAGAAAGCCAACTGAGTGTCTCCTCTCTGTTTCAAACAAGTTCTGAGATAGGAGGCTACGAGCCGTACGGTGCTGGCTTACATGCCCTTAAACACTGGGCACCAGCTCGAGGTTTCCCTTCATACGATAGACGGCAATATGTTCAAGTGGACTTCAGAGAAGTGAAACGTATTGAAATGGTGAGACTAAACTGAAATGAACCAGAAAATAAATGACTTTCTCTTGTATAATACTAGATACTCTTCCACTTGAGAAATTGTTCCTATAGCAAATTATTATCTAGTCATAGTCTGATCCAACAATATAACTTTTATTGGGGTTCCTTCTCTCAGAGGAAATTATTCCATAAGAAAGAACACGTGTAACGTTAAACGGGTGCTCTTTTTTTTTGGTACATAATCCACGAAAACATTAACCCGAGGAGAGAACCAAAGCAAAACAACAAAACAAACAGAAACAAAAATAAACAATATAAACCAACGACAACTGAAAGAGAAGCAAAAAAACTGTTTTATTTTCTTTTACCTGGCACTTTTTTCTTGCAACTTTTTAACATACCTGTTTGTTTAAACATTTTATTTTGCCAGGTGTCTGCGCAGGGTCACCATGAAGCAAAGGCTCCTATACGATCGTTGAAGTTTAGTGTGAGCAATGAAGGATATCGATGGAAAGACTACAGTGAAAAGAACGTAGAGGTAAAACAACGTTAACCAAAATTTAGAAGTCGGTTGAAGAAAGTGGCGATTTTCACATGATGAACGAAAATCAGTGTTATGTTTCTTAGTCATTCGAGATGAGCTCGAATAACTAGAAATGCGAGAAATCGAAAAATCTCATTCCTCAGTGTGTGCTTATTTCTTCATTCTTTCTCACTATCTTCCCACTTTGGTGTTCCCCTAGCCTGCAGTGTAGGTTTCTTAACGTTAAGAAGCTCGCGGTCGTTTATTCAACCGGCCATATTTACATTTGATTTGGAGGTGAAGGTAGTTGCGGGGAGGGGGGGCGGGGAAGTTCACCCCCCCACCTCCGCCCCTCTCCCCCTACCTCAACCTCTCTCCATATTCTTGACCGTCGCCTACCCCTTTGGTACAAATTTCTTTCTCTTCCCAGCCCTCCGCTGCCATTAAAAAAAAAGATGGCGGCTATAATTTTCGATAAGAAAATACTAAGCCTGCTCTGCAGACTAGTGTTCCACCTCACATCTTATTGGATCAGCAATGTCAAAGGCGTCGTGTGAGTAAATAGAACAATAGAGAGGGTAAATTTTGAACTGGGTGATGACATGAAGAAGGCTGATTTTTCCGTCTTGTTACGAGCATGGAGCAAAGACAAAACATCTTTCTTTAGTTCCTTACTGTGCTCAAAATTCACCATCTTTATTGATCCAAGTGCTTTTTTCATATTTCTGAATTATTCTCTCCATACTTGCTCCCCAGTTCTACTTCACATCTGGTGTTTTGGAAAACCCGGGAAATATGCTAATTACAGCCCTTTTGAAGATGCCACTGGAAGCACGTTGGTTTAGAATCAGTCCAAGATTTCCTAATGGATTCTTCGGGCTAAGATTTGAAGTTTATGGTTGTTCAGTGAAAAAACAGCCAATTCTTTACGAAGGTAATGTCGAAAGTATTTAAGGGGCAAGTTTCTGGAGAAACTCCGTTGGGTGCTGCGTCTGTGGGGGTCTTAGAAGACAATTTGGTTTCAACTGAGTTGGAGATGTAAATTTACCACGGTAAAGAAAATTGCACCCAAACCTTAACACTTCAATCTCCCTTATCATTCTGAGCAACATGTGGCAGTCGGCTGCCTTTCCCTGCATCTTGGTAGTTCGGAAAGCTGCAAAACTGTAGAAGACAAATTCATCTTTCACATCGGCACTCTCAATCTCCAAGGTATCAAAGAACTGTTTTAGTTGCATTCATCCCTTTTACTCTTGTGTTTTACACGTTACCATATTCCCACCGATAGTGTAGCTCCATTTTTCTCTCTCTCTATCAACCACAGACAACCCACAATTCCTCCGTTCGTCATGGCAAAAAGCTTACCCTTAGAAACCCTTTACAGTGGGTGATCTACACTATTAGCGCAGTTGATAAAAGCAAATTACCCAAAATTTCAGTCTGACAAGAGAATTGAAATATGCAACTTGATAAATTTTTCTTTTCTTTTCTTAGATCCTCCATTGGGTGTTGAATCTAAAGAAATCACTGACCAGCAAATGAATTCATCCTCTTATGCTGGCGAGAGGTGTAAAGCAGCAAAAGCCCGATTGAACCTGCAAATTTTGCAGGGGGCCTGGTGCGCAAAGCAGCCTCCCACAGCTGAATGGCTTTCAGTGAACCTGATTACTAGTCACGTGATATCAGCGGTAAGCCAATCGCGTTGAGATTGATGTATTTCTGATAACTTCAAGAGAAATCTCTATTTGATTTTTGCGTAAAATAAGCACACCATATGTGAGGATGGTATATAATGTGTGATGGTTTATGAATGAAAAGGGTTTGAAGATCGCGGTGAAGGGAACATTGTGAAAATTAAAAAAAGCTGAAGATAACGAAAGTCGTGGGAGGCGTTACTGGGACCCTGCCCGTTTTACACGCTATCCTTGTGTCTCGGTAGGGCAGCAATTTCGCTCTTTCATAGTTTAGTTCAGCTGTGAGGTTTTACAATCAGTCAAAAACAAACAAAAGCACATGAAAAAATATAATGCGACTATTTAAAACAAACAAACAAAAATTAAAGATACAAAACAAAACAAAACGACAAAAACAAAAATAGATAAAACCTAGCAAAAGACAAACAAAAAGCAAATCAAAGCGAATGAAAGAAAACCATCCTATGTAACTGCTGAACACACCACTTGGAATGCTAACCGGCACGGCATCCAAACGGCTTTTATACATACAATATATAATTGATCATCAACATGATAATTATAAATATTTGATGACACATGTTGCTTCTGTTCAAACAGGTGTCGACACAATGCAGATTTCCCATGAATTACCATGCAGAGGGCATAATGTACTGTGTGACGTCATATCGTTTAGGATATAAAACTGATGTTCAAAGTCTGCGGAAATTCTACATGGAGAACGGGAGTGATAAGGTACTCGGGACGGGACGGGATGGGACGGGATGGGACGGGAGGGGACCCTTATAGAGGTGTGTTCGCATTTAGCGATCGGTTATTCTTTATCTCTTGGGGTTGGGGGGGAAGGGATTCCGGTGGATTAAGTCTCAATAATATTTACCCGATTTACCGTTACTTCCGTAACATTTTTCGTACCCCTTTCCTTGGCAGTTAATTGAAATTCAATCTTCCATAGTCCTCTCTTGATACTCTCGTGCGACATCTGAACCCTCTATGTTCCCCCTGAAAACCGCATGACCCCCCCTTTAAAATAAAAACACCCTCCCCTCTCGAGGCGATAAATGATGACTGACCTCCCCTCCCTTGGGCCCCCCTTCAAGGTGATGATAAAATAACACTCTTGTGTTATACTCGATTTCGATTTGTCTTCAAGTTTTGTGCAACTTGTGACGCCAGAAAGCGCAAGAATTCAAAGCGGTCGTCCATACTTATCCAGTCTCACTCTTTTATTGCAGAAATTTCTCGGAAATCTCCAAAGGTATTCTATGGTAAAGCATCACCTTATCAAGCCAATCCAGGCAATGACAATAATTTTTGCCAGCCTAACGAATATAGGTGATAAACTTTGTATGCGAGTGGAACTGTACGGGAAAAAAGAAAAAACGCTTGGTGAGTATCTTAGCGGGGAGAAATCAGATACGATCTTCCCTAAGTCCGGTCCTCGTATGTTTTCTGGAGATAAGGCAAGAGAAACGGTTTCGTAAGAAGTTACTGACTGCTGAATAGCAGTGAAAAAAGAAAAAAAAAACTTACCAACATGTCTAAAGAATGTAGTGGGGAAAGAGCGTAATTGAAATAACGAGGCAAGAGAAGAGAGAGCGGAAAGAGCCACAAGAGAAGACTGCGACGAAAGTGATGTCTAATAATGTGCTTATAAATATGCGTTATGGACCAAGCGTTAGGCCAAATGACAGGATATCGGCCGAGTAATCTTTTTTTTTTTTTGGACCTCAACTTCGTCTCGGTCCATGAAAACGCCAAAAAAAAAAAAATTAACCTTATATCCAGCCATTTTGACCGAACAAGCTTGGTCAATAAAAGATGTATTTTTTGGAACAAAAAGATTTCGCTTATTATGAATCAAGAATTTCATTTTTGTTTCCAGAGCCGGGAAAGCCAACTTCGTCTGTAGCACCATAAACCCACAAGAGTCGTTCATGTTTACGTAGACTCAATCGCCGATATTGTCCAAAAATTTCGTAAATGCATTCCTTGCCCGGATCAAAGCGGGCAATTTCAAGTGGACAGCACGAGCTTATCTTGCCAGCTCGGGTAGCCAATCAGATGAGTCTTCATAGTGCAAACGCGTGTGTGCATTATCTTTGTCAAACAGTTTCTGAACAAAATGCCTCACTTAATCACTTGATTTCATTATATATCGAGATTCCTCCTGTAATTTTTTTCTAAGTATGCTAAACATGTAAACGCTTTCCTCTACGACAAAAAGCCAATTTCTTGATTGCAGCGTATTTTCTCCTAACAGATCTGCCCGTGGTATTTTCCAGAGCTTTCCTTGTAGACACACGTATAAACCGTCTGTTTGTTTGCAACACTGAAATTTCAAGGTAGGAAACATGGAATAACGGGCATGATAATCAATATTTTTCTTTGCATGAAAATTATCATTCTTGGCCTCGCTTTTGAAAGAAGATTCCTATGCTTTTACATATATTTTCAAGGCCACAAAGGCTAATTTACATGAAAATTTTCCATGATTGAATTGAGCACTTGATGTCTATTGCGAGATGATTGATGCGGGCGGAGCAGGAATCAACTATCACGCATAAAAATCTTGAGTGAATAATCTTATTGCTTTAGTATAGATCTATTATAGCACCAAGACAGGCTCATGTTTTTATTTAATTGTGTTTACAGCCCCTCACAATTTGCATTGTCCACCCACTTTACAAATTGTTTATCACGGAATAGCTGGCGAGCGATGTGGCCAATCAGATTGCAGCATCTGCGATAGAGCACTTGTAGATTTAAAGTATGAAAACAATGAATAATCGGTTCCACCATCGATGAAAGAGGTTTAGATAGAACCGGAACGAAGCTCTGCCATATTCATGCGTAGTAGTCAATGTACGAATCATAGTATTTGCACGTGATAACTGAGGTGCATTCATAACCATAGCTCTCTTAAAACTTGGCAAATATATCAAGAATATCTACCTAAAGCTTGTTTCTGTGACACTAACTTCCGGTGAGAAAGTTATGCCATGAACATTTGAATTAAAGACAAAAAAATTTATCTTCCCTTCTCCAGGCAGAGGTCTCACTGCTATGTAACGAACGATGGGAAAACATGGACAGGTATAAAAAACATAATGGTGGCTCTTAGTTTCATTGCCAACGCGCATATGCAGTGTATAACTAGACGAGTGATCTGAAATGAAAAAAAGGTATTCTTCCTGTCAGCCGAATGAAATTCTTACGCGAGCCGCTTTGTTTGATTGTGTGACTGCGATGCATTTGGCCACCGGTTGTCTTACGCCCATGCGCATTGAATGGCAGCCAGACTGGGAGAGCCGCCGTGTTGTAAACAACGTGTTTGTTGCGTTCTTTAAAACTGGTTTAATCCGTCTTATTTCGGAACATCTGTCTGTTCCTTGATATTTAACAGTGACGTTTGATCGTTACATATTCTATGGCACAATCCCTCTAGGAATCCTACAAATAAAAGAGTTTTCTTTCATAAAAGTAGCGAAACTGTATCCTTACGTCACACTATCCAAAATGTCGCCCAGAGAAGAATTACCAACAACAGTTAATGCTTGCAATTTTCGTTTTCAAAAGTTTAGCAGCAGCTCCCCCATTGACAGGTTTGGTTATATCCATTTTTCCTTCTCCAACAGCGCTGAACTTCCAACTTCTCACCGTACTTGGTCTCGACAAAGAGGGAAATCTTCACGGCGTTTATCTAAATGGAAAGATTTTCCTCTCGTGCAGACAAAACGGCCAAGGTGATTGCAATGTTGAATCGGCTGAGAGCTGGTACCGAGTCCGGGACGAACCTGAGACTATAACCGCGACTGAAGTACCACACATAGCCGAGACGGGTTTGGATCACACAGATGTTCCCGACCGACATACTCTCACTCTCAAAGATGGCCTTGGCCGTTTTTGGGGAGGTACTAAAATAGCTCATAATGATAACCAATTTTAAAACTTCATCCTTTATCATATGTGTGGTGTAAGAGTTGGGGCCTAGACCACCTGAAGACCGGGTTCGAGCTGGTTACTGCCGTAATTGCTGAGATAAACCCGTTCAGAGAGGGCAGCAATTGCTCCTGACAAATAAATTCAGGATCTGTGCGAGAAGAGAAGAGATCAAACAATCCAGCTTTTTATAACTGCTGCCCAACGATAAGTCGTTGGCCATAATAGAAGTGAAAAGTGGTCTTTTCAAGCGGATAATTTCTTCTGTCTGAAAGAGAAAAAGCTATGAACTCTAATCAAGGTAGTGTTAGTGCTTTATAGAGAGATTATGAGATAAAGTCCGATTTGTTTGTTCTTTGTAATGATAGCTATCGGATCCTAAACGAACAGTTGATCATAATACTATAAATTACTTGTAACTCTTGGATAGCTTCACGGTATCTGACCAAAAAGAAGTAATTTTTTTACCTATTCCATTCAGCTTCGTCCCGAGGGATCCACCTCTCAGCGCCATCGGATGAACCAGTTTGGAAACTAGTGTTAACATGGCGGGACTACGGTAAGTGCCCGGGGTATCCGGTATAGCCAAGGAAATCTGCTGGACTTTCAGGAGCACTAGAGCACTCCTTTTTTCTTGGGTCTTAAGAAATGCTACAGCGAACACCAACAATCTGAACCGAGGGCGAGCGGAGATGGGAGCATGCGCAGGAGTGGAAACACAATGGACGGAGAAAAGACGGAGAAAAGTGGAGGACTTACAATTTTGCTCTTTAGAAGTTTCCATCATTTGTGGAGGGAAGAACTTAAAAAACCCTCCCATTACAGCCATGTAGAAAAATAATGAAGCATACCAAGATTTTTTGTCACATTTTGAAATTTACTTAGGAAAGTGGGTTGCCAAATTTAATTTTATGACGGTCAACAAGTACAGTTTTTTATCATCCAACTGTACAAAGAAAAATGCAAATAACGCGCCAATAGAGTACAAATATCCTGCGATATTCTACGGTTATTTGGACAGTTGGTTATTTTGTACTGTAAAACCAGTCGGCTGCGTGCGCTACGCCTCTCTATCCGCTTTGCTTTTCCCGCCATGTAAGAGATGAACAGAAAGACTTAGCGGAAAGAAAAGCAGTTGGATAATAAATAACTTATTAGACATTCTGGTGTGTAGCATTGTTGAGTATTTTTACTCGTTGTTTGTTTTTTGACCCGCCCTACGTACGGGCTTGTCAAAATACAGCACAGCTCGTAAAAATACTCAGCGATACTGAAATGTCTAATAAGATATATTTATTGTGTTTTGTTGAAGGAAATTCGATCTGAGGGAGGAGGAGAGTCTATTTTCAATGTTAGCGATCACTCCAGGAACGGAAAAGTAACATAGGTCACATCTCCCTCCATATTTTATTTGGGGGGGGAGGATGTGTAAAAAAGAAGTTGGTTTTATCAAAATGAAATTTACCAGATCACCCTAAGGCTAAGACCCCCCCCCCCCAACCGGCGAAAAATAATGAGAGTTCCCACAGACAGTATCAACACTGTCAATCAATCCTAACATCTAACTTTGAATCTTAAAACCTTCTCTCTCTAAGATTTTGATGAGTGCGCCAGTTCAATTTGCTTTAACAGAGGAACATGCGTGGTGTCAAATGGATTTCTTTGTTTTTGCCTGAACGGTTGGACTGGACAGCGGTGTGAAACAAGTATGTCATACGTTGCTATATCATTTTGGTTATAAAGTGCATCAGTCATTTTGTTATGTACGTAGGAAGGGACTATGCTTTCAGATTATCTCGCGGGTTGAGTTTAGGTGCGGCTTGACATTCCTTTCGGGTGTCAGGCGCAAGAACTAGGAGTTTGAAATAATCGATACGTTTTTATCATCCGTTCTCCATGCTTATAACATAATTAACTTTGTTTTATCAGTTTTGTCATTTTCATAGAATTTCAACCCCAACTTGAATGTTTATACGATACAACATGCAAGATACGAAAAACAGCTTGATTTATAAAGCTTAGTTCAAAATGTAATCTTCCTTATCAAAATTCTTGGTTCTGGGATAACATGTGAGAGGATAGTTCTAAATCGGGCAATCTATGAAAACCTAGCTTGAAAAGTTCTTACTAATCAGGAAGATACAGTGAGAAAATAGAACAGAGTGAACAAAGTTGAACGTTGGGATATAACGAGAGAGCAGTCGGAACTTCTACCATAAAGTATTGATGAAAACGTTAATGAGCAACATATAAATTACATATTTAATGGACACTTTTGGACTCATATGTTTGCTTCCCTGATAGCTACTCTTTATAAAGCAAACTTATTTTGAATTTTTCATAACGTTACAAAGAAGACCAACGAAACTCATAGGCGTAGAAAAAATAAACAAACAAAAAACCGAAAAAGGAAGAAACATGCTACAAATATGATGTTTAATTCGAAGCACACGCAAAAGGGATATACGTATACGTCTTTTTTTTACTCCAGGATGTGGAAAGCATAAAAAAAGCATTGTGGGGATTTGACATGCAAACTTCGTGGCGTAATTCAGGGCTTAAAGGTGTGGGGAGAGTATGCATCTCATTAAAGATAGCGGAAAGGACTTTTGTGGGAATAAGGGCTTGATTCTGTTCCTTGGAATCAAAAAATCATTGGATTTTAATAAAATCATTGCTAATTTTTTCATTTTTAGGGGCAGGGTAAATTACATTCTGCACATTATATCTACAAGTTCACCGTGGTTTCCCTTCGATTTCATGCCATTATCAACAGCAGCCAAAAAAAAAACATATTTTAAAAATGTTATGGGAAAGGGCAGTTAACCTGAAGGATTGCATGCTATTTTAATAACAATAATAATAATAATAATAATAATAATAAATTTCAGGTGTTGATGAGTGTGCTTCAAATCCTTGTCAAAATGGAGCCACGTGCATCGACAAACATTTGAGCTACAAATGTTACTGTACTATTGGATATAACGGAACGCTATGCCAAACTGGTATGCTACTTCTGTGTAGAGAAAATACAACTGTCCCATCACACCTTATTTCCAAGCTTGAAACACGATATTTTGCCTCGAACCATGACGGATAAGATGTTTTTACTCTAAGTGGTTATTACAGACAACAAACAAACATCAAACAACCGATAAGAAACAAAAGAACGTAATACTTAACTTACAAAAACGAGAAGTGTAACCGCAAAAACGACAACAAAAATGCCAAAAGGGAAAAGAAGAACAAAACAAGACAAAAACGGAAACAGAGAAGAAAGACATTGCATCCACCTTACACAGTTCAAAGTCCAATCATCCAATCGGCTGCATAAAATGGATGCTTTCTAAAAGGAAGAAAATTTTAGCAGTCTTATCTATATTTTTCCATTTACGAATGTTTTCATTCTGGAAGCAGATTCGAAAGATATCTAATTTTGATGATTGAGAAATCCGCTGTCTTAGGTTTGAGATCGGAGGAAAAAATTATTCTTTGAGAAGTTTTTCCGGATAAGCTCGGTCAGCTTATTTATCTTTTCACTAATTGTGCAAAAGATATCTATTTTAAAGACATATAAAGACACTATCTGAACTTAATACCTGTTAACATTGCTCTCATTTATCAATTAGAAAAAAACGAGTGTTTATCAAATCCTTGTAAACACAGAGGGGTTTGTAAGGACGGAATTGGTTCCTACACCTGTAAATGTGCAAATAACAGAGGGTTCACGGGAAAAAACTGCAACACAGGTATATCTTTAGAGTGGTAGGAGTTTTCTTTCCTGATGTACTTGTGTCGTCAACAAAATCATTTGATCTTTATAACTTCATTCATGTATCCATAACTCAAAGCCAAAGCCACCAACTGGTGGATGTTAACCCTAATAAAGTCTGAGGAACTTATTATGAGTTTATCATGAGTAATAATTTGCGGAGAGTATATAGCAAGTTTGTCACATGCAGCAAGACTTCCTCTGCTGTCTAATGGCTCAGTGATAAAGCATCTACAAAATATAACGTACATATTGAAGTTTATCGCTGTGACTCCTGTTGTCAAAGTTTCACATTTGTCGCAGCTCAGTGTGGTTTTGAGTTAAACCATTTGTTGAATTACACGTACAATCTCGAGACAAAAAGGATCGAAATTATCGAGAGAACCGAAAAATAAGCTCCAAAATTGCAAGAAATCACGATCATATCAACCGTGGTCTATCATCAGATAAGAAATGTTTAGGGACGACTCATTATTTGTAACGGTGGGGAGGGGGGGGAGATTAGAGGATTTTGATTGTGTCGCAACAGCATTTACCTGATTCCTCCCCCCTTAAGGCTCGGTAGTACTCTAGTGACTCCCTTTCATTAGCTTTTCACTGAACCCCCCACCGTTCCCCTTTGAAAACCATGTGATCACCTCAAAATCATCCACCTCCTACCCCTTAAGATAGGTTCTTCTGTCAACTCTATCTTCCATTAACTTTTTCACTTTTCTGTACCTGTATTTAGACATAAATGAATGCATCAACAGTCCTTGCCACTCAGGAACATGCCAAAACACGCGTGGGAGCTACAAATGCACATGTCCACCAGAATGGGAGGGAGGCCATTGCCAGAGTAAGCCACAAAATAAAGTATTTTTTTTGCTTAGATACTCATGCACAACTTCGTGCAATGTTACAGGTTCTTGCTAGTTCAGGTAGCCGTCAATGCTTTTGAAAGCGCTGTTATAATCCAATTTGCCGCGTCGATCTGTTGACCACCTTTCAGCTGGGTCAATTCATATTTGCTGGTTGTGGATGAAAGCATACCTTTGCTGCGAGTATACAATGGAAAGTATTTATAAAGTCATTGACGAATGCCGCTGTTTTCAAGTTATTTTATGACTTTTTCGGAAACTTGAGTGGCAAGAGTAAAAATGCGTGGTTCACTTAAAGTTTCTGCTTTGGTTTTAGGCCTTTTTTTGTTTTTTTTTATAGTTTATCAGCCTTGTTTCATATAAAATACAGGCTTATAAGCGAGATTCAACACGCTGGCGTCCGTAATATGATTTTCTATGTACATTTGAAGACAACTGTCGAATGTTGAACTTACTCTTAGAAATTGGAAAAGGGACATTTAGATGGGCATAGAAAGGAACTTGTATATATGTGACTGCGGAAGGAAACTTGTCTTTCAACTGCTCCATTAAGCCATTTATGCATTAATTTTGATTTTGATGTAGTAAGAAACTACTGCCACGGGCATAAATGTTTAAACGGAGCCACTTGCAAAAATGGAGAAAATAATTACACCTGTCAGTGCGTCGAGGGGAGCTCTGGAATGTACTGTGAAACTGGTTAGTATAGCTAGGGCGTGTGTGTTGAATAGTGTATGATGCATGAAGTTTACCACATAGCGAAAATCACGAAAAAAAGTTTTTTTTTTTAAAAAATATGTTTATTATTTTCATTGTAGTCAATTGACTGGTGGAAATAAGGAGTATAAAAAAAGTTATCATATTGTATCGAACACGTCTTCCTAAAAAATTTCAAAAAATGATAAGAATGATACAAGCACCAATTGTAATAATTTATTCAACTTTCCAAACCCCCCCACAACCTAAATAATAATCTAAATAATACAAATAACCATGAATTGTAATGATATCCACCACAACTTCCCAACCACCCCAAGGAAACATGAAATGGTCCTTCCCTATCCAGATTGATTCATAATGACAGTTATCGAGATTTTTGTTCAGCAACCCTCAGATTTTTTAAATAATTATATCTAAATTTCCTTCGACATGAAATCTTAATAATCTAATCATCGAATTATCTTTGAGAACAGTCAATTTTTATAGCCTGGAGGTGGGGGGGTGAAGGAATCCTTGGCGGGGGGAGGATACATGGTTTTCAGGGGGAAAGGAGGGGATATCATTCGTCGCCAACAGAGTATAAAGGGGGGAGGACAGAGTAAAAAGGGGGGGGGGGGAGGTTCATAGTAATACTGCGAATCAATTATGAAGGGATCAGGTAAGTTTTGTCGTGAGGGAACCAATATTCTCCCACCTCACCCCTCTTCTGGGTGACTAATGGCGATAGATAATGATCGTAGGAGATAATTTATTTTCTCCTGCCGTTCCCTAATTCAGATATAGTGGACGAATGCTCAAGCAACCCATGCTCAAAAGGGACGTGTCAAGATCTGATTGGACATTACAGCTGTGTCTGTCCCTTTGACCGACAGGGAGACGGATGTACAAGTAAGACATACTCCAGGAGAGTAAAGTACTATCAACTGAGTGATAACATAAATATCAGTAAAGCATCCAAACCAGTCGTTAAACACTTTCATCTCCCTAATCATTCTAAGCATCATATGGCAATTTGCGGCCCTTCCCTACATCTTGGCAGTTCGTAAAGCCGCAAACCTCTAGAACAAAAATTTATCTTCCAAATCAACACTCCTAATCCCCACGGTATCAACGAACGCTTTTCATTCAACTAATTAATTCTTGTTTTCTCGTCACCATACTCTCACCAATAGCGTAGCTTGATTTTCTGCATATAAACACACACAACCCAAAATTCCTCCACTGAAGATGACAACTCCTCACGTTTCTCCATACACTTTACGATGGCCAGTTTACGTTATCAACTGAGTAATAATACCAAATTACCCTGTTATACAAAAGGGTATATAATATATATATATATATATATATATATATTTCGTTCTACACTCATGTGTATTGAGCACTTTCCAAGCATTTGCTACAATTTCCCACAATTATATATATATACATATATAGTTAAGTGTACTATATGGGCGTAACGAAGAGACCAACTCTTGACTGTTTGTAATACATATTTGAAAATGGGAGGACCTGTGCGGAATTGACGTCTTGACAGAAAGTGAAACTGTTTAAAGTGAAATAAAAATTACAGAGTGATATTTGTTAGACCATTCTAAAGCCCCTCATATTGCCTTGCTGTCATTTGATTTTATGACGGTAAAGAGGAATGGTGATGGTGTTTATGTTGAACGACTACGATGGACTTCATGTGACCACTTAACCTCTTTTCAATTTCGGAAAAACTGTGTCTTGCTAACTTAAAGCACAAAATTGGTTACAACACAAGGCTAGGTTGTTGAAAACCGACCAGTATCAATCTAGAATTAGAAGTTGAGCTGGGTTTGTGTTTTGTACCAGGGTGGAGACCTCGTAAGTACTGTTTTCAGACAAAACTGAAGGTAAGAACTGCCCACAAATGAACATGGTGGCGCCAAATTATCTGTGCAAACCTGCTAAAATGTAAAGAGATGAAAGTACGTTTATGCTTGCATAGATCCTGTCAACGACTGCTTCGACAACCCTATTGGTGTTGCCAATCCCAACGTGATCTCTAATCAGCAGATGAGAGCGTCTTCGCACTTAGATGAATCTCATCAGGCCTCTCATGGTCGGCTAAACGGGACAGGTTGGTGTGCGGGAAATGCTAGTTCCCAGGACTGGCTCCAGATTGATTTCAATCGAACAATCGATGTTTGTGCTGTTGCAACGCAAGGAGGTGCAGACGGCTGGATTACCAAATTCAGCCTGTTATTCTCAAATAATGGAACACAGTGGGTGCCTTACAAACAAGAAGATGGCTCCATCATGGTATGGTGATTTAGTGACTCAGTGGATTGCAAAGAGTGCTAGAAAAGAAAAAGTTATGATAAGTATTATTATTCTGGTTGGCGACTGCATAACTGGTTGTTTCAATAGAAAGTTTGTGACAAGAGATACTATAAAAAGTCGCAATAATCTGCAATAACCGTAAGTAATGAATGATCCTACCAGCATGCAGGACTCATGGCACACAAGAACCTCGCTATGACCTGAATTACCGTCAGAGTTTCCATTTACATTACTTGGTTAAGAGGGTATGACCAAATCCTTCTATGAGAGCCATTTTAATGAACACTGATTTGCCGTGATGACGTACCTTCGTGTTGCAGTCAATTCAACTTCACTGTCTGAATACATTCATACATACATAACCTCTCTTTCCTCTAAAATTTTACAGTATCGCGATAAAAATTAGCTAATACCTTTTAGGAATGAAAACATTAATCAAATCAAAACAATGATCGTTTATAAAAATATTAAAGAGTAATCACTCATCACTTTTACTTGATCTTTCCTTTTATTCCGAAGCAATTTGACAGGTCGGGCAAAAATATTACAGTTGACCAACACAAGCTTCCAAAGACAGTGTCTACGAGGCATGTTCGCTTTATTCCAAGTTTACAGCATGTCTGCAATTGCCTAAAAGTGGAGGTTTATGGATTCGATGGTAAGCATGTCATCTTCTTGACATTTTCAATGACGTAGAAGTACTAGTTTTAGTAGTAGTGGTAGTGTTAATAGTAATAGTAGTGGTAGTGGTAGTAGTAGTAGTAGTAGTAGTAGTAGTAGTAGTAGTAGTAGGAGGTTTATGGATTCGATGGTGCTAGTAGTTGCATTAGTAGTAGTTGTAGCATGTCATCTTCTTCAGATGCATTTTTCAATGTTCAATCAGGTTTGAGACAAAGTCGACAATACACAATAAAACATCCTTAAAATCTGATTGCTTTATTGTTTACTATTATTGCTGTGCATTTCAATACTGACCTGGTAATTTCGGAAGAATTTCCTTTGGAGATTCTATAGCCCAACTTGTGACACATTTCAGAGAATAGAACAGCCATAGCCAAATCTATTGGCTACAATAACCTTTTGTTTTATAGAATCTCGGAAAGTTTTAGAGAAGTATTCTATCGATTTAAAATTTTGAAAAGTTTAGCACTCAGATACGAGGCCGTTTATGGCACCTCTCCGTTTAGTGATTGATAAATAAGGTAAACTGGTTATTTGAAAAAGCAAATGATAAATTAATTGTTAAAGTTTTATGCTTCGAATACTGCATTTTTAGTGTTCAAATTGGTCTGCTCAACTGCGGCTATCAAGTCATATCCAGGGTCATCTTATATGGATTTGTATTGCGCCAACTGTCGAGGAGCTGAAAAAGGCTCCAAATATTGAAACATTAAGGATTGAATGAAATTTAATGAAAACATTATTCTGACCGCGCCTGTTGGAGATAAGATTGGTTAAAGCCAACTCGGCGCTAGACGCTTTGTTGGCTATTTACTATCTCATATCCAACGCACGCCCATGGAATAATTGTTTCTTAATCCATAGACCCTGCTATAACGCACATGCATGGAATAATTGTTATTTAATCCATAGACCCCTGCTATAATCATGATGTGCTAAATCAGGCGAGAAGGAAGAAAACCTTCAAGGGTCAAGGCGGCCATTGTGACCGAAGTAATTTAACATCCGAAAAAACATGGTTCCGTTTTATCGAACCAGCTGGTACTCAAATGCCAACAGCCTGTGTTCCTCAATCTCACTGCAATACTAATAGACCCGGATGGCTGGATGGACATCACCCTAATGTGACACAAGGTGTAGTAAACATGAGGGTGTGCTTTACTTCTGAGAACGACTGTTGTGGTGATCGGAAATATATATCGGTCAAGAATTGTGGCGACTTTTTTTCATATGGACTGGTAAAACCAAATAGTTGTGGACGATATTGTGGAGAATAAACATTCGCTGTGCTTTAGCAGCGAAAGAAAGAAAGCGAGACAGGGGAAGGGTGGCAAAAATGTACTGTGAAGGGGAAGCATCCTCCCAAAAAGAGGGTCTCAATGGGGTGATGGCTTTTTCTGCTAACGGTTGAACTTTACGCCATTTTACCGCTAATAGATCACTTGAAACGGTTCACTTTTCTTACAATTAACGGTTAGCATTCATTTGTATGCCAAGCGGCTTAATTTCTCCAGTTTACGGCTTACGTTTAATCCCACTGAGACCGTCTTAAAACGTATTGCTCCACCTTCCTCATCAAAAAATCTTTCGCACAATTATGACACTGCACGTGTTTTAAGCTTCGCAAAAACTTGTTAACTTGATAAAATTTACTTTCTAAACTTTGAAGTGGCAAAAAATTTAGTATTGTTCGCCGACATTTTGAACCTTGCTTAGCAACATGACCGCCTACCAATAATACTTTCTTGTAACAGGGTCTCACGTTTTATTTCCTTCTATGAAAGACCTTTAGACAAGCAAACAAACAAACAAATGAATGAATCAGTCGATTTACTAATGTAGTTCATGTCCTGATATTTACAACCAAATAATAATTTAATTGTTTTCAAATTGGTGGCTTCGGGGTGTCGAACTTTGGTGCTTTTGAAGACAAATTTCGAAAGGGTATGTTATATGCAATACATTTACGACAGCTTATAGGTAGATTTTATCACATAATTCTAAACACAAAAACAGTTCGATATAAATCAAGCTTTCTTGAAAAGAGTTACCCTTATGACGTTTAGATCGATACTTTTGATGTAAAACGTTTTGACTCTTCTTGGGTTAATAAAGCACTTCGTAGCGTTAGATTCATTCTTTCAATTGCACTTGGTTAGCTCATGTTGTAGAGCGCTGGACTCCCGTGCGGGAGATTGAGGGTTCAAGCCCCAGACCGGACTAACACTCATGGTCTTGAAATAACTGAGGAGAACTTGTAGTCTTTGTTAGAACCATTGATAAATGGTAAGACACTCTAACCTTCTCAGAGAGGACGGTAAACCTTTGACCGTCCCTAAGGACGATAAACCTTTGGCCCCGTTCCCTTGACCGTAATCCTTTGAACTTGTTAAAGGGTGCACTTCTCTCAGAGAGAAGGAGACGTAGCTCTTAGTGTCAGCTCCCATTCCTGTTTAAACTAGCTCTAAAGCACAACAGAGCCAGCCTGTTTAAATGTCGCTATGAATAACGAATTAAATTGATCATTCCACGGCGGACGTTAGGGCCTCTGTTCAATGTTGGAGAGAGAAATTTCTCAAACAAAGAAACTTAATTCATTACAATTCTATGAAAATGTGTTAATAAGCATAAACAATTCTTCGGTTTTAACTTCACTGCTCTATTTCCTATTTCCTATAGCTCACGGAATTCCTTGCTACAAGTTACAAAATGTATTCAGCTAGTTCACTGAAAAAATATGGAGACTTCACCTGAACATTTTTCATACAAGCGCGATGATAACGGACCTTCTCGTGGACCTTTACCTGCATATCCAAACTCACCAATTTGTACCAAATAATTCTCAAAATGCACGCGTTAAACGGGCTAAAAAAGCATATCAATGCACAGTTTATACACCAATGAGGTCACCGTTCGCCTCAAACTCGCACTTATATCTCTAAATTTCATCCACCAACATCTTAAAAACAACGCAAATCCATGCGTTTGCTCAATTGCACTCGTTTCAAAGATTATTTACAAATTCTGAAAATTGGCCGAGATCTCCTTTTGACCGTTCAAACTTCTTTTTTTATCTTCTGCATTGAGGATTTTAGGTTTTCATAACAATCGAATGGAGAATAAATGCCGAGTTGTCCTAAAACGTTGCATAAACGTGGTTGGTCGTAACACTTGCGCGCTTACGTGACTTACAAAGTAAACAAAGGGTCGGAAGCGCCTTCTTGGTAATTTTCGTTGAAATGTCACGTCATGAGCAATACACAGTGTGGAAAAAGATCAAAACTAAAGAATAAAATTTGGCACTCTGGTTATTACAGACGTATTGCATGGCTTTAAATAACACACAAACAAGTTAAAATACGTCTCAGTGTTATTTACAGAACAACACGCAACACTCTGAAAGAATTCTTGCAGTTTCTCCCGAGATTTAGCGCACGCAACGCGATGAAATAGCCTTCCTTTCTGCAAATTTTCTTCCATCGTTAATGATTTAACGCTGAATGGACCACAACGCTTATGAACGACAAACTCGACGTTTCCCTACGACCATCAAACCCAGCTTGACGAGTGACGTGTTATGCTAATTTTTCCTTGTCACATGATCTGTTTCGCGGGTGATTTTAAGTGAAACCAAAATTAGTTGATATAACGAATTAGAATCGAAGGTTATCATCTTTTATAATGTTTACTTGATTCGCGGAAAGGAAAGATTGTAATCGCTGCGGGTATTTCAGCCCTGACTTCTTTCCTGGACTGCCGGAATGACGTATGGAGTCATTTGAACTATAACCAGCTATTCAGCGAAATCCTCAAGTACGAGTTAATTTAGTTTCGTTCTGATCATTCTAGCCTCGAAATGGAAATTGGTATGGTCTAATTAAACATCGGAACTCTTTGGTCTTATTTCAACTACTAGCTCAGTAGTGTTCATAGCTGCGAGGATCTCTTATATTCGTTTCTTCACCGCAGCGCATATATATGATTTTCATATATCTACAATCATTATTCTTTGGGAAACATTGGAAATGCGGTGAAAGTACTTTTTGACACCGAGTCACGTGGGAAAATGTAAAACAGTGAAGAGGGACAGAGTGTTTAACGCCATTTGTCGTAAAAGCTGGCAGCAGATTGTTATTGAACTGAACTTAATTTACCATGAAGGTATTAACTTTCTTTTGTTGTGAACCACGTGTCCTAAGCCCTTTTCGTGGGCAAAAAAAAAAACTTCTTTTCGACGGGAAGTCGAGAGAACTACTTTGGTTCCAATTCCCAACGGATTAAGCAATTTCAATCAACGTCTTAACAACAACAACAACAGCATTTATTTAAACACGATAAAAATTACAGCGGAGCTGATGTGGTCGTGTATTTTGAAGTTAAAACAAAGTTTACAAGTGAATAACAAGCTTTAAAACTAATTGAAATTTAAAAAAAGATCCAACCTATTTTTAAAAAAAATTATATATTTGTAAACTAATCTATTCGCATGAAGTTCTGCGTTTAAGAAAATTTTTAAATAAGCTTTTGCTTGAGAGTGCACGGGCACGGTTGTCACGAGAATTCCAAAGAGATACGACTTTGTAACAAGTGGACTTGCGAAGAATTTCAGTATTTGGTTTTGGTCACAAAAGGTAATCCATATTTCGGAAATAGCTTCATAATAGGAACGGGGAAGAAGTTATAAAAACAGTCGTGTGCTAACATAAATAATCTATATTCGCATAAACCTTTAACAGTGGGCCACTTGCTTAGGACTAAGACCTAATCGCTGGGTTTGTACCAATCCAGGCCATAGATGATCTTTGAGGCACGTACGTGTATCCTCTTCAGCTCATCAAAGAGCGATTTCCCTCAGGAATACAACCAACCCATAGGTAACAGATAGTAAAATTACTTGATAAGAAGTACAAATATCTAAGAAGATTCAATTTTTATGAAAAGGACTAATAAACTCTTTTACGTGAACGTTCCAATTAAGATCACTGTTAATTTCGTTGCCTAAACACCTGGTTGACTTGACCGGATGTACACTCATCATGTACTCGGTTCTACCGGGGGGGGGTGAGGCGGTTAAGGCAGCACCAGTCATACAACTTCTGAAGGATGACGTTCAAGGCAAAAACAACCATATCGGGAGAAGACGCAGTCACGTAAATCTTCATGCTTAATGTTGTCAGCATAGATATGAATTTCTCCATCACAATCCTCAACTATATCAGGCAGACCGTTGCAAAACAACGAAAACAGGGTATGTCCCAAAACAGATCCCTGTGGCACGCCAAACTTCACAGGTAAAGTTTCGGACTGAAAACCGACCAAAACCGACCGAAGCTCGAGAGCGGTCATCTAAATAATCTTCAATCTAGCACCATAGATCGTCAGCAAAACCTACTGCTTGCGACTTATTCAGCAGGACATGATAAGAGAGATAGAATCGAATGCCTTGCGGACGTCATCAAAGACGATGCCAACCACTAGATTTTTATCCAGTGGACTTCTCCAGTTCTCGATCATTTTTACCAACAACAATTCGGTTGGGTGACTTTTTTTAGGCCCACTGGTGAGAATGGCTAAGATTATGTTCCGAAATATGAGTTGTTATTGTGGTGGCAACAGTCTGTTCAATCAATTTTCCTGAGACGCATAGTAGGGAAATTGGTCCGTAGCTCTGTTTGTCAGTTTCATCATCCTTCTTGAACAGTGCCGAGACTTTAGCTTCTCAATCAGCAAATTTTATTCACGAGCAAACTTTGAGCAGCGAAGCTAAAACTTTTTAATGGGAGAATAGAGTTTTGATCAGAGACCGTTTTGTGGAAGTACTATATATTTATTGAATTTATTAAAATTTAATGCGCCGATTTACGAGTCTTTTTTTGCCCAAGATCATAGTCTCGAATATATTTCTTTTATTCCCCTTTTTCATGTCAAGTACTCAGATGCGAAAAGCCTGTATCAGTAAACGCCGTTGTAACATCATATCACCCCGCTGACTAAATGGACATCATCCAAATGAGTCACATTGTGTTGGTAACATGATAGTGTGCTTTAGAAGCTACGAAGACTGGAATGTATTGAGTTACCATGGAGGATGGGAGGGAATAAATAAGAACTATATATACCATGAGAAACACTACACAAAAATACTCATAAAAAAAAAACAACAACAACAAAACAAAACCAAACAAAGCAAAACATCCACAAATTACTAAAAATCCAAATGCTACCTGCACACCGTGACATGGCTGGAAAACAAGGTCTTTTTGACATTATAGAATTACATAACAAAAGATATCACCTTGTTCTATTTCCTTAAATCCTGAACTAAAAAAGGTAAACGATAAAATACCAAGTAAATTATTTACAGACTTGTAACAACAAATGATGACGATGAAGATTGTTGAATAATTCCCTCGACTTCAACTCCGGGATTATTCAACAAAATTCATTGAGACTGAAGCGAATGATATTGCTGATAAATAATAGATGGACATAGATGATTTGGCACTACAAACTATTTCCATGTGTTACTGAGAGGAGACACCGATAAGTGGGGACGCTAACATGTTGTTATGAAGGTGTCTCCGACATACCTTTATAAGATTTAACAGCCCTGCAGGGAGGGAGGGGTGGAAACTCGAAATTAAAATATGTTTTCTCTCCTATTCCTGGTAAGTCAAGGATTTTCTTTTCTTCCTACGTGAAAAAGAAGCATTTGTTTAGACCGGCTAACAGTATGGGCTACTGACTATGAGATTATAGCATGTCTCCCTGGAACAAGGTCAAAAATTGATTACAATAATGACTCCTTTGTATACTATTCTCAACACGAAAGGCGTGAGAAAGCTTATATATGTCGTTCAATGTAGGAAAAGAAATCTCAGACATCTTTATGCATCTTTTTTCTTTGCTTAACAAAAACATTTTCGTATTAAAAATTAAGGAGTGCTTTCATAGTCATTAAGCGTTGGTGCCTCCATGTCAACACCAAATCTCAGATTTATTCATCCACGGTTGGGAGATGAACGTTTTTGAAAGATGATACAACCACCAAAAAATGCAGTTTTCCTTGGAATGAGCGAATGCAATTTCTGTACAGGCGAGATGTCTAGAATGAAACTTTTTTGTATCTGTTTTTCCTAATAGGAAGTTGCTTTCACAGCCGTGCGACTGCAAACCAAGGTAGGTAAAGTTCGGCATTTCCTAAAGGTAGATAATAATTACAATAAAAAAAGATTGTTCTATTGTTTTTACATTTGAGGTTTAAAAAATTACTGTAAGTTAATAATGGTCGACCCCAGTTTTTCCGAAGTCTCAGTCATAAAACTTCATAAGCTATTTTCATCTATTTCAACAAGAAAATCTCTAATTTGAAAAGCCTAGCTGGCAATATAGTAATAACCAAAGCTCACACAAAAGGTAAAAGAAGGAGACTGTAAGGAGTATATGTTTTAATTTTTTTTCAACTCTTTTCACTCTCACTATTTGAAATCTCTCAAAACTTTTATCTTTAAGGGAAATGGAAACTTCAGGCGTTTAATTAATAAAAATATTTGCTTAATCAAATAATCTGGAAATCTTCGTGTCCTCTTGATGTTTCAACAAGAAGGGAACTATTGACTAGGACAAGTTTTAATGAGCTTGCATTAACGCTTCAGTAGCTAAAGCTGGTTTATGTCGAGGTTGTAAAGCTAATCGAAAAGACATTTTAAAATTTTCATTAATCTGTTGACGTGTCAAGTTTCAAGAACCAAGCAATGGCTTTGCTTTGGTGGGTCATGTCTTTGCGAATATTAACTTAATCATTGGACCACACATGAATAATCACTGCAAAAATCGATGTATTATGGAACAAAGGTGTCGATCGATCAACATAGGCCAAGCAAGGAATGACAAAGTCCTGTGTCAGCTGAGTGACTCGGATTAATGAAAACATCCGAAATATCTGAAACCTATGGATTACTTTCTATACTTGAGTATCGAGGTAAGAAGTCTTACCCCTCGTTCCCAAGGGAAAAACAAATGTCAATTTTAGGATACTTTACAATTTGACACCAGATTCATATTTTTAAGATTGACAAGAACTTATATTAGTCAGTACAAAAAGAAATTGCAAGAAAAAATAAGGCTGAAAGATGTAACACCCCGCATATACCCCTCCCCCGCGTAGATGTGTTTTCATGAGCTTTAATGTTGTGTGCATATTCTTTCAGTAATTGTTTCACTCTTTGGACGGAGAATTAATAGACGTCTCATGTGCACGCGATAAAATTGCAAGTTTCGATGGTAAACAAAGCGGTACTATTGGACGGATTCATTATACTCGATTAAAAAGCTGATATGATCATGACCCTGGCTGGATAACAAATGCGAAAAATAAAAAAAACTATAAAATGATAAGTTTTGACAAATCTTAAGACTTATGAAGGTAGAATGAAAACTGTGAGTATGCAAAGTTCCATCTTACAACTTACATAATGTTTCTTATAGAAACTAAGATAGGAAAAACCAAAAAATGTAAAAGGAAAAAAAAAACAGACATACCGCAAGTTTAGCTACAATGATAGGAAATACCCGTGACTTGCATCCTAATACATCAATTATGATATATGACCAATAGGTAAATATGTTGTTTTAATCCTTAGAAAAATTATGATATGGCGATAAAGTGCGAAGCAGGTAAGCTCACCAATACAGCTTGACGACATTTTTAAACTAGCCTCCTTCACCCAGTGTATTTCGGAATGTTAGAGGCTGGCACAGCTCAGGAGAAAATCAGTTGCTCGCTGGTTTTCCAAATCAGCAACATTTTAATCAGATATCAATGCCTGAAAAATACAGTTTTTCATCTTAGACTGTTGTTAATTAAAAAAAACGATAACAGATCTCTTGTTCCAGCCTGAACCTTTAACACATGAAAACATTTATTTCTGTTTAGAAATGGCTACAGAAAATATCTGTCAAGTTGATCTCGCCCGTGGCGGCGGTGGTGGTGGAGGCGAAGGCGGAGGTGGTGGTGGTGGTGGTGGAGGTAATGGTGGCGATGGCGGTGACGAAGGTGGTGACAAAGGCAGTGGCAGTGGCCAAGTTGTAGGCGGTGGCAATGATTATATACTAGTAGCTTTTCCCTTATTTAATTAGATTTCTACTGAAAGTACGCTCGGGTACAATATAGAGTTGTAACGCATTAGTTTTATTCTTATTATTGGGAAGACAATCAGATTTGCACCTACTGTATTTATAGTCACCTAAGGTTAGAGAAAGACAACTATACCTTACCGCCATCCTATGGCCGTGATTATTTACTTGATGGAAAACCCTGGTACCCCTTCTAAATTATGCAAGAACCTGGTACCCTTTCTTGCTTCTTGCTTCCGCTTTCGCTGCAGCGCCATCTCAACCGGCTGGCCAATTAACATCACTCACATGAGACATAACGTGTTGTTAATATAAAAGTGAGTTTTACGAAAAATGAAAAGCGCCGTTGCCACGTTCAGTTAATTTCGGTTTATAATCACGGCTCATTTTCCTATGAATTTAATTACCTCCTGCAACCTCTGTTATTGCACATTCCTTATTGGTATTCAAGAAAACTTTGTGTTTGAAAGTTGGTTCTCATGGTAGATATTACTATGAGTTACCATGCATTTCAGTCATTATAAAGCGCTATTGGATAGCGATAGAAATAACGCTATTTAAATAAATTATTATTATTATTATCATTATCATTACTATTATTACTAAATGTCAACAAGACTCGTACACCTAATCGTGTTTGCAGCTTGGCCAAAGAGCTTGTGACATTTCTGCAGCAATATTTTGATGAAAGCCTGAATGTCAGTTTTCAGTCTTACGTCTCTTGAATAGACTTTTTCGCGATCACCCTGTGTCTAAACTGTTAAGTGGGCAGCAACTTTTTTAAAGACCGACTCATAGCTTTGGCGCTCCTTAGCAACGTTGTCCTGGCTCTAAAGCGCATTGTTAGGTCCAAGTTTATCCCGTGAGGACTTCATGAACTGGCGTGTGAAACCGCAATGTGAAAGGGATGGCATTTTTAACTTATCTTCTTTATTTTATGCAGAATATCTCGAATTTATACATAATTTTCAACCGTAATGTTAAGAAATTACATGAATTACGATTCTAGCTCTTTTCTATACATGGCGTCAATAAAGTACTTACTCCTTGCCTAATCTGTTTACAAAACCGTAGTCATTTTTTTTTAAGTCTGGAGAAAATTCAGCATCACTGGAGTACCATATTTGGATATTAGATTTTCTTCATTATCGCGCTGGCGGGACTTTTTGGACAGAATCCAATTCTTAGCTTTTGAGGTTTCTAGTGCTCAGTCATTAATCGAACCAATCTTACTGCTTACAAGAATAGTAATTATTTCTAACCCCAAGTTATAGACAATAGGTGTTAGTACTACATGACAAATATGTTGGTAAAATATAAAAATTCTCTTAATTGAAATTTCCGCGCCTCTGATAGTTAAACAACACATATAAGTCTTCGGTTTTGCAAACCTTTGGCATAACATTTCTCATGAACCTTATTTGTACTCAGAAACAAAAACTCAAAAAGGATGATTTTTGTCGTACGCCACAAACCTGACTTAATTTCATTTATTTAATTCTGCAAGATAATGACGTTCCCTAACCAAGATGCTAGTGTCATAAATTATGCAGGATGTGGTTTTTGGTCTAATCCCCTTGTTATGGAATGTGATTTGCACTGGCGCTGCTGAAACGCAACGGTTTTTTTAATGATTGTCTTAGAAACGACTCAGTGAAAGTATTCTCCATTGATACTTTTCCCATCGTTTGCTGCGAAAATGTATGTAATATTCGACTGAAGATATTTCATTGAGGCTGCGCGGGAGAAATGAGACCACGGGTGATGGTCTTCCAATCAAATAAACTGAGGAGCTGAGATATTTCTGAATCATGAGCAAGGTAAGGGAAAACAAAAACAAAAAAAAAATTGATTTTTTTTGTTTGTTAATAAGCGAAAAATTCGATGCTTCTGGCTCCTTTGGTCACACACATTCACACACACACACACACACACACACACACACACGCACACGCACGCGCGCGCGCACGTACACACACACACGCACACCACCACACACGCACACACGCACATACTTCTAAATTGAAAATAGGTCGTCATTATTGGTTGTTTTTCTTAATTTTCCTACTCCCTGTTCTATTCGTTTGGTGTAATCTTACATTTTTTTTCCGTAATGATGGCTGGTCGAAGCCAGATTTTAGTCTGATAATGCCGCTCTACAGATATTCTTAACGGTTACCTCAAGCTTTGTACTTTTCACTTCATTTGCAGTTCGACCCCTTTGAGATTTTAAGTAACTTAAACCGTTATGTTGCGTAATATCAACGTATGGGGAAATTTTTATTGCTTTTATGAAGTAAAAGGTTGCACCGTCCTTTTCCTAGCTGAGAATAAGTTTGGATGAGAAAGTGGAATTATTTGTCATTTAAACTTAGAACAATAAAACCATGAGCCATTCGCGCGGAGGAATTCATTCCAATTGAATCTGTTAATCCTTGAATCTATCGAAAGACCCTACAATATGAAAAAAGATTTTAAAACTTGGAACAGTGCAAATTCGTTTTTCAGGCGTCAATAAAGGTTAAATTTTCCGTAGGAAGGGTAATTGGATTCCGATAAAATTCAACTTTATCGCGCGATGAATGGGAAACTTGCTAGGTCGCCCGTGATCGGCTATCACGCACGTTGTTTCAATGGACGACAAAGGCTGCAAGAATTAAGGAAGTAAATTTTTAAGACAATTAGTTTTATTTTCGTGAAAATATCATTGAGTATTCCTTTGCAATACTTCTACGACACATAGCTCTGTGAATCAGTACAGTAAACCTTGATTTTGCGAAATCGTACGAGACACTTTCAGAGATGGCTGCTAGTGTCTGAGAACAAGTGTGGATTGTCTAATCTTTCTGATTACATTGCAGGTTTGTAAATTTCTAGATGTCACTTCTGTATCGCCAACCCCGTTAAGAAAGTACTTTGCAACTGTTGCAGCCATTCTCGTCTTTTTCGGAAACAACGTGCGTGACAGCCAATCGCGCGATATTTTTTCATTTATAATTTCCATTTATCGCGCCACATTTTGATTTTATCGCGCGATATATCTCATTTATCATCTTTGTCAATGATTACTACTCATCATTGAGATAATGCTGTCAAGGGTTGCAGGTCAACTTTGCACATTATCAATACCACCTGCTGTTGCAGTTGGTGAAAAATCTGAAGTGATATGTTTCTTACCTCTGAGAATCATAAATAACAATTTTGTAGTTTTGTGAATTCTAATAAAGATTTTTCAATCATGCAGATAAAGAAAAAAACAAGAGCAAGGGCTCAAGTATCCGTATTTACTACTTTTGGTCCCAATTCCCAATGGATGAAAGCAAATCAACGTCTTACTCAGCAAATTTCGTTTATAAGCAAATTCTAGGTAGCGAAGTCAAAACTTTTTTGGGGGGAGAACAAAATTCTGATTTCAGAAACCGTTTTTTGGAAGTATGAGGCACAAGAAGTTGTTAACATGAGGTGTGCTTCGAAAAATATAAAGACTTCTGCTATGAGCACCAGTTTATTTCGTTTAAGAATTGCGGCTTATTTTATAGCTACGGCCTTTTGAAACCACGGGTTGGTCCTCTTCGTTATTATGGAATGTATTAAATTACCTTTAAGGGTAGGGTGGGCTGGGGGGGATGAGTGTACACAGAACTGATATCCATAAGAAACACTATGTCAAAATACTCATAAAAAGAACAAAACAAAACAAAGCAAAAGACCCGCAAACATATTAAAATCAAAATTCCACCTGCATACTGCACTACTCAAAAAAGGTCTGTTTGGCATTATATGATTATGTAAAAAAAGATTTCATTTTGTTTTATTTCCTTGAATCCTGAACTAAAAATGGGAGAAAAGATAGAAAATGCGTAGAAAAAGATTGACTTATTTACAGACTCGTAAAGTCTCTATACAACGAACAGAATTAAACAAAAAAAAAACCCAAAAAGCAAAACAGAATAAAAAAAAAAAGAAGCGAATAAAACAATAAAGTATTGAACTATTCCAACCAGCACGTTATCCGGAGTACTCAGGAAAACAGTACCCAAAGGAAGTTACATAATTCTATAAAACATTTATCAGCTAATTTTATTTTCTCTTATTCGGAACTAAAAAAGGGAAAAAGATAAAATAACGAGTCACTTATTCAACAGACTCGTAACAACAAATGATGAAGATTTTTGAATAATCTCCTCGACTTCAACTCGAGGATTATTCAACGCATTTCACTGAGACTGAGACTTGTAATTGTTAAATAATAGATGGGCATAAATCATTTGGCATTACAAGCTATTTTAACGTGTGCCTGAAATTTATTTAGATAACGATAAATGTAAACGCTCACACATTGTTATGAGGGTGTATCACGACATACCTTTATAAGATTCAACAGCCCTGTAGGGGTAAAAATTCGAAATGAAAAGATGATTTCTCCCATATTCCTGGTAAGTCCAGGATTATATTTTTCCCACGTGAAAAAAAGCATTTGCTTAGACTGTCTCACTAAAACAAGATCAAAATTGATCCAAGTAACAACTCCTCTGTTTACTATTCTGAACACAAAAGGCGTGAGAAAGCTTAAATGTGTCATGCCATTCCGGAAAAAAAACGTAACACATCTTTATTCATCTTTTTTTCTCTGCTTAACAAAAACATTTACATCATTAAAAATTAAGGAATACTTCCTTGGTCATAAAGCATTGGTGCTACCATTTCGACACAGAGTCTTACATGTATTCATGCACTGTTGGGTGATGAACTTTTGTCAGAGATGATACAGCCATTAAAAACGTGGTATGAGCGAATGGAGCTTCTGTACAGGCGAAATGTCTAGAATGAAGCTTTTTCTGTATCTGTTTGCCCTATTAGGAGGTTACTCTCACAACCGTGCGACTGCAAACCAAGGTAGGTACAGTTCAGTATTTCTGAAAGGTAAATAATAATTATAATAAAATACATTGTTTGATTGTTTTTACATTTGAGGTTTCAAAAATTGCTGTAAGGTAATAGTAGTCGACCTCGGTTTTTCCGAAGTCTCAGTCATAAAACTTCACAAGCTATATTCCTGTGTTACTCTCAAAATACAAATCACACAGTTTCTCGTTGTCTTTGGTTTATTTTTTTGTTTTTTTTTCCCTGAGAGGCTTGATTTCATCATCATTAACAGAAAAATCTTTCATGTGAAAAGCCTAGCTGGCAGGATCGTGATAACCAAACCTCACACAATGGTTAAAAAAAATTTTTTTAAACATTTTTGTTAAACAAAGTCTAGCCTCTGAGTTGTATTCTATTCCAATACAGGCGTGCACAAAAGGTAAAAGAAAGAGACTCTGTAAGGAGTTTATATTTAATTTTTTTTTTTCGCTTTTCACTCTCAATATTTTGATTTTTTTGAAACCTTTATCTTTTAAGGGAAATAAAAAACTTCAGGCGTATAATAGAAGAAAACGTTTACTTAAAAAAGTAATTTGGAAATATTCGTGTCCTCTTGGTGTTTTCAACAGGAAGCCTGGGACAGATTCTCTTCGAGCTTTCATCTACGCTTCAGTAACTAAAGCTGGGTTATGTCGGGGTTGTAAAGCTTATTGAAAGGACCTGTTTTAAAATTTTCAGAAATCTGCAGACGTGTTAAGTTTTCAGAACCAAGCCGTGGCTTTGCTTTGGTGGGTCATGTCTTTGCCAATATTACGTTATTTATTGGACCACACATAAATAACCACTGCAGAAATCGATGTATCATGGAGCAGAAATGTCGATCAATCAACATAGGTCAAGTAAGGAAAGACAAAGTCCTGTGTCAGCTGAGTGACTCGGACCAATTAAAACATCCGAACGATATAAAACCTATGGATGACTTTCTATACTTGGGTATTGAGGTAAGAAGTCTTACCCAGTCGCTCACAAATGTAAAACAAACGTCGACTTCAGAATATTGTAGGATTCAACATCAAATTCGTATTTTTAAAAAAACGACGTGAAACATATGTCAAAACGTGCAAAGAGATGATGTTTAGAAATTGGAGAGGCAAACCAAAACAAAATAAAGCTGAAAGACTAAATACCTAACATACATTACTCCCCCGCGTAGATGTTTTTCCTGAGGATTAACGTTAGTTGAATATTCCTTCGGAAATTATTTGAATCTTTTGTTGTTTACTTAATAGACGCCTCCTGTGCACGTGATAGAAATGGATTCAATATCAAATTCGTATTTTTAAAAAAAACGACGTGAAACATATGTCAAAACGTGCAAAGAGATGATGTTTAGAAATTGGAGAGGCAAACCAAAACAAAATAAAGCTGAAAGACTAAATACCTAACATACATTACTCCCCCGCGTAGATGTTTTTCCTGAGGATTAACGTTAGTTGAATAGTCCTTCGGAAATTATTTGAATCTTTTGATGGATAATTAATAGACGCCTCCTGTGCACGTGATAGAAATACAAGTCTCGATTGGAAACGATCCAAACAGTTAGTTTAGAGGCATTTGTTATACTCAATAAATATATATATAGAATAACACATGGGCGCACATAGATATGGAATTTCTCTTCGGGTGTTTATCTCGGTAGAATAAACACTATAACTATACAAAGTTCCGTCTCACAACTTACGTCATATTTCTCATGGAAATTAACAAAGAAAAAAAATTTTAAAAAAGGAAAACATACGATGCAAATGTAGCTAAGGCCCTGTTCAAACGTCGAACTTTTCATGTACCGAACCTAAAGTTGCTATTAAGTAAATGAAAAGTACGACGTACGAATCAATTAGGATCGGCAGATTTGTATTCGGGTCGACAGTACCGTTCTATCCGACCAGGCTTGTCGGATAAAACGGTAAAAGATCGACATTGTTTCATACGTCGAACTTTTCATGTACTGAATCTAATGCATACATTATATATATATTTTTTTTTGTACGTGTAACTTCTCGTTTATTACTTCTGTAACTCAGTAGAATGCCAATAAAATTTACAAAAAAAAAAAAAAAAAAAAAATATATATATATATTAAATAAATTATATTTTACCCACAATTCAGAACGTTTCGCATACATGCCATGCGCAAAAGCGTTCGAACAATATGGCGGGAAAGGGAGGAAAGTATGTGCTCATCTTGTTTTAAAACAACAAAGTATACATGTCTAACGTGTAAGGAGTACTTTTGCACTATATGCTGTGTCTGGAGAAAGAGATGATTTCAGGCGATCAAACTAATGATCAATCAAACAGCAAACGTCGAAATACATCAACCACGGAGGTAAAACCGAAAAGGTAAGCTTTAGTAAGAACCGTTACGACCGTGCAGCACAAGCTGGATTGAAAGATTACGGAAGCGAATCCGTTCGACCAACAGAAAAGAAAGTGTGGGGAATAATTGTTTCATGCTCACTTCATGTGTATAATATTTTTTAATGCTATCAATTGAGGGTAAATTGTGTGAATCCCTGGCCTTCACTATACCGTAGATTATCATATCTTTCACTGTTGTTCAGATTGTGTCTTTTACACAAAAAAGGGCCGCGTTGTTTGAAGCACGATTAGTTCATATTTTTGCTCAGCCAGTTTTGATTTTGACTGATTTCAGACTCCACGAAATGTTATTTAAAAATATATTTAACCTGTAATCGACTAAAAATCCCCAGTTTATGTTTCAGTCAATTATGTTTCAAGCACCCAATCTCAAACTCCACGAAACATTAATAAGAGAAACACTTTTATACAAAATATATTTGACCTGTAATCGACTTTATGTTGCAAGTATCCATGCACCTCTCCGGGCGTTCGACTTGAGAATAATTTTAGTCGAATTCCCAAGATGTGTGTAGTTTACACAGTCCAATGCTTCATTGCTGAGGGCTTCACAGAAAGTTAAATTTCACCATCATTTTCAGATTTAAAAGACAAAAGTGTTGCAAAAGGGTTGGGAAAGGGAGAGGGGCGTTCTTTGAATTGACTGATACATTATTGTTAATCGGTTTTTGAAATACCTGGCCCTAGGCTTTAAACATGTGTTGACTCTGTACTCTCCTCTTCCTCTGTGAAAATAGTGTTCATTAAGTACAAAGCTTTGCCTTAGTATGGTCTTTATGTTTGTATACTGTAGGAGGAGAATTGATGAAAGTTTTGATGACACAGATGACGAACAAGATAATGATGAGACGGAGAGCGATGACACTGATGATGCCCTGCAACTGTTTGTGGAAAAAGGAAAGGGAGCCATTAAGAAGGAATCTGCCAGGATATCTAAGTGGCCTAAAAAAGTACTAGATGACTTTATTGACATTGATGTCAGTAGCAACAGTTCCAAAAGAAAGCTAATCTTCACCAACTGCAAAAACCAAAAAAATGGGCCCATCTACGAAGATATTAGAAGAGCTTAATGTTAGGGCTTCTAGCAGAGGTGAAGTAATCACATCTAATGTCCCTCAGTTACGTAGCAAGTTTAAGAAGTGTGTCAGCGTCTGTAAGCAGGCAGCTCTGACACAAAAAGCCGCCACCGGAATCAATAGGTTTCAAGAGTACCATGGGTTTGGGAAGTGGTTTCATTCTCTGCCTGAAGTTGTTAGGACAAGAGATCACTGACAGCCAGACCGGGTACTAGAGCCATCCTTATCAAATTCAGAGAGGACATCCCCTTATAGTGAAGGGCTGGGAGAAGAACAAGAACCATTGTTTGTTCCAGTTAAAATGTAAAGAAAAAGCAAGCAACAAAAGAGAAAGTGGATGCCACCACAGTCGAAGTCATGAACCTTGTTAAAGCAACCATTGAAAACGACCCAAATAAACAACTGATCAGCTTTATGAGGGAGGAAGTGGGAAAATCCCGTGAACACGAATTAAAGTTATTTCAACTAATGTTATTTCAAAGAGAAAATGGCATGATACAAATATTGTGAAGGACCATGCATGACAGGGTTGTAGCACAGACTTGGTCTCAGAATCATCTGCTGAACCTAATTATTCGAGTCGACTCGAATATGTATTAGGTTCAAAATGAAAAGTTCGACGTTTGAAACGGGCCTAAAACAACGTAAAGTATCCTTGGTTTGTATCCAAACATATCAATAATGATCTATCACTAATACTAAAACATGTTGTCTTGATCCTTAGAGCAATTTTGATATGGGGAAACAATGCGAAGAAGGTGAGCTGACTAACATAGCTGGCGAAAATTTTCAACTAGCCTCGTTCAGCCAGAGTATATCAAAATATTAGAGGCTGGCCGCTGTGGCACAGCTCAAGAGAAAATCATCTCCAGACTGTTTTTCGAAATCAGCGACGTTGTAATTAGATATTAGTGCCTTAAAAAGACGGTTTTTCATCTAAGAGTGTCGTGGATTGAGGGAAAAATGAGGAAAGACTTCTTGTTATAGCTAATCGTTAACACATGACAACATTTATCTCTGTTTACAGACAGTAGAGCCTACTCGTCTAGCTGCTCTTAATCACCACAGCTCTCAAGTCGGTAGCGTAACTAATAACAGTGAAAGTGTCAAACTTCGTGTCGTAAATCAGGGCTGAAAGGTCTGGGGAGAGCATGCATTTCATTAAAGATGGCGGAAAGGACTTTTGTGGGAATAGGGGCTTGATTCTGTTCCTTGGAATCAAAAGATCATTGGATTGTAATAAAATCATTGCCAATTTTTTTTATTTTTAGGGGCAGGGTAAATGTTATTCTGCACATTATATCTACAAGTTCACCATGGCTTCCCTTCGATTTCATGCCATCATCAACAGCAGCCAAAAACAAAACATATTTTAAAAACGTTATTGTCAAGGGTAGTTAATCTGTAGGATCGCATGCTATTTTAATAATAATAATAATAATAATAATAATAATAACAACAATGAATTTCAGTTGTTGATGAGTGTGCTTCAAATCCTTGTCAAAATGGAGCTACGTTCATCGACAAACATTCGAGCTACAAATGTAACTGTACCATTGGATATAACGGAACACTATGCGAAACTGGTATGCTACTTCTGTGTAGAGAAAATTAAACTGTCCTATCAAACCTTATTGCCATGCTTGAAACACGATATTTTGCCTCGAACCATGACGGAAAAGATGTTTTTACTCCAAGTGGTTATTTCTTCATTCGCGTAAATCCAGATTAAAACATAGAAAGAAAGAAATAACAAACAACCGCTAAGAGACGAAAGAAAGTAATTTTTAACTTACAAAAACAAGAAGAGTAAAGGCAAAAACGACAACAAAAATGCCAAAAGGGAAAAGAAGAACAAAACAAGACAAAAACGGAAACAGAGAAGAAAGACATTGCATCGACCTTACACAGTTCAAAGTCCAATTATTACTAGGCTGAATGCGTTCTAAAAGGAAAAAAAAATTGTTAGTCTTATCTGTATTTTTCAATTTACGAAAGTTTTCATTCTGGAAGCTGTTTCGAAAGATGTCTAATTTTGATGATTTAAAAATCCGCTGTCTTAGGTTTTTGAGATCGGAGGTATATCTTTAGAATGGTAGGAGTTTTCTTCCCTGATGCACTTGTGTCGTTAACGAAATCAGTTGATCTTTATAACTTCATTCATGTATCCATGACTCAAAGCCAGGGCCACCAATTGGTGGATGTTCACCCTAATAAAGTCTGAGGAGCTTATTTTGAGTTTATCATGAGTAATAATTTGTGGAAAGTATATAGCACGTTTGTCACATGCAGCAAGACTTCCTCTGGTGTCTAATGGCTCAGTGATGAAGCATCTAAAAAATCTAAAGTAGATATTGAAGTTCATTCTATGACTCAAAATTCCACATTTCTTTTTGCTCAGCATGGTTTTGAATGAAAGCATTTGTTGAATTCCGCGTACAGTCTCGAGAAGGATCGAAATGATCGAGAGAACCGAAACTATATACTCCAAAATTACAACAAATCATGATCATTTCAGCCGTGGTCTATCATCAGATAATCTACGACAAAAGAAATGTTTAGGGACGACTCATTATTTGTAACGGTGGGGGGGGGAAGGGGGATTAGAGGATTTTGATTGTGTCGCAACAAAATTTACCTGATTTCCCACCCCTGTAGTACTCTAATGACTCCCTTTCAATAGCCTTTCACTGTACCCCCCACCAATCCCCTTTGAAAACCATGTGATCACCTCAAAATCATCCACCCCTTACCCCTTAAGATAAGTTATTCTGTCAACTCTGTCTTCCATTAACTTTTTCACTTTTCTGTACCTGTATTTAGACATAGACGAATGCATCAACAATCCTTGCCATTCAGGAACATGCAAGAACAGCCCTGGGAGCTACAAATGCACTTGTCCTCCAGAATGGGAAGGAAAAGATTGTCTGAGTAAGCCACTTAATAAATTTTGCATGGATACCAATGCACAACCTAGTGTTATAATGATTGAATTTGTCCCGTCTGTTGACAAGATTTCCGTTGGTTGAATTAATGTAATCTGGTCTCGGACGACAGCATACCTTTGCTACGAGTATACAATAGCACTCATTAGAAATGCCACATAAATTATGTGTATCTCACGCTCGCAAAAGGAAAAACTTTCTGCGAAAGAGTCCATCGATGTCTAACTGTAGTCAGTCTACATTTTTTTCTTGAAAAAAAAAGATAATGAAAAGAAGAGTGCAAATATTCCCTGCCTAAAGATGATTGAAATGCGAAAAAGTAAACTATACTTTTCTTAAATTATTTCCAAATGCACTGTAAAGTCAGTTATTTTGCCCACTCAGCTACAAACTTATGACTTTCTCGGCAACTCGAATGGGAACAGTAAGAAAACGTGGTTCACTTAAAGTTTCTGCTTTGGTTTTAGGCCTTTTTGTTTTTATTTTTATAGCTTATCAGCCACGTTTCATATAAAATACAGCCTTTTGAGCGAGATTCGATACTGTGACGTCCATGATATGATTTTTGACGTACATATGGAGACAACTGTCGACTAAGCCATTTGTGCATTGATTTTGATTTGTTGCAGCAAGAAACTACTGCCACGGGCATAAATGTTTAAACGGAGCCACTTGCCAAAATGGAAAAAATAATTACACCTGTCAGTGCGTCGAGGGGAGCTCTGGAATGTACTGTGAAACTGGTCAGTATAGCTCAAACGCATGTGTTGCATAGTATATGATGTATGAAGTTTACCACATACCGAAAATCACGAAAAGAAGTTTTTATTTTTGAAATATTTTTATTTTTATTTTAGTTAATGACTGATGGAAATACTGAATATAAAATAAATAAAGTTATCGTATCGTATCGATCACGTGATAAGAATGATACAAGCACCAATTGTAATAATTTATTCAACTTTCCAAACACCCCACAATCTAAGTAATAATCTAAATAATATAAATAACCTGAAGTTGTAATGATATCCACCACAACTTCCCAACCACCCCTGGGAAACATGAAATGGTCCTTCCCTATTCAGATTGATCGAATTGCAACCCTTAAAATAATTAAATCTAAAATTATCCATCGACATGAAATCTTGATAATCTAATCATCGAATCATCTTTGAGAAAAGTCAATTTTTATCGTCCGGGGGTGGGGGGGTGGAGTAGGGGAGGTGAAGGAATCTTTTGGCGGGGGAGAGGATACATGGTTTTCATGGGGAACGGAGGGGATATCAGTCGTCGTCAACAGAGTATAAAGGGGGGAGGACAGAGTAAAAAGGGGGGAGGGGGAGGTTCATAGTAATACTGAGAATCAATTATGAAGGGATCAGGTAAGTTTTGTCGTGAGGGAACCAAAATTCTCCAGCCCCACCCCTCCTCTGAATGACTAATGGCGATAAATAATGGTCGTAGGAGATAATTTATTTTCTCCTACCGTTCCCTTGATTCAGATATAGAGGACGAATGCTTAAGCAACCCATGCCTAAAAGGGACGTGTCAAGATCTGATTGGACATTACAGCTGTATCTGTCCCATTGACCGAAAGGGAGCCAGATGTGGAAGTAAGACATACTCCAGGATAATATAGTACCATCGACTGAGCTAATAACATAAATATATCAAGAATGCATCCAAACCAGTCGTTAAACACTTTCATCTCCCTAATCATTCTAAGAAGCTTATGGCAATTTGCGGCCTTTCCCTACATATATATAGTTCAAAATAACTAAAATGAAACACGCATGATTCTCTGTTACTCTGAGTTTCGTGCTAACGCACTCGTCAGACAGATTCAATGAAAAACATTCTTGTAGGCTAATTTATATATATAAAAAAGGTAGCTGCTGATTACAATAGGTTTTTGTAATATAATAGGTTAGAAAAAGCGAAAATTACAATGGATGTGGGTGTATTAATGAAGGACAATGGGGCAGTAGGTGTGAATATATTGACGAAAGTCTATTGTCGCAGGGAGGTGTCAGATGTTCTTTAGATAAAACTTTTTTTCGTGACGGCATTTAGATATAAGTTCGGATCTTTTATTCAACAAGTTGTTGCTGTTGGACGTAATAAATAAAATTATTATTTATATACACTAACAGCACTGAACTATTCAAATACATCTGGCAACTGAAGGACAACTCTGTAAACTTCAACATAAAATGGTCCATTATTGCAAGAGCCAGGCCCTACAACAACACAACGAAAAGATGCGACCTTTGCCTGACCGTAAAAGTCCAACAGCAACAACAGAGTAACATAGAATCATGCGTGCTTCCTTTTTAGTTATTTTTAACTGTATTTCGCTCTACACTCACGTGTGTTGAGCACTTTCCTAGAGCATTTGTTATAATTTCTCACAATTATATATATATATTTATATATGAAAATGGGAAGGCCTATCCTGAATTGACGGCTTGACGGAAAGTGACACTGTTTAAAGTGAGATAAAAGATACAGAGTGATATTTGTGAGACCATTCTTAAGCCCCTCATAATGCCTTGCTGTCATTTGATTTTGTAATGGTAAAGAAGAATGGTGATGGTGTTTATGCTGAACGACTACGATGGACTTCATGTGACTACTTAATCTCTTTTCAATTTCTGAAAAACTGTCTCGTGCTACCTTTAAGCGCAAAATTGGTTACAATACAAGGCTAGGTTGTTAAAAACCGACCAGTATTAATCTAGAATTAGAATTTAAGCTGGGTTTGTGTCTTGTATCAGGGTGGAGACTTCCTAAGTAGTGTTTTCAGGCAAAACTGAAGGTAAGAACTGCCCACAAATGAACATGGCTGAATGAAATGCGGTAACCTAACCCAGGGCCAATTATCTATGCAAACCAGCTAAGAGGTAAAGAGATGAAAGTACGTTTATGCTTGCATAGATCGTGTCAACGACTGCTTCGACAACCCTATTGGTGTTGCCAATCCCAACGTGATCTCTAATCAGCAGATGAAAGCGTCTTCCCACTTAGATGAATCTCATCAGGCCTCTCATGGTCGGCTAAACGGGGCAGGTTGGTGTGCGGGAAATGCTAGCTCCCAGGACTGGCTTCAGATTGATTTCAATCGAACAATCGATGTTTGTGCTGTTGCAACGCAAATAGGTGCAAACGGCTGGATTACCAAATTCAGCCTTTTTTTCTCAAATAATGGAACACAGTGGGTGCCTTACGAACAAGAAGATGGCTCCATTATGGTATGCTGATTTAATGACTGAGTGGATTGTAAAGAGCTCTAGAGAAGAAAAAAATTATCATAAGTATGATTATTCTGGCTGGCGGCTGCATAACTGGTTACTTCACTAGAAAGTTTATGACAAGAGGTACTATAAAAAGTCGCAATAACCAGCGATAACCGTAAGTAATAAATGACCCTACCAGCATGTAGGACTCATGGCATATAAGAACCTCGTTATGACCTGAATCGTCGTAAGAGTTTCCATTTGCATTACTTGGTTGAGAGGGTAAGACCAAATCCTTCCATGAGAGCCATTCTGATGAACACTGATTTGTCGTGATGACGTACTTAGTGTTGCAGACAATTCAACTTCACTGTCTGAGTACATACATATATATATCCTCTTTCTTGTCAAATTTTACAGTATAGCGATAAAAATTAGCTAATACCTTCAAGGAATGAAAGCGTTAACCAAATCAAGACAATGATCTTTTATAAAAATATTAAAGAGTACTCACTCTTCACTTTCACATCATCTTTCCTTTTGTTCTGAAGCAATTTGACAGGTCGGGCAAAAATGTTACAATTGACCAACACAAGCTTCCAAAGACAGTATCTGCAAGGCATGTTCGTTTTATTCCAAATTTGCGGCATGTCTGGAATTGTCTAAAAGTGGAGGTGTATGGATTTGATGGTAAGTATGTCATCTTCTTGACATTTTCAATGACGTAGAAGTACTAGTTTTAGTAGTAGTGGTAGTGCTAATAGTAATAGTAGTGGTAGTGGTTGTAGTAGTAGTTGTAGTAGTTTTCTATTAATGCTGTGCATTTAAATACTGACCTACTAATTTTGCAAAAGTATCTTAAATTCATTTCATCTGTTGGGGAGATAGTTGATAGTTGTTTATAGAATCTTGGAAAGTTTTAGAGAAGTGTTCTATCGATTTAAAATTTTGAAAAGTTTTGCACTCAGATGCGAGGCCGTTTATGGTACCTCTCCGTCTAGTGGTTGATAAATAAGGTAAACTGGCAAACATTAAGGATTGAATGAAATTGAATGAAAACATTATTCTGACCGCGCCTGTTGGAGATAAGATTGGTTAAAGCCAATTCGGCATTTGACACCTTGTTGGCTATTTACCATCTCATATCCAACGCACGCCTATGGAATAATTGTTACTTAACGCATATACCCTGCTGTAACGCACGTCCATGAAATAATTGTTATTTAATCCATAGACCCCTGCTATAATCATGATGTGCTAAGTGAGGCGAAAAGGAAGAAAACCTTCGAGGGTGCTGGCGGCCAATGTGACCGAAAAATTTTACCTTCTGAAAAAAAATGGTTCCGTTTTGTCGAACCAGCTGGTACTCAAATGCCAACAGCCTGTGTTCCTCAATCTCACTGCAATGCTAAAAGACCCGGATGGTTGGATGGACATCACCCTAATGTGACGCAAGGTGTAGTAAACATGAGGGTTTGCTTTACTACTGAGAACGACTGCTGTGGTGATCAGGAATTTATATCGGTCAAGAATTGTGGCGACTTTTTTGCATATGGACTGGTAAAACCAAGCAGTTGTGGACGATATTGTGGAGAATAAACATTCGCTGTGCTTTAGCAGCGAAAGAAAGAAAGCGAGACAGGGGAAGGGTGGCAAAAATGTACTGTGAAGGAGAAGCATCCTCCCAAAAAGAGGGTCTCAATGGGGTGATGGCTTTTTCTGCTAACGGTTGAACTTTACGCCATTTTACCGCTAATAGATCACTTGAAACGGTTCACTTTTCTTACAATTAACAGTTAGCATTCATTTGTATGCCAAGCGGCTTAATTTCTCCAGTTTACGGCTTACGTTTAATCCCATTGAGACCGTCTTAAAACGTATTGCTCCACCTTCCTCATCAAAAAATCTTTCGCACAATTATGACACTGCACGTGTTTTAAGCTTTGAAAAAACTTGTTAACTTAACTTTACTTTCTAAAACTTTGAAGTAGCAAAAAATTTAGTATTGTTCGCCGCCATTTTGAACCTTGCTTAGCAACATGACCGCCTACCAATAATACTTTCTTGTAACAGGGTCTCACGTTTTATTTCCTTCTACGAAAGACCTTTAAACAAGCAAACAAACAAACAAATGAATGAATCAGTTGATTTACTAATGTAGTTCATGTCCTGATATTTACAACCAAATAATAATTTAATTGTTTTCAAATTAGTGGCTTCGGGGTGTCGAACTTTAGTGCTTTTGAAGACAAATTTCGAAAGGGTATGTTATATGCAATACATTTACGACAGCTTATAGGTAGATTTTATCACATAATTCTAAACACAAAAACAATTCGATATAAATCAAGCTTTCTTGAAAAGAGTTACCCTTATGACGTTCAGATCGATACTTTTGATGTAAAACGTTTTGACTCTTCTTGGGTTAATAAAGCACTTCGTAGCGTTAGATTCATTCTTTCAATTGCACTTGGTTAGCTCATGTTGTAGAGCGCTGGACTCCCGTGCGGGAGATTGAGGTTAGTCCCCAGACCGGACTAACGCTCATGGTCTTGAAATAACTGAGGAGAACTTGTAGTCTTTGTTAGAACCATTGATAAATGGTAAGACACTCTAGCCTTCTCGGAGAGGACGGTAAACCTTTGACCGTCCCTAAGGACGATAAACCTTTGGCCGCGTTCCCTTGACCGTAATCCTTTGAACTTGTTAAAGGGTGCACTTCTCATAGAGAGAAGGAGACGTAGCTCTTAGTGTCAGCTCCCATTTCTGTTTAAACTAGCTCTAAAGCAGAACAGAGCCAGCCTGTTTAAATGTCGCAATAAATAACGAATTACTTTTTTAAATTGATCATTCCACGGCGGACGTTAGAGCCTCTGTTCAATGTTGGAGAGAGAAATTTCTCAAACAAAGAAATTTAATTCATTACAATTCTATGAAAATGTGTCAATAAGCATAAACAATTCTTCGGCTTTAACTTCACTGCTCTATTTCCTATTTCCTATAGCTCACGGAATTCCTTGCTACAAGTTACAAAATGTATTCAGCTAGTTGACTGAAAAAATATGCAGACTTCACCTGAACATTTTTCATACAAGCGCGATGATAACGGACCTTCTCGTCGACCTTTACCTGCATATCCAAACTCACCAATTTGTACCAAATAATTCTCAAAATGCACGCGTTAAACGGGCTAAAAAAGCATATCAATGCACAGTTTATACGCCAATGAGGTCACCGTTCGCCTCAAACTCGCAGTTATATCTCTAAATTTCATCCACCAACATCTTAAAAACAACGCAAATCCATGCGTTTGCTCAATTGCACTCGTTTCAAAGACTATTTACAAATTCTGAAAATTGGCCGAGATCTCCTTTTGACCGTTCAAACTTCTTTTTTTATCTTCTGCATTGAGGATTTTAGGTTTTCATAACAATCGAATGGAGAATAAATGCCGAGTTATCCTAAAACGTTGCGTAAACGTGATCGGTCGTAACGCTTGCGCGCTTGCGTGACTTACAAAGTAAACAAAGGGTCGGAAGCGCCTTCTTGGTAATTTTCGTTGAAATGTCACGTCATGAGCAATACACATTGTGGAAAAGATCAAAACTAAAGAATAAAGTTTGGCACTCTGGTTATTACAGACGTATTGCATGGCTTAAAATAACACACAAACAAGTTAAAATACGTCTCAGTGTTATTTACAGAACAACACGCAACACTCTGAAAGAATTCTTGCAGTTTCTCCCGAGATTTAGCGCACGGAACTCGATGAAATAGCCTTCCTTTCTGCAAATTTTCTTCCATCGTTAATGATTTTACGCTGAATGGACCACAACGCTTATGAACGACAAACTCGACATTTCCCTGCGACCATCAAACCCAGCTTGATGAGTGACGTGTTATGCTAATTTTTCCTTGTCATATGATCTGTTTCGCGGGTGATTTTAAGTGAAACCAAAATTAGTTGATATAACGAATTAGAATCGAAGGTTATCATCTTTTATAATGTTTACTTGATTCGCGAAAAGGAAAGATTGTAATCGCTGCGGGTATTTCAGCCCTGACTTCTTTCCTGGACTGCCGGGATGACGTATGGAGTCATTTGAACCATAACCAGCTATTCAGCGAAATCCTCAAGTACGAGTTAATTTAGTTTCGTTCTGATCATTCTAGCCTCGAAATGGAAATTGGTATGGTCTAATTAAACATCGGAACTCTTTGGTCTTATTTCAACTACTAGCTCAGTAGTGTTCATAGCTACGAGGATCTCTTATATTCGTTTCTTCACCGCAGCGCATATATATGATTTTCATATATCTATAATCATTATTCTTTGGGAAACATTGGAAATGCGGTGAAAGTACTTGTTGACACTGAGTCACGTGGGAAAATGTAAAACAGTGAAGAGGGACAGAGTGTTTAACGCCATTTGTCGTAAAAGCTGCCAGAAGATTGTTATTGAACGGAACTTAATTTACCATAAAGGTATTAACTTTCTTTTGTTGTGAACCACGTGTCCTAACCCCTTTTCGTGGGCAAAAAAAAACTTTTTTTCGACGGGGAGTCGAGAGAACTACTTTGGTTCCAATTCCCAACGGATTAAGCAATTTCAATCAACGTCTTAACAACAACAACAACAACATTTATTTAAACACGATAAAAATTACAGTGGAGGTGATGTGGTCGTGTATTTTGAAGTTAAAACAAAGTTTACAAGTGAATAACAAGCTTTAAAACTAATTGAAATTTAAAAAAAGATCCAACTTATTTTAAAAAAAAATTATAATATATTTGTAAACTAATCTATTCGCATGAAGTTCTGCGTTAAAGAAAATTTTTAAATAAGCTTTTGCTTGAGATTGCACGCGCACGGTTGTCACGAGAATTCCAAAGAGATACGACTTTGTAACAAGTGGACTTGCGAAGAATTTCAGTATTTGGTTTTGGTCACAAAAGGTAATCCATATTTCGGAAATAGCTTCATAATAGGAACGGGGAAGAAGTTATAAAAACAGTCGTGTGCTAGCATAAATAATCTATATTCGTATAAACCTTTAACAGTGGGCCACTTGCTTAGGACTAGGACCTAATCGCTGGGTTTGTACCAATCCAGGCCATAGATGATCTTTGAGGCACTTACGTGTATCCTCTTCAGCTCATCAAAGAGCGATTTGCCGCAGGAATACAACCAACCCATAGGTAACAGATAGTAAAATTACTTGATAAGAAATACAAATATCTAAGAAGATTCAATTTTTATGAAAAGGACTAATAAACTCTTTTGCGTGAACGTTCCAACTAAGATCACTGTTAATTTCGTTGCCTAAACGCCTGGTTGACTTGACCGGATGTACACTCATCATGTACTCGGTTCTACCAGGGGGGGGTATGAGGCGGTTAAGGCAGCACCAGTCATACAACTTCTGAAGGATGACGTTCAAGGCAAAAACAACCATATCGGGAGAAGACGCAGTCACGTAAATCTTAATGTTGTCAGCATAGATATGAATTTCTCCATCACAATCCTCAACTATATCAGGCAGATCGTTGCAAAACAACGAAAACAGGGTATGTCCCAAAACAGATCCCTGTGGCACGCCAAACTTCACAGGTAAAGTTTCGGACTGAAAACCGACCAAAACCGACCAAAACCGACTGAAGCTCGAGAGCGGTCACCTAAATAATCTTCAATCCAGCACCATAGATCGCCAGCAAAACCGAATGCTTGCAACTTATTCAGCAGGACATGATGAGAGATAGAATCGAAGGCCTTGCGGACGTCATCAAAGACGATGCCAACCACTAGATTTTTATCCAGTGGACTTCTCCAGTTCTCGATCATTTTTACCAACAACAATTCGGTTGGGTGACATTTTTTAGGCCCACTGGTGAGAATGGCCAAGATTATGTTCCGAAATATGAGTTGTTATTGTGGTGGCAACAGTCTGTTCAATCAATTTTCCTGAGACGCATAGTAGGGAAATTGGTCCATAGCTCTGCTTGTCAGTTTCATCATCCTTCTTGAACAGTGCCGAGACTTTAGCTTCTCAATCAGCAAATTTTATTTACGAGCAAACTTTGAGCAGCGAAGCTAAAACTTTTTAATGGGAGAGCAGAGTTTTGATCAGAGACCGTTTTGTGGAAGTACTATATATTTATTGAATTTATTAAAATTTAATGCGCCGATTTACGAGTCTTTTTTTGCCCAAGATCATAGTCTCGAATATATTTCTTTTATTCCCTTTTTTCATGTCAAGTACCCACCGGTGGGTACTCAGATGCGAAAAGCCTGTATCAGTAAACGCCGTTGTAACATTATATCACCCCGCTGACTAAATGGACATCATCCAAATGAGTCACATTGTGTTGATAACATGATAGTGTGCTTTAAAAGCTACGAAGACTGGAATGTATTGAGTTACCATGGGGGATGGGAGGGAATAAATAAGAACTATATATACCATGATAAATACTACACAAAAATACTCATAAAAAAAAAAACAACAAAACAAAACCAAACAAAGCAAAACACCCACAAATTACTAAAAATCCAAATGCTACCTGCACACCGTGACATGGATGGAAAACAAGGTCTTTTTGACATTATAGAATTACATAACATCACCTTGTTCTATTTCCTTAAATCCTG